TTTAAAAATAAATATAAATCTCCCCTTTATTCCGTTTCCCTTCGCGATTCCGCGGAATCGCTTCTCTATGCGGAAGAGATCTCGCGATGCGGAATGGCGTCACTATCAAGGAGCTGCATGAAAATAACGCAACGTACCCGCGATAAGTTTATCGGGCGAATGTGCCGGCCTCGTGGAAACTTGCTCCCCCGAGCCATCCGCGTCGCGACGTCGGCGTCGCGACGTACGTGTCGCCCCCCATGTAATACGTAACCCATGTGCAAGGAATGTAGGTAACCCTGGTACATGTCAGTACATGCTGCTCATGCATCTATGTGCACTTTTCGTGTCGATGCACTTAACGAGCGGCGTGCATCGTCGACGGACCTTGTCGTACACTGAGAAAGAAAAAAAAGAAAAATGTCATTGAACCAAAGAAATATTCTGTTAGTTCAAAGAATAATTATACTCGAACTGGAATAAATCGGATGCGACATTTGTTCGGGATTAGGAGAATTTAATTAAAAAAAATATTGTAATGTGAACCGAATTTAGTCATGCCAGCCAAATATTTCGTCCATATAATGACTAAATTCCATGATTAAACCACCAAAAATTGTATTGCTTCATCCAAATATTTTTCTGCGTAATTAACCAAAGAATTTAGTCGTGTCAGCTAAATATTTGGTCCATATAATGACCAAATTCAATGATTGAACGACTAAAAATTATATTGACTGAACGAAATATTTTTTTGCGTGTACGCACCGTGTCAGCTGGTCGTAGCATATGACATGATTAACCAAGCGTAATTAACCAAAGAATTCAGTCATGTTAGCCAAATATTTGGTTCGTATAATGACCAAATTCAATGATTGAACGACCAAAAATTGTATTGATCGAACGAAATATTTTTTTGCGTGTACACACCGTGTCAGCTGGTCATAGCATATGATATGATCAAGCAAAGGTAATTAACCAAAAATTTCAGTCGTGTCAGCTAAACATTTGGTCCATATAATGACCAAATTCAATGGTTGAACTTCCAAAAATTGTATTGATCGAACGAAATATTTTTTTGCGTGTACGCACCGTGTCAGTTGGCGTCATACGGTACGCAGCCGATATATCAACCCCACGAGGGGAACAAGCACTGGGTCTCTTATTGAATCGTATCCCCGCTTTTTTGTTACAGGTCGAGGCCGGTGACGTCATCCTCGGAGTGAACGAAGTTGATGTGAACCGATTTAGCACCAAAGAAGGTACGTTGATCCCCTCGCGTTTCCACGGATGCGATGCATAATAGAAACCCTGAGTACCGGGAAAAGGTAGCTTCTAAGAAGGCACTCGCCTTCTTCAGAAGTAACACTTTGCGTTACTTAAAAAAAAAAAAAAAGAAGAAGAAGAAGAAGAAAAATCGCTCACGCCACTTATGATCTCGAGTGTCCTTGTTACTTCCCCCCAACAATTTGTTGGAAACTCCTATCTACACCACCGCTCAAATATTTTGGGAATAGGTCTTCCGACTGTATGTGATAACGCGTTTTATTAATTACTCGAGTGCAACTCATTAAGGTGTCATGAAACGGTCATTCTGCACCGAAAAAAAAAAAAAAAAGAAGCAAGCATTCGTTGAAACCAAAGAAATATTTTGTTAATTCAAGGAGTTCTACTTAAATAAACTCAAATAAATTGTCATGATTCCTAATAGACGTTGCAGCGTTTATATTCTCGGTTAATAATTAATGTTTGAAGTGCACCATTTGTATATAATAGTATATATTATGGTAATAGAAATAATGGAGGTAAAGAAGAATTATCCTTGGAAGAATCAGCACCGCACTTGTAAAGGCATTTCGCAAAGGAACGATTTATTTATTTATTAGCTTGTTTATTTATCAATGTATTTCTTAGTTTACTTCTTACTTTGCTGCGACAGTAATCTCTTTCATCGATTCGTTCCCTCCAAAATTGAGGAACTTCGTGTCCCGAAATATTTGAGCGGTACCGTACACATCACGTATGTACATAAATGAACTTTTAACCCTGTAACGATACATACTTGAGGAAAACGTTTCCTGTAAACATTACCCGAAATAACCAGCGGAGAAACTTTCGTATAAACTATTTTTCGCTACGATGTCGTTATTTGGTCGAAAAGTTGTGCTTTTGTCCGGCAGAAAAGCGCGAAACGTATTGGTCAACTGATAAATCTTATCATTGATCCAATGGCGGTAAATAATTTCGGAATACGCGTTAGGCGTAGGAACATCTAAGTCGGGGAATATACGGGAAATGTACATGAGAAATGCGACTGTTAAATAAATAAACTCGGTATTTGTCGATTTGAGGGCGAGTGCATCGTTCGAGTGCGCTTTTCGATTTTCGCGACAGATCTTCGCCGGTGGGAAAAATTGACGAGGAAAGTGGCGTTCACTCGGCGACGCGATGTCGGGAAGAATTTTCAACGTCAAGCTTTTCGTTGACGATCGCCGGGAAATCGACGCGCAATGCCTGCTACGAGTGGAATTAAGCTTATTGGAAATTGACTCGCGAACGCGACACTTCGGCAAGTGGTCGTGACACGGATGTCACCCTGGCTGACACCAAATGCGATGCCTAGCACCCCCGATACATTATCGATTCCCTCGTTTTCCCTATTTTCCCCTTATCTCCTTTTTCTGAGAGGATCCTCGGGCTCCTCTTTTCGGCAATAGCTTTACTTTCGCGGATACCGACGAAGGGTGAGGGGCTATTTTTTTTTTTTTTAAGTAATTAGGGAAAACGATTTCCTTCTTTGAGAATCGATTGTCTTAGATTTCATATGATAAACACGGATGTCATCCTGGCTGACACCAAATGCGATGCCTGACACTCTCGATACATTATCGATTCCCTCGTTTTCTCTATTTTCGCCTTATCTCCTTTTTCTGAGAGGATCCTCGGGCTCCTCTTTTCGGTAATAGCTTTACTTTCGCGGATACCGACGAAGGGTGAGAGGCTATTTTTTTTTTAAAGGAATTAGGGAAGACGATTTCCTTCTTTGAGAATCGATTGTCTTAGATTTCATATGATAAACACGGATGTCATCCTGGCTGACACCAAATGCGATGCCTGACACTCTCGATACATTATCGATTCCCTCGTTTTCTCTATTTTCGCCTTGTCTCCTTTTTCTGAGAGGATCCTCCGGCTCCTCTTTTCGGTAATAGGTTTACTTTCGCGGATACCGACAAAGGGTGAGGGGCTATTTTTTTTCTTCTCTTTTTTTTTAAGGGAATTAGGGAAAACGATTTCCTTCTTTGAGAATCGATTGTCTTAGATTTCATATGATAAACGGCAACGTGATTCGGTAACAAATGACGTTTGTTATTAAATTTGTTACGATATTTCGGTGATTTCCAACGATTTTCAGTAATTCCTGCTGCAATTTCATGTAATAAGCAGCAAATTCGGTAGAGTTTCGCGGCTAATACATTAAAAAGCATGCGCGTACCTGTATACTCAAAGGTTTGTACCGAAATCCCGCGTCGCCGCTATCTCGATTAGAGTCGCAAAATTCGCTCTTCGGTTATTCTGCGTTCTCGGGTACCGTTCTTCTGCGTTCTTCAGACACTCGTTGAGGCGCATACGGGATATGCAAATTTCCTGGGAAGAATTGACTCGCCGCAACGCGTAACCGGCTCGGGCGGAAATGGCGATCGAAATCGAGTTGGATAACACCGAGGAGAACAGGCGACGTAAGGAGGAAAGGATTTACGCCCGGCGAGTGGTCACGTTTGAGGTTATGTCGCGGCTATTCGACGTGTCTGCTCTTGGGATAATATTTACTCGTTAACGGGGCGAAAATTTCACTTTCCAAGGGGCATTAAGTACTCGCGGCAATCCAAATATTGCATTATTAAGGAATTTCTTTCCTTCTGCCAAGAGATTGATCTCGACGTAGTTATCGTTGCAAGTCAATCGATTACAATTACTATCGAGTGGAAATGATTTTGCGAAAAAAAAAAAAGTGTCATGACTGGGTATTGAAAATATTCTTGGAAAGTTATTTCACCTTTTGGATGAAACGTTACATTCAACTCGACCGATTTATACGCGATATAAAAGAATATTAAGGTGATATGAAAGGTTATATATATATAACCGTTTTGTATACATGTACCCATAATTATGAAAGTGGTCTAAGTCATATATTTTTTATTTCGAAATTACATTGAATTAATTTCGCTTGAAATAATATGGCGTGAAATAAATGATAAACTCATTTTTTTTTTTAATTTTGACTTAGACCACTTTCATAATTATGGGCACATATATACAGGCTGATTCTTTCATATCACCTTAATATAACGCACTGAACTCTCCTGATAGGTTATCGGCACCTGCACACAAACGGAGAATGATAACCTCTACAATGAGAACGAGAATGACGAATATAAATGCGAGATTAAATACTCCTGGCAAGTGTTAGGAGTTAGCACTCAAACTTCTCCATCGGAGTTCGACATTTCCTTCAAGATGGCGGACATGGAAACCAGGAGAGGGACCAATGACGTCATTTTTATCCCCAGAAATCGATGCACTGAAGAAATTCCCCAGATCAAGTTTCAGCATAAAAATGTCGAAGGCGGGAAAACTATAAAGAAGAAACGAGTGATCTCATATAGCGAAGCTACGCAAACGTTTTCACAAAGAGGAAATCAGACGAATTTGTCGGAAAATGGCGGCGCAAAATTTACATACTCTTGGCAAGATGTGGTTGAAAAACATCTAAGGCAAAAAGAAGCAAACTCTCCACTTCTTCTCACCGGAAAAAACTGTGTAGAACCTTCCTGTATGAATTGATCGTTTGAGACATCGGGAGAAACAAGAATCATCATTCTAGATGGCCTGAAAGACGTCAAGAATTTTCATCGACATCGGTGAAAAAGAGTCTTTGTACTGACGTACTATTTGAAACAGTTATCGATCTTCCTTTTACATGTACCTTTGCCTTAAATAATAAATTACTATTAAAATTGGACTTGTTAAATAAAGGTATATTAAATAAACTCGTCACGTCACAGGTTCATTACACAAGTAAATGGAGCAATTTGAAATCGACTAGTTTCAAATCCTGCCTCAATTTTTTTTCTTGTTGCATGTTATCAAACCACCGAGAAACGTTGATGTAAGCTGCCTTTTCCTGATGCGTAAGTCCACTCTGGAATGAACGACAATTCTTAAATGAAATAAGGCGCTTACAATATTAAAAGGCGCCTTTCAGCCATTTAAACGCTACAGATAAAACATGTCTTTTGCAACTAAAAGAGAAGTACGAGTACAAGCTAAAATCTTTAAAACACTGTAAAACAATTACCAGAATCGTGTACATCCCGTAATACAGAACGAGATCCGCTAATGTTTTCTGCGTCCCGCAAATGTATGTATTGTTCTTCACTGCGGTATTTAACTCCTGTGTAATTGCACAAAATCTATTAACGTTACACTTTCTACTTACAAGATTCTCAATCGTTACAGATTATGTAAAAAGAACGATCATGAAAAATCCCTACCTTTAAAATTCTTTTTGCATTTGCTGCGACGTCTGAATAATTAACGCAAAGCTGCGCATACTCCAACCACTGTCGAGTCTGCGCCTTTACGACGGAATCAAGCCCCAGTATTTCGGAATACTTCGACACGCTGGCCAAATACAATAATATCGTCTCAAAGCCTTTAACGTCTTCATTTTCAAGGTTATGATTCTTCAAAGTAACCTAAACGTTATCAAAAAAGCTTAGAAAATCCCCAAAATAAAATTCTAAGATTCATCGTTTATTAACGATTTATTATTATTTTTCAACACAATCGTAACTAAAATTGTAAAAGTACGATTAAAAATTGAAACGTGTATTTTAGGTTAAATCGGACTTACAACATTGTCGATTATTTGTAGTTTCCCAGGAGTGACCTCGAGATATTCTGAAATTTTGTTCAAACATTCTATACCGTAGACGACCATTTTGAACTACAAACAAGAAATGACAACAAACCACAATAAATTGACAGGTTAACTCGACGCAAAGAATTCAGGGGGTCTATTACATAAAGCAAGTTGAGCGAAAATGTGAAAAATGAGTAGCTTACGGTATTACGGAACGTTTCTGGTGGTGAAAATGCGAGATCATTCATATAGCGAATAAGTAATTCGGCGAATAAACCCACGTGAGATGAAAGTGCGAGAAGTGAGCGCTCTCGCCAAAAATACGTAATAAACGCCCAGGTCACCTTAAGGGGGTCTATTACGTAAAGTAAATTGAGCGAAAATGTGAAAAATTAGGAGCTCACGGTATTACGGAACGTTGTTGGTGGTGAAAATGCGAGAAAGCTTTAAAGAGTTCCATTATACCTACAAAACTATCGGTAAATCTCAACGAAAAATATAAATTACTTCCATCAAAATGACAAATACCAAGAAAATGATAAATAGGAAATTGTCACCCACAAATAATTTCTAAAGGAGTGGAATAAAGGTTAACTTGCGCATCTCGTGCTTAAATATCAAAGCGTATAATACAAACGTAAATTACACAGGTATAAATTTCCATCCACGATAAAAAGAACATCAAGCCCGGCAACCCGCAGGATGGAAACGATCAATCGTAATGTAATGTCGTAACTTTGGATACTTTCAAACCTTCTGACACAATTACTACGTTTCCATCGTACTCCAAGTCCGGGACTTATCGAGTCCAAACCCAGTAAATCCGAATTTAAGTGTCGATCGAAACGCTCAGAATCGAATCTGGGTATTTATTAATGCGATGGAAACACGTGATTTACTAAACCCAGATCCGATAAATCGCGGATTTAGGAATAAGATGGAGACGTAATCGCAGACTCGAAATCCAGGATTCATTGAATCCAAACTCAGTAAATCCGAATTTAAGAATCGATCGAGACGCTTAGAATCGAATCTGGGTATTTATTAATGCGATGGAAACACGTGATATACTAAACCCAGATCCGATAAATCGCGGATTTAAGAGTACGATGGATACGTAATCGCTCACTCGAAATCCAGGATTTATTGAATCCAAGCTCAGTAAATCCAACTTTAAGAATCGATCGAGAAGCTCAGAATCGAATCTGGGTATTTATTAATGCGATGGAAACACGTAATATACTAAATCCAGATCCAATAAAACGCAGATTTAGGAGCACGAGACGTAGTCACTGACTCGAAATCCAGGATTTATTGAATCCAAATCCAGTAAATCCGAATTTAAGTGTCGATTGAGACGCTCATCTGTGAATTTATTAATATCATGGAGACGTGATTTACTAAATCCAGATCCGATAAATCGCAGATTTAAACGTACGATGGAGACGTAATCGCTGACTCAAAATCCAGGATTTATTAAATCCTAATCCAGTAAATCCGAATTTAAGTATCGATCGAAACGCTCAGAATCGAATCTGCGAATTTATTAATGCGATGGAAACACGTGATATACTAAATCCAGATCCGATAAATCCCGGATTTACGAGTACGATAGAGACGTACCCATTAATGCAATGGATTTGATTTTGCGTGATAATAACCACGGAGTTACTAAATCACATAATGATACTTCCACTTCCGCCGGCGCACTAGAATATCCGCTGAATTGACTCCTCGCCGTAATAGACACTCTTAAACGAGGAAAAATCGCATTCGCACTGTAAATAGCTAAAATATATCCCCCAATCTGCCGACTACTGGCTCGTAAACGTATTTACATTACACAGCACCGTAGGATATACGTTCTCCGCTTAAGCATATGTTAAAATTCAGACTTTGAGAATGGTAAAAAAATGCCCAACGCTGCGGACGTGACTCCATTTTTATTTTAAGACATTAAGATGATATGAAAGAGTCAGCCTATATATATCTGATAAGTCAAATCGTTGGGGAAAGTATTCCCCGAATTGGAGGTACCGATTAGTTCCAAATTTTCCCACGGGAATGTGGAGGCGCTAAGGTAGGTCCTGAAACTCAGGAAATTTGATTTTTCATCGAAAATTTATTTATTTATCATGGACTGGAACCAACATGGCGGGGTCCGGACACCTTTTCGATGTTTTACGCTTCTTGGAGGCTTAGAATCGAAAATAAAGAGTTTCAGGACCTAGCTCGAACAATTTAGAATACCGTAGAAATGGAATATTACAGAGTCTGATGGGAAAATATGGAAAATACTTTCACGAACGATTGCGAGAGAATGCTGGCTCGTCTCGGGGTTAACGCGGGTTTTTAGCGGAAAAATTTAGTTGCGGCTGAATGTCACAGATGGCGCCGATGGTCCGTTAGAGTATTAAAAGAATATGGAAAGAATCAGCCTGTATATATCTGAGAAGTCAAATCGTTGCGGAAAGTATTCCCCGAATTGGGGGTACCGATTAGTTTCAATTCTTCCCACGGGAATGTGGAGGCGCTAAGGTAGGTCCTGCAACTCAGGAAAATTAATTTTTCATCGAAAATTTATTTATTTATCATGGACTGGAACCAACATGGCGGGGTCCGGACACCTTTTCGATGTTTTACGCTTCTTGGAGGCTTAGAATCGAAAATAAAGAGTTTCAGGACCTAGCTCGAACAATTTAGAATACCGTAGAAATGGAATATTACAGAGTCTGATGGGAAAATATGGAAAATACTTTCACGAACGATTGCGAGAGAATGCTGGCTCGTCTCGGGGATAACGCGAGTTTTCAGGGCAATCATTTAGTTCTAGCTAAACGTCACAGATGGCGACGCTGGTCCTAAACAGTCGTTAGAATAATGAATTCCCGGGATTTCGACAGTTTTACATCGATCTCTTCGTCATTACTTTACCGAAAAGACATATGGAACGCTTCAGTTCGTATAATCATCAACGTAGACTGTAAAAGACTCCAACATAAATATAAATGTCGGTAACGAGACGCGCCAGCTTATGTTCCCTCTTGAATATTCAAAATGGCGTTCGCGCCAAAAAGGGTATAAGGAAAATATGGAAAATACTTTGTCCGACGATTGCAAGAGAATGCTGACTTGTCTTGGGGATAACGCGGGTCTTTAGAGGAAAAATTTAGTTCCAGCTAAACGTCACAGATGGCGACGCTGGTCCTAAACAGTCGTTAGAATAATGAATTCCCGGGATTTCGACAGTTTTACGTCGATCTCTTCGCCATTACTTTACCGAAATGACATATGGAATGTTTCAGTTCGTATAATTATCAACGTAGACTGTAAAAGACTCCAACATAAATATAAATGTCGGTAACGAGACGCGCCAGCTTATGTTTCCACTTGAGTATTCAAAATGGCGTTCCCGCCAAAAAGGGTATAGATGAATTTCACTTTATCGACGTCGATTAAATTCCCTAGCGCCTTTCATATCATCTTAACACTAGAACTCCCTAACGGGTACATTCTGTATTTCTTTGTATATCTTTCGTTGTTAGCGAGACAAGACGCTGAAATTTTACCTTTTATTAAAACTATCCATTAAGGTGTTGTCTCACCATTTCTTTTTTTAACCTTAAGACATCTTTAATATATGAATTTTTGCACTTGGTGCGTGGGGAGTTCTAGGTCTCTTAAAATTCTAGTGATAATTTACTAGACTTAGGGAGCTTCGTCGCATGGCGTCGGTACGACAATTACAAATTACTAAATAATTATTAAAAAAAGAAGTGAAACCTTTACAAACGACTTCTTTGATGTTAAACATCTTTGGTACATTTTTCATGTTTTTATTGTTGTGACAGAAAAAATGTCATAAATTCTCATAAATTCGCACAAATTCTCAGAGAATTTCTTAATCGGTCATATTCTCGGTAATATTTCCTAATTAATGTAACCATAATTAAAAATGAAATTAAAATGTCCACACAGTATAATAATACTTCACAATTTTTTTAAATGGCGTGAATATTATTTTTAAAAATGCCACTTCTCATACATTCCCATAAATTTCCATAAGTTCCCATAAATTTCCATAAATTCTCTGGGAAATTTAATCATCGGGCAAATACTCAGTTACTGATAACACACTAAAGTTTTTAATTAAATAATTTGTTCATGTACTTGTCGCTTGTCAAGATTTCACTTCTCTTCGTAACGACCATAAGATTAATTATTAATATTTATTTCGCAGTTCATTAAAAAAACACCCTAGATACCCTAGACGTTGATAACGAGTATTTGGGAAAGACAGCACATCGCGTGATCTCTCGATAAGATCCAGCTGAGTATTCCTTGGCAATTGCAAAAAGTGAAATTAATAATCGAGGACGAAAAGTCCTTGGCGAGCGAAGCGTGGCCTTGAGGTCGACCTCGATGTCGCTTATCGAGATGATTAAATCATCTTGCGGCTCTTCTGCGGGAACCTGAAGAATCCTGACGATTTGAGGATGTTGCAGGATCCTCTTTTATGTAGAATCGTTTTCTTGTTCCTTGTTCCGTAGATCTTAGAAGGGGTCCTTGAAGATCTTGAAGAGGTTCTTGAAGAGGTTCTTGAAGGGATTCTTGAAGATCAAGAAGTTCCTTGAAGATCTTGAAGAGGTTCTTGAAGAGGTTCTTGAAAAGGTTCTTGAAGGGATTCTTGAAGATCAAGAAGTTCCTTGAAGATCTTGAAGAGGTTCTTGAAGAGGATCTTGAAGAGGTTCTTGAAGGGATTCTTGAAGATCAAGAAGTTCCTTGAAGATCTTGAAGAAGTTCTTGAAGAGGTTCTTGAAGAAGTTCTTGAAGAGGCTGAAGTTCCTTGAAGATCTTGAAGATCCTGAAGAAGTCCTTGAAGACCTTGAAGAGGTTTTTGAAGAGGCTGAAGTCCTTCAGGAGGTCTTGAAGATCCTGAAGAAGTCTTTGAGGACCTTGAAGAGGTTCTTGAAGATCCTGAAGAAGTCTTTGAGGACCTTGAAGAGGTTCTTGAAGATCCTGAAGATCCTGCAAGTCGATGATGAAGAGGTCCTTGAAGACGATGCTGAAGAGTTTCTTAAAGGTTTACTCAGAGAGAGCAGTTTTCTTTGATTTCGAATTCTTGCGAATCGATGATGAGGTCCTTGAAGAGGTCCTTAGAGAATTTAATTGTTGCTAATCGATGATGAAGTCCTTGAAGAGGTCCTTAGAACATTTAATTGTTGCGATAATGAAGAGGTCCTTAGAGAATTTAATTGTTGCAAATCGATGATGAAGAGGTCCTCGAAGGGAGTACTGAAGAGATTCTTGATGATTTACACGGAGAGGGTTGAAGAGGTCCTTAGAACATTTAATTGTTGCGATAATGAAGAGGTCCTTGAAGAGGTCCTTAGAGCTTTTAATTGTTGCAAATCGATGATGAAGAGGTCTTTGAAGAGGCTTCGGCTCCCTTTGATCCTTAGGAGCGAATTGTTGCGAATCGATGATGAAGAGGTCCTTGAAGAGGTCCTTGGAGCATTTAATTATTGCAAATCGAAGAGAGTGCAGAAGGGATTCTTGATGATTTACAGGGCAGTTGAAGAGGTCCTTAGAACATTTAATTGCGATAATGAAGAGGTCCTTGAAGAGGTCCTTAGAGCTTTTAATTGTTGCAAGTCGATGATGAAGAGGATTGAAGAGTTTCTTCAAGTTTTACTGGAAGAGGGCAGTTCTTTTTTTATCCTCAGAGGAATGAATTGTTGCAAGTCGACGATGAAAAGGTCCTTAAGATCCTGAAGAGGTCCCTCCTAGAGTTGCATGAAGTTTGACGTTGCTCTTCGCAACTCTTCAGGTTCTTCTTCTCAGGTTCCCGGGTGACGCGACCTCCTGCGAGAAGACTTCCGTTTCTTGGCAATGACAAAAGCTAAAATCAAGGCAGGAAACCCCATGGAAAGCAAGGTATTACGAGTCGGGAGAAGAGCGACGAGAGGAGCTGGCATTGAGTCGAGACACTTTGTGGCAGACTTCAGGATCTCCGGAGGAGCCAACTTGCATCTTGCAGCTCCTCTCCGAGACTCGGGACCTGGTGGATCGCAAGCGATCAAGGGAGCCATTCCTGGAGAACCTGCGATCAGCTAAACTCAGTCTAGAAAAATCGATCTCCTCGTCCAGGGAGCCGATTACCCTCAACTCCCCGTGGGAAGGGTCCTGAAGAACACCCTGAAGAGTGCCTTGGAGAACATCCTGATGACCTCCTTGATGATCACCCTGAAGAAACGGTCGCCTCGTCGGCAACCTCTTCGGGCTCTCGGAGACCTCGAAGGAGACCCTCCTCTCGCCAAAGTCCTCGTCGGACCTCTTCAGGGTCTCCTGGATGGTACCAGGGTACTCCGAAATGTCCGACTGCACTTCCTGCGGCTCCGAGTCCTTTTTTTCAGATCTGAGGATGGAGGATCTCGAAGACCCAGTGTTGGAGGGTTGCTCCTTCCTGACGTCGTTCAAGGACCTCCTCTCCAGGAACTCCTCTCGAAACTTTCCAATCTTAATATGGCCCGCGGACTGTGCCCGTTTCCTCAAGGTCATCTGTCTAAGACACCCTGAGGAGTCTCCCCCCAGGTCCTCGACGGGACCGTCCAAGAAATGGCCGCGCCTCCTGATCATCGCATCGTCCAAAAAATTCCCACGCTTCTGCGTGACTTCTTCGCCCTCTCCCCCCGGCTGCTTCAGGATGGGCTTCAGGGTGTCCTCGACCTGACGCTTCCCCTGCCTGACATCGTCCAAGGAGGCGGACTCGCAGGACCTCCTGTCCAGGACCTCCCCCCCGAAGTTAGCAACCCTGACGTGACCTACGGACTGCGCCCTCTTCCTCAGGATCCCCTCCCTAGGGTCCATCGGGATCTCGAAGTCCTCATCTCCGAGAGTGACGTACCCATGTACCCCGAGAGCCTGTCTCAGGATGGACCCGAACTGGCAGGACCTGTTCCCGAGGAAGGTCAGCTTTTTCGGCGAAGCAAGGCAGGAGGACTCGCTGGTGGAATCGTCCTGGGAGCTCCTCAGGGTGCACTTCAGGATGGTCCTCTTGGGCCTGTCCTCGTGCTCCTCCGAGTCGGTGCTGGACTTCTTCTTCAGGATCGGCCTGGCCTCGCTGGGGACGTTCTCCTCCCTCGTCGACTTCTTCTTCAGGATCGGCCGAACCTCCGAGGGGTCCGTCGAGTCCTCCGGCCCTGAAGAGGACGCCGATGTCGCGTGGTGACCTCCGATGCTCGATCCTCCTGATGATTTCCTCTTCAGGATGCTCTGCGGCTCCGAGAGGCTCGACTGCTGGCGCTCGTCCTTCTCCTCGTCCTTCGACGAGGACCTCCTCTTCAGGATCGACGGCGGGTGCGAGTCCGGGCTCCGGGTCCTCCGGACGATCTCGTCCAGCGAGGACCTCCGCTGGTTCTTCAGGATCGGCCGGAACTCCTGGAAGTGGAATTAAGTCAGGGTTAATCAAAATCGTGATTACTTAAAATAATATACATACATCCTTGATTTTTTTAATCACGGTTTATATTACAATTAAAAAATAAAAAACTGTGAGAATCGCAATTAATATCGTGATTAAAAAATGAAAAAATCACGATTAAAGCCATGATTCAAAAATTAAAAAATCACGATTAAACTATGATTAAAAAATTAAAAAATCACGATTAAAGCCACGATTAAAAAATGAACAATCACAATTAAAGCCATGAGTAAAAAATTAACAAATCACGATTGAAAAATAAAAATCAATTTTTTTTAAATCATGATTAAAATCACGATTTAAATAACAATATAAAAGATAAAAATATCGCGATTAAGGTCACAAATAAAAAAATGTATAAATCATGGTTAATAAGAATCACGATTAATATTACAATTAAAAAAAGGTTTGATTTAAAAATGGCACTTTTTTTTATAATATTTGTATTTTTAAATTGAATACCTGGTTTAATATATCGGATTAATCAACTTAATACTGCTTCGATGTAAATTACGAAATTTATTAATAAGTACCGATACTTTGGTGGTATCGATTCATCTCTACCTGGAAGGTCGTCTGCGAGACGTCAGGCGAGCGGCTCCTCCTCCTTAGGATCTCGTTCTCGTCCAGACTGCTGCGCTTCTTCAGGATCCCATGTCTTCTGTCCATCGAGAAGGTCACCGGAGGAGAGGAGTGCAGAGGACCTTGCTCTTCAGGAGTTGACTTGTTCTTCAGGATCGATACTGGAGCTGTGCATCGCTGCAGCGAAGAATCTCTAGAGCCTCCCTCGTTGGACCTCTTCAGGATCGAAGACTTGCTGGGAGACGAAGGCTGCGAATCTTGAAGAGACTGGTTGGAGTGCTTCGAATTCTGATCACTCAAGGACGACATCTCTATGGAGTGCAAGGAAGTCAATGACGAAGAAGAACCCGATGTAAACCTTTCTGGGCACTCCATCGTCACTCTCTTTTCTGGGGATGATTTCACTCTTCGAAGCACATTGAAACCATCTTGAAGAGACGATGAACATCCTTCGCTTGGTCTTTTCAAGATCGAAGACTTATTGGGAGACGAAGGCTGCGAATCCTGAAGAGGGAAGTTAGAGTGCTTCAAAGTCTCGGAGCTCAATGTCGAAGATGAACCTGAAGTAATCCTTTCCGGGCACTCCATCGTTACTCTCTTTTCAGGGGATGACTTCACTCTACGCATTACATTGAAGCCATCTTGAAGAGTTGATGATGAACATCCTTCATTTGGTCTCTTCAAGATCGAAGACTTGCTGGGGGACGAAGGCTGCGAATTCTGAAGAGGGAGGTTTGAGTGCTTCGAGTTCTGGTCACTTCCCAAGGACACTTCTACGGAATGCATAGAGTTTAATGACGAATAGGAGCCTGAAGTAAACCTTCCTAGGCACTCTGATCTCTTTTCAGGGGACGTCTTCACCTTGCGAAGCACATTAAACCCATCTTGAAGCATCGAATACGAACAACCGTCATTAGCTCTCTTCAAGATCGAAGACTTGCTAGGTGACGAAGGCTGTGAGTCCTGAAGACTCAAATTACAGTTCTTCGAGGTCTGATCGTTTGCCCCTTTACGGAAAACATTAAATCCATTTTGAAGAACTGAAGGCGAACAACTTTCATTAACTCTCTTCAAGATCGAAGACTTGCAGGGAGACGAAGGCAGCGAATCCTGATCGCTCAAGGCCCCGTCTCTAGAAAGCACACAACTCAATGCAGATGAAGACCCTGAGGTAAACCTTTCTAGACACTCCACTCTCCTTTCAGGAGATGTCTTCACCTTACGAAGCACATTAAACCCATCTTGAAGCACCGAAGATGCACACCCGTCACTGACTCTCTTCAAGATGGAGGATTTGCAGGGTGACGGAGGCAGCGAACCCTCTCGAACCTCACTCTGCACCCTTTCTAACCTCTCCTCGATATGTGCTTCATTAAAATGCGAGTTAACATTAAATATAGGTCTGTCTGATACATCGATGACCACTCTCCTCTCCACAACTGATCTCATCCTCCACGAAATGTTTTCACCTTCCCGAAGAGTCACCGAGCCACCTTCCCCAGGTCTCTTCAGGATGGAGGATCGACTCGGCGACGATGGCTCTGAATCCTGAAGACGTCTCACGAAGTTCTGATCATTTCTTCTCGAAGAATCCTCCAAATTTATGGAGTTCTCGGAATTTATAGAAGCTACGGGATCTGAAACAGACCAGAGTTGTGCAGTGACTCGTCATTTGAGGTTATTTACATGAAATACTTAAGGGAAGCATTTTACGTCAAATCCAATTCAAATACCTGATAAATTACACGACTAAGATGGCAGAACTGTAACCTCACTTTTTCAAAGTGGCCAAAATATACGTCACTTGTGAATAAACACTTTAGCCAAAGAAAGAAAAAAATAAAGAATAATGGCAAGGAGGGGCGAACCATTAAAAAGATCTAGGCTTCGACGTTCCAGTTTTTTATATGTTCCCTGGGAAATTTTTTATTTTAAACATATTAGAAATAGGAACTGCGGAAACATAAAGTCTCATACTCGTGTAATTCACATTGCGTATGAAATTTGTAAAGTAACATCCCTAGTAATTTCCTTTAAAATAACCAGGTAAATTACCTAGGGTATTTTACTTACCCAACCCTGGAACAGAGTCTGCATCCCCTTCGAGTCTATCAGGGTTCTCCGACCTTGAGGCGTGAGTTTCCCCTCTACCTAATTCGCGAGCGCTGATTGGCTGCTCGCCGACCAATGAGAGCGCGGCATGGGCCGGGGAGTGGGGGGACCTCGGCGGGGATTGGTCTACTTCGCCATCGAACGACTTATTCTTCAAGATGGAAACCGGTGCGCGAGTTCGATGACTGTGGTGCTTCCTAGACCTCTTCATCATCGACTTTCCTGGTGAGGAATGGTGCGCGTCCTGGTGCATCGTCGTCGAGAGCCTCGTACTCTGCTCGTTCGTTACTGACACCTCTGTAGACCTTGGCGAGGTTAGGGACAAGTTCGTTGTGGACTTGTACCTTTCGACTCCCTCCATCGTCACTCTCTTTCCCACGGTGGATGGTTTGATTTTCCGAGGAACGACCAGGACGTCTTTTCTGAAGCCACTGCAAACATTTCATGTATTAAAAAGTGCAACTATTAAGGTGATATGAAAGGCGCTGAGAAATTTAATCAACCTCGAGAAATTAAAATTCATCTCTACCCTTTTTGGTGGTAACGCCATTTTGAATACTCAAGTGGAAACATAAGCTGGCGCGTCTCGTTACCGACATTTATATTTATGTTGAAGTCTTTTACAGTCTACGTTGATAATTATACGAACTTAAGCGTTCCATATGTCATTTCGGTAGAGTAATGACGAAGAGATCGACGTAAAACTGTCGAAATCCCGGGAATTCATTATTCTAACGACTGTTTAGGACCAGCGCCGCCATCTGTGACGTTTAGCTGCAACTAAATTTTTTCTCTAAAACACATGTTAACCCACGAGACGAGCCAGCATTCTCTTGCAATCGTTGGGGAAAGTATTTTCCATATTTTCCCATCAGACTCCGTAATATTCCATTTCTACGATATTCTAAATTGTTCGAGCTAGGTACTGAAACTCTTCATTTTCGATTCTAAGTCTTCAAAAATCGTAAAACATCGAAAACGTACATGGACCACGCCACGTTGGTTCTACTTCATGATAAATAATTAAACTTTGCATAAGAAATTAAATTTCATGAAACGCCTGTTAACATTACAAAAAAAATATGTGTACAGTTTGTCTCCAAATGGCAGCGTCATGTAGTACCATTAAATTGTCTAAAAATTAATAAGATGCAAGAAAATATTACATTACATTCGTGTAAAAAAAACATGTTCTTTTTTTTATATCACTTGGACTGAATACTTTCTGTCAAGAATTGATAAAAACACTATATCATGAAAACATAATTGACCTAACCTCTCTGAATACCTATGTTCGAATCTCAAAAACTTCAAGCTGAATCTTTACCTCGATTGTTGTATACCGCACCGACTCGTGCTGGAATGCGAAGAAACAGAGGCAATATCGGAATCCGCCACCCGAGTCTCTGCACGACTTCCACGTGACTGGGCATTAATTTTGACAAAACCACCGTTTGATTCCCGATGACGTCTGCGAATGCAAGACGTGCTTCCCCTGAAAGGCGCTGCGCAGCCTGTCGAAGTTATCGCTTCGGAGACCTGCGTACGCATGATCGCCAGGGTCTTGGTCTCGCCTTGGAAGGTCTTATCTGCAACGGCAAGAAAACGGCATCAATATTTAAAAATTAAAGAACGCACTTCTACATAAAGAATCGAAGAAACAGGAAGACCGATTGCAAATTGAAGCAATCCCAGATAGACAAAGCGATGCAAAATTTGCATGAAATTCGCCTCATAAAAGAAATGAAATTGCATAACACGCGCACATATATTGCAGACATTTCATGCAGCAGGTGGTCCGGAAATTCTTTGTAAATCGATTTTCCTCATCGTACGATGTTCACGAATTTCTATCTGGGACGTTCCGCAATGCATAACAGTCCACCTGCCTAAAACAAAGAAAACGATAACAAAGAGTGGATTTCTCCTGCCTCGGTAAACCTGGTGACGATTGGGTAATTAAATTAATTCGTTACCTTCTTACCTAACAGAGGCATTTCCAGTTCCTACAGACTTCATGAATCTAGCATTCCTAACCCGAGTCTGGAGGATAAAGGACTCGAAGAAAGAGATCTTGAAATTCTGCAGAGAAACTTCCTTCGAGGGTGAAAGTCCTTTTAAAGGGAAATGCAAAATCGAAGAGAAATGGAGAGCAGATTTGACGAGCCCTTACCACGCCGTTACGGCCGGGAGAATTGAAACTTTACGACGCAGGCATGAAAACCAACGATTGCGCCAAGAATTCCTTAATGACACTTGTCAAGTGTCAGTTATCAAGAAGTCTGACGCACGAGTCGGCAAACGAAGGAGAGGAATAAACGCTGAGAAGAATTGGAGACGAACTACAAGATTAATGTGGCGCCATCTGGCGGCAGTCGTGAAAACCCCATACCCAATTCCTACTGAAACAACTTACCGATAGAAATCTACAGGTTTGTTCGCATTGCACTTTCTACACTCTAGGGTAACGAGCAAGGCGTTTATGGCGGATTTTTGACGAGAACGCTCACTTCTCGCACTCTCATCTCACGTGAGTTTATTCGCCGAATTACGTACTCGCTATATGAAAGAACGAGATCACTAGCACTTTCGGTCTAGTAATATTGCCAAATAAAGGGCGTTTATTATATATTTTTGACGAGAGCGCTCACTTCTCGCACTCTCATCTCACGTGAGTTTATTCGCCGAATTACGTATTCACTACATGGAAGAACGAGATCACAAGCATTTCTGGTCTAGTAATATTGTTAAATAAAGGTTGATACCTTGTAAATCGAAAATTGTTGAGACTACGTTCAAAATTAAAAGGCTAAATCGTTCTATACATGAAGAAAATATATTAATCATTATTTCTATTTATATTACGTTAAGATATTGGGAGAAAATTTGTATTTTCCTGTTTGTTGGTTCTTTCAATTTTGAAATTATAGTAATCGAAAGACTCACATTTGATTGGAATAAAGGCAAAAAAGTGTCTTATGCACTTCTATGCTAAAACAATGGTAACGCAATGTATCGGAGAGAAAATTTAGTTTCCCCTAAAATCACAGTTGGCGCAGGGTGGCACTCTGCTGCGAATTAGGGCATCGAAAACCATGAATCTACGAAGAAAGCTCTTAAAGTTTGCCAAGGACAATTTAATATAATAATTCCTATCAAAGAGGACTCATAGAAATGAAAATCCTTGAAACGAGAACCCCTAAAGCTAACCTAATTTAAAATAAAAGGACTCACGTACTGATAATTATTTCTACGCATGGTGAGAATTTCTATACGTGATTAATTCTTCGCCACCTATGTAAAATCTAAGTAGATATATAATATACATATATGTACAATATAAACGTGCCACATAAGCATGCATATATTTCTTTCTCCTTAATTAAACTACACCTCGATATATTAATCGAACACATAACCTAATGAACGTATATTTATTCCATATCAGACTTTCAAATGGTATATTCAAACATACGCGAGCGATTAGACGATAAAAGTTATTTTGTACCTTTAAATAATCGGAGTGCCGTCGTGTACACACTAGGATGATCGTTAAAAAATATAAATTTCGACATTTTTATTATCACACCCCCGTCGACCTCCTCCAAATGATAATTGAAAGGTCCAACACTAGGTTGATAGGTTCAACATTATTTACAGGTCGCACAATAGCCCTTGAATTATTTTCGCATGATCTGATCGAAGCAATCGATCCTGGCGAAGACAATGCTATAAGGATTTCAAGAATCCGAAGAGTCAGACCTACGTATTATAATTTACAACGAGAACTTCTTACTCCGAGGATTCCCGACGTTCTATAGAATGATATAACTATGATAACGCGCAAGGAAGATTAAAAAATGTATTTAGCCATTAAGGGGATGTGAATGTAGCGTCAAAGAAGTCTCCCTTTTCTAACTTTTCTCTTAACTGAGTGTACTAAATCGTTTCAAACTTTACAATGTGAATATGTAGAATTCGACATTGGAATCCTCGCTTACAAATTCATTAAACTTCTTCTTTGACATCCTTCCCACGTCTTATTGGTACTTCATCGAACAACAGTACTATTTTATCCTCTCGTAACACTCTTCAGGGTAGACATCGACATTGGAATCCTCTCATGCAAATTTAAATCCCTCTTCAACATCTTTACCACGTTTTAATGGTACTTCATCGAACACCAGTACTGTTTTCCCTTCTCGTAATACTCTTCATCGAACACCAGTACTGTTTTTCCTTCTCGTAACACTCTTCAGGGTAGACATCGACATTGGAATCCTCTCATGCAAATTCAAATCCCTCTTCGACATCTTTACCACGTCTTATTGGTACTTCATCGAACACCAGTACTGTTTTCCCTTCTCGTAACACTCTTCATCGAACACCAGTACTGTTTTTCCTTCCCGTAACACTCTTCATCGAACACCAGTATTGTTTTTCATTCTCATAACAATCTTCAGGGTAGACTTCGATATTGTAATCCTCTCATGCAAATTCAAATCCCTCTTCGACATCATTACCACATCTTATTGGTACTTCATCGAACACCAGTACTGTTTTCCTTCTCATATCACTGTTCAAGATAAAACTCAACATTGGAACCCTCTCATGCAAATTCAACTCCCTCTTCAACATCTCCACGTCCGACTGCCACTTCATCTTAAACCTGACCTGCCTTTTCTTCTCCTAAAACTCTGCAAAACAAGATGTAAGAGTTGGTTCGGCGAAAGAGACCATGATGCTCGGTTGAGTTTTGCACCAAGTGCATTATTCAAGGCGTACAGGATGACGACGCCGACAAAGTGCTCCCTCTTCAACATTTCCACGTTCGACTGGCACTTCATCTCAGACCAGACCTGCCTTTTAATCTCTTCATGTTCTTCATGGAAGAACTCGACCTAGATCCCTTCCTCAAGGTAGGTCTCTACCATGGAGCGCCAGTACTGCCTCTCCTTCTCACGGAAAAAATTCGTCAGGGTATATCTCGACCTCGTTATCTTCCCTCTCCCTTCTAAAATCCGCTTTAGATCCTCTCCTCGATGTAGGCTTTTATCGCCGCCTGGCACTCCGTCGAGCACCAGTGCTGCACTAAAATGTAACTCTCCGACTCCAAAGCCGCGTCCAGCTTCTTGCGGAGATTCTGACGAAGAAGAGCCTTCGTCGCTTCCATGGACTGCGAACAAACGAAACGAGTGGACTATAGGCCGTGATTATGTTATCATTCTCCACCAAAAGTCAGATCTTTCAATGCCTATCGGGTATGGCGAGAGTTGCCTATTACGTGCTACGTCACAGTTTAGTTCCTAGGGAGGAAAGTAGTTACTTTCTGCCCGCAAAAAAATGAACTACGTCACAATTTACCTCCCAGGGAAGAAAGTAGCCACTTTCTGCCCGCGAAAAAATGAACTACGTCACAATTTACCTCCCAGGGAAGAAAGTAGTCACTTTCTGCCCGCGAAAAAATGAACTGCGTCACAATTTACCTCCCAGGGAAGAAAGTAGCCACTTTCTTCCCGCAACAAAAAATGAACTATGTCACACTTTACCTCCCAGGGAAGAAAGTATCCACTTTCTGCCCGTGAAAAAATGAACTACGTCACACTTTACCTCTCAGAGTGGAAAGTAGCCACTTTCTGCCCGCAACAAAAAATGAACTACGTCTTAGTTTACCTCCCAGGGAAGAAAGTAGCCACTTTCCACCCGCAAAAAAAAAATGAACTGCTACAAGTTTTAGAGCATCAAGCGCTAACTTAGGATCTGGGCTTCTATGGGACTTCTGAATTCTTTGGTAATACTCTATTTCTCGTGTAAGTCACCTACCTGTGAGGATTGATCGCTCATGGATCGCAAAGAAGGCAGCAATTCCAGCTGAAACCGATCGGGCCATAAAACCCTCGTAACGAGTCCCGCTCTTAACGCCTCGTTAGCCGTTAACGTTCTCCCGCCCAGCAGCAACTCGCTTGCCTGTAAATAAAACAAAAGTCAATTCTAGGGTATCTATCCTAATCTATCCTGAGAATTAAATCCATGAAGAAATATGCTCTTGGCGCGGAACTCAACCGCCTGTTTCATGCTTCTTCCATGAAACGCAATCGTGTCATTTAACAAAACAGCGGGTAAACATTTGAAATTAAAATAAATTCATAACGAAGAAATATAAATTAAGATCGGTGATCTTGGCGCGGAACTCAACCGCCTGTTTCATGCTTTTTTCATGAAACGCAATCGCATCATTTGACAAAACAGCGAATAAACATTTGAAATTAAAATAAATTCAAAGCGAAGAAATATAAAATAAGAGCGGTGCTCTTGGCGCGGAACTCAACCGCATCCTTAGAAAAAACATCACGATTATGTTTCATGCTTTTTGCATAAAACACAATAGTGTCATTTGACAAAACAGCGGGTAAACATTTCAAATTAAAATAAATTCTAAACGAAGAAATATAAATTATGATCGGTGATCTTGGCGCGGGACTCAACCGCATCCTTAGATAAAACACCGCGATTGTGTTTCACGGTTTTTCCATTAAACACAATAGTGTCATTTAAGAAAACAGCGGGTAAACATTTGGAATTAAAATAAATTCATAACGAAGAAATATAAATTAAGGTCGATGCTCTTGGCGCGGGACTCAACCTCATCCTTAGATAAAACACCGGGTAAAGATATAAAGTTAAAGTCAATTTAAAAAAAGAAACAAATCAGGAAAGAAGTTTCGCAAACTGACCACGGCGTTCCCTAGGATGTGGGAAAGGGTGAAAATGGCGGCGCCTTCGGCGATCTGTCCCAGTTTCCCATACGGCGTACTGAAGGTCGCCTTATCACTGGCTATCACCAGGTCGAACAAAGGCAGAATCGTCACGCCGAGTCCAACAGCCGCACCCTGGACCCCCGCGACTATTGGCTTATTGAACGCTGCCAAATTCTTGATGAACTCCCTAAAAATTAAATCATTATTGATTCATTGAATTCATTATTCTAACGACCATTTAGTACCAACGGCGCCATCTGTGACGTTTAGCAGCAACTAAACGTTCTAAAAACACGCCTTACCGACTGAACAGGAAGATATTCATGAAATTTCAATTTCTCCTGGTAATATACGGATCACTCCTAATTATTAAGGATTATTCCTATGAACCACCTGAACCTTTCGGTATGCAAATGACATACTTGACGCTATTGGCCATATCCTGGGCGCGAATTCGGCGTTCCTCCTTGTTCGCCTGCAGAAGACCTGACAATTCGAGGCCCTCGCAGAAGCTGGACCCGGTCGACGTCAACAGCACTATCCGACATGCGTCATCGTTCCTGAGTATCGAGAGGGTGTCGCACAGCTCCTTCATAACCTAAAATGGTCACCATTCGATCAGGGGTCACTCAAAAAATCACGAACAAAATACTTAAAGTCGCATTTACCAAACTATCAGTGTAAACAATGGTGTTTCAAGGCTGAACGATAGACACTTTTTGGCCGTATAATCCAAAGACAAAACATGACCGTTTACACCGATAGTTTAATAAATCCACGCCTTTCTACGCGTACCAAGTGATCGGTGTAAACTAAACCTTAACCCTTTTAGTGCCGACCGAAGTCTTAAGCACTTGTAGATCAACGATATATCGTCCTTCGGCACTAAAAGGGTTAAAGAAGGAAATGATATTCACTGATTTCCAAGTTAATAGTCTCGAATTAGGAAATTAAGAGATTAACCCTTTAAACGCGGAGCCATCTCGACATATGGCCGAAATTCGCCTGACCGTGCAGGCAATATTGGACCAAACGTCTCTCAGTAGCCGAAGGGATAAAAGACAAAAATCGAGTCCTGCGAACCTGGACCGTGATTCCGTTCCTGAGTTTACTCGACGTGGACGGGGTCAGGATCAACTGGACCAGGTTGCCGTGCCGTCGAACGTTGACCTCCTTGTTACTAAACTGACTCTCCGCTCCGGACTTAACTTGCACCTCCTCAGCTTCCTGCACCTCGTTGATATTTACACTGCCTGTGGGAAAAGAAAAAAGACAATGAAAATTCTATATATTAAATGCAACATTGAAAATCAGGGCTGAGTTGATTTACAACACTTAAATAAAATCATTCATTTAAATCAATTGATTTTTTAAACACTCGCGCTATCATTAGAAAACTAAACGTTAACATAAGGCGAAGTGAAACACGCCGATAAAAAGATTCACCTTGTAGTTCCCTTATTTCCTGCAAGTGGCGCTCGCATCGTCAGATCAGCGAAAATCTGAGATTATTGGGTTACTTTCTATGGAGCCGACCACAGGCGCTTAACCTCCTTATACTACTTGACGGATTTAATCTGTTTCTTCAAACTAGGAGTTCATTTACATAATTAAGATATTAAAAACAAAATCGTTACTTTGGTTCTTTAAAACAAATCATGACTTTTACCATCCCTGCATTTTCCACTATGAGTGTAATTGAGTGACTCATTAACGTATAAGGCGAATTGAAACACGCCGATAAAAAGATTAACCTTGTAGTTCCCTTATTTCCCGCAAGTGGCGCTCGTATCGTCAGATCAGGGAAAATCTGAAATTATGGGGTTACTTTCTATGGAGCCGACCACAGGCGCTTAACCTCCTTATACTACTTGATGGATTTAATTTTTTTTTTTTCAAGCTAGGAGTTTATTTACATAATTAAGATATTAAAAACAAAATCGTTATTTTGGTTCTTTAAAACAAATCATGACTTTTACCATCCCTGCATTCCACTATGAGTATAATTGAGTGACTCATTAACGTATAAGGCGAATTGAAACACGCCGATAAAAAGATTCAGTTTGTAGTTCCCATATTTCCCGCAAGTGGCGCTCGCATCGTCAGATCAGCGAAAATCTGAGATTATTGGGTTACTTTCTATGGAGCCGACCACAGGCGTTATATCTCCTTATATTACTTGACGGATTTAATTTTTTTTTTAAAGCTAGGAGTTTATTTACATAATTAAGATATTAAAAAAAAATCGTTATTTTGGTTCTTTAAAACAAATCATGACTTTTACCATCCCTGCATTCCACTATGAGTATAATTGAGTGATTAGAACCGCGTACCCTTATTCTTATGGTTAACAGTAGCCCTGCCTCCGGCGCTGACGTCGGAGAGCGCAGTGGCGGCCTCTGCGAGGCACGCCGAGAGTTCGTCCTTATCGTCCTTATCCTCGACCTCGTCCTCCTCTTTGGCGAAGGTGACCTTGCTCCTCGTGGCCTTCTTCGCGGTCTTCCTGGCGGCGCCGTTGCTGCGGGTGACGATCTTGCTCTTGTCCTCGGCCTCGTCCTCGCTGCTACTGCTCAGCTCGATCACATCGTCACGTGGTCGCTCGCCTGCGCGCGCAGCCGGCTTCCTATTGGACCGCGTCGCCATGGCAACGGGGGGCGGAGCCTCGGCCGCGTCCTCGTTGCCATGGGGACGCGGCTTCTTCTTCTTCGAGGACGCCTGTCGGGCGACCTCGTCCTGGACGGCTCTCTTCTTCGAGGCCTGAAGGCTCCTTAGACTGTGGCCGGTCGCCTCGGTACTCTATATCAATAAAATTACATGATTATGACGTGAAAGATGTTAATGTTATGTCAAAGCCGCGTCATGGAGGTCTCATTTGTAAGTCGTTTCATTGGCAAGTCATTGCATGTGCAAGTCGTTTCATTAATAAGTCGTTTAATTGATAAATCGTTTCATTAGTAAATCATTTTACTGTTAAGTCGTACAATTGCTAAGTCGTTTCACTGTTAAATCATTTAATTGATAAGTCCTTTAATTGGCAAGTCGTTTAATTTATAAGTCATTCCACTGGTAAGTCATTTAATTTATAAATCATTTCATCGACAAGTCATTTAATTGTCAAATAGTTCCATTAGTAATTTCATTGGCAAGTCATTTAATTGTCAAGTCGTTTCATTAGTAATTTAATTTATAAGTCATTTAATTGTCAAGTCGTTTCATTAGTAATTTCATTTCTAAGTCATTTAATTGTCAAGTCGTTTCATTAGTAATTTCATTTATAAGTCATTTAATTGTCAAATAGTTCCATTAGTAATTTCATTGGCAAGTCATTTAATTGTCAAGTCATTTCATTAGTAATTTAATTTATAAGTCATTTAATTGTCAAGTCCTTTCATTATTAATTTCATTGGCAATTAATTTCATCGACAAAACAATTAATTGGTAGCTCATTTCGCGAATAAATAAAAAGAAGGACACTTGAGTGTCTACCTGTGCCTCGGCCATCTTCTCCTGGTAGTCCTTGGCCTGTCGCAGAGGATCCTTGGACTCGACGCTGACCCTGGGGCTGCCAGACGCGCTGGAGAACGAGCTCGAGGAATGCCTCCGGACGATCACCGAGGCCTCCGCCGCGTTCCTGATCCTGGCCGGGACGACGAAGTCCTCCCTCTTCCCCGGGGACTCGAGGGAGAAGCTCGAGGTCGACCTCTTGGACCGCGGGGTCGCCTTCGACGGGCCCGACCCCGAAGTGCGCAGCCTCAGGACGGCGTTCCTCACCAGCTTCGTGCGGATCTTTAGCTCCCTCTGGACCTTCTGCATGTCCATGACCTTGGCCTGCGTCTTCGCGACCGGGACCAGCCGCTTCTTGTCGGGCTGCTCGACCTCGTAGAGGAGGTTCACCACTCCCTCGTCCTGTGGGCAGAGGTAAACCAATTAAACCGTATACAAGGAACATCACTAACCATCACTGGGTTATTTATTTTTTTTTTAACCGACATCTTCTATTTTATATAACTAAAATTAAATTTTTTAAACTGGCCTTATATATATATAAGAAATATATATATTATAAAATTATACATACTCTTTGGCGGACCATCCCTACCTGCAGGAGTCGGTCGATCTCGTTGATGGGCAGCCTCTTCTTCGGCGGCTTTGCCTCTGTCCCCTCGGAGGACCTCTTGGGGGATTTCGAAGACGACTTCGAGGACTTCTTCGAGATCTTCGTAGACTCGGGTGGCTTCTTCGGGGGAGGTTTCTTCTTCGGTGGGGACTGCTTCTTCGACGAGGAGGGCTTCGGTCGCTTACCGTTGGCCGAGTCCTCCTTCGCGGGGACCTCCTGCTTCCCGGTCGACTTCTTCGAACTCGTCGACGAGTCCTCCACGTCCTGGAGCGACGCCTTCCCCGTCGAGGCGACCTCGACTCGAGCCGGACTCGAGCTCTGCTCCTGGGTGGCCTTTTTCCCAACTTCCGCGCTTTTGTGAGTTGGACTCCTGTGGATAAATATAAACCGATAGAAATAAAGCCTACATTATTTATTATTACTACAATTAAATGCAATTATGAACCATGAACTGGATAATTTCCTTTCGATAATGAGTACTTGTGGCATCGATACTTTCTTCCGATACTCAGTATGCATCGATACTCTTTTCCAATTCATATACCAAGTACAAACATCAATATTCTTCTTCGATGCCAAGTTGTATCGATACTTTTTTTTCTATACAAGTAAGAAGTTAATGTTTCGATACCTTTTTTGTGATACTAGTGGTGTATAAATATTTTTCTTCGGTACAAGTAAAAGTATCGATACCTTTTTTTCAAGTATCAATAACAGACAGCATCGATCAATCCCCACCTGTGTACGACCTTCTGCCTCTTCACCGCGAACTGTTCCAAAGCCTTCTCCGTGAGCCTGCGCTTCCTGCTGGACCTGGAGATGTACGTCTTGGGTTCTTCCTCGTCCTTGCGAGTCTTCGCCTCAAGATCCTCCTCCTCCTCCTGAGCGACCTCGTCGACCTGAGCGACCTGCTTGTCCACCTCCTCGGAGTTCCTCTTCTCCGAGCTCTCGACGACCTTCTCCACCAGCTTCTCCGGCTCCTCACTCTTCGAGGGCTTCTTCTTCTTCTTAGGGCTACCCTTCCTGAAGGTGCAACTCGGCAGCTGCAAGAGCTGCTTCAGGGCGAGTTCCCGTTCCGTGGCCGGGTCCAGCTTCGCCTGGTCGTCCTGACTCTTGGGGCTCTTCCTCTCCTCCGGAGCCGGCGACTTCAGGTTCGACCAGTCCGGGTCGACATCGCCCTCGAGGATGGCCAGAAGTTCCTTGTTATCCACGCTTCCAGTACTCGCTTCGACGTCATCCCCAGGGCGCGGCCCCTTCGTCAGCGGGATCAGCGAAGGTAAAGAACTCGTCGACGAGGACAGCTTGCTGGACAGCCTCTGGGTGATCTTCTTCACGAAGAAGATGTCCGGAACCTGGGGCACCTCCAGGTTCTTCTGCTTCTCCCGGAACCGCTCCTTCAGGGCGGCGGTCACCTCCTGGGTGACCTGCCCGGGGAAGGGCTTTGGGGCTGGGGTTCTTTTCTTCGGGTCCACCTCGTTCGACAGACTCTTCGGGTGCCTCCCCAGGTTGGTCGTGGACCTGGACGCAGGCTCCTTCCCGGAAGGCTCCACCTTCCTCGAAGAATTCCCCGTCTCCCCCTCAGGGTCTTTCCCGGGAGTTGCCTCCTGGTTGCCCTTCGTCTGGGTGCTCTCCTCAGGGTCCGCCGACCTGAGCTCTTTGGTTTTCTGGCTGACCGAGTCCTCGTCCAGGAGGCTCTTCAGCTGGATCTCGACGGAGTCCTGGGACTTCGAGGCTACCTGACCCTCCTCCTCGGGGTTCTCGTCCCTCCAGTCATCGAAGATGTCCTGGATGACGCTCCTCCGCTGGTCGTTCCTGACCCCCTCCAGGGTGTTCGCACCTGGGTCTACCTTCTCTGGTATACCTGGGGTCGCAGCTTCTGGGAGATTCTCAGGATCCCCTGCCTCTCCATTCCCTGGAGAAGGTTCACCTTGAGACTGCATAGCCTCCTTACCCTTACATGGCTTCGCACTGCTCTCCGACAAGGCATCCAGCTTCGGCATGGAAGCCAGGTCACTGTTCACTACGTTGCTCGGAGACTCCTGGTGGAAGACGATGCTCGTGGGGACATCGACCTTGTTGCTGTCGGTGCTGCCCTTGTAATCGATGTCCAACTCGGACATTCTCTCCGTCGGCCCATCGATAAACTTCTCACTGACAAACGTTTCCTTCTCCCCGTCACAAGAAGCCAGAACTATATTCACTTTGTTGACGATGAACGGCCCATGCAAATCTCCCTTCGTAGATGTTTCGATCTCCCCCAGGGGAGCCGTTTCCCTGCCGAAGACGCTGCTGGCCAGGATCGTGTGCTCCACCTTCTCCACATTATCTTCCTCCATCGTATTCTTCTCTAAAAGAATAACCTTATTCACAGCTTCCGTCGCTTCGTTGTCACCATTCTTTAACTCCTTGACATCCATCTGATGATTTTCTTCGTTCTTTCCCTGCTCCGTCACTGCAAACTCCGAAGACTCCGTAGAGTGTCCAAGTTCCATTGGAATGTCATCCTCCAATTTCATTTCCACTATCTCTATATTCGACACGAAGGGTGGCTGCTCGTCGAACACATCCTGGCTGACCGGGGCTTTGTCTTTGTATTTTGCTTCTTCTATGCCTACCACACTTTGCGAAGGGTCTACATCTACGTGCTCAGTGTTGCACTTGTCGAGCACCGTTTCCACTTCTATAACTTCCTCCGTATAGTCAGTCGACAAGATTTCTACAGCCTTGCTTTTAATTCCATGGTCTGAGTCACTTTTCAACTCCACGTTGGCAGTGAACTGCTCTTCTGCTAGATGGGAATATTCTACAGGCACTGTCATCAGCAGCTCGTGGTTCGACGGGGTCTCGCTGGCTTCGCTGGGGATTACCATTGCCACAGTACATTCGGAGTCCGACTGCATGTTCTCTATCACGCAGTGGTTCTCCACGGGCTCTTCTATCACCACTTCGGTGATCGCCACGTGCATCGCTTCGCCAGACATTGTCGCGTCTTCTTTTATCCTCGATGCGTCGTATTCCTCCATGGTTACGTCTATTAATTATTGTATCATGGTCAATCCTGACAATACAAACGATTCATTGATTAAAACAGTGACGTAAAATCCACAAAAGTAACTTAAAGTTGGTAAACATAATGCGTTTGAATGTAAAGTAAAAAAACAGGTGAATGGGGATATAACCTCTTTTAAGGTCGTTACGCATCAACTTAACCTTCGGGCCTTCCTTTATTTTTACCTTATTCATCACCATTGAGTATAAATAGTCGGAATAAAATGCAAATGCAAAAAAAGTATTTGTACATCATTCAATGCAAATTAGCAAATAAAACAGCAATAATCCCATTTCATCCTGCATAATAAACATCTCTTGTAAAAATCCGTTCCTTGTATTCGTAAAATCCCTCCCATTCTTATCTAGAATTAACTGTTTAAAATATCATAAAATACCTTTCCGAGTGTTGCGAAGATGCAGTTGCTTAACCTAAAAGCCTCATCTCTCGATCGCTTCAGCCTACCGACAGTCCAACGCAGTTTGCATTCCAGTGAACCGGAGATGGAAAGATAAACACTCCGTCCAACGTCCAGTCGACCAGCAACCACAGCCCTGGCTGGCAACGAAGCCTCGACGCAAGCTCTGCGATAAACAATAAATCTGCACGCAAGGATGAGTACAGGTTCGCAAGGAGTAATCACTTACCAAAACACAAGAGCAAATCATAAATATTTACATGGAAAGTAACCAGGAACCTCCCAGGGTTAAGCCATTACGGGTTCGCGTTGACCGCGTCCTCAATTTCGCCTAACGAAATTTTATAACCTCACTTCGTGGCGTCGCCAAAAGATCGGTTGGACGGTTTCCCTCTCGGCGTGTAGCTTTCGATAATTCCAGGTAATTCCTACGATCCCTTTCTCGACATTACCGATAATACCGAAATGACGGCCGTACACACCATTAGACTATTAGGTAGAGAACACGCAACACAGAAGATAGGCATAATCGGCCATGGCGGCCGCGAGCAGTTCCGAAAGCAATCAGCTGGTTCCACTCTACCATCGCTCATTTTCTTCTATTCCCAGGCTAAAGCGCGAAACCTAACGATCGGACTTTTATTTATCGACGACCGAGCAATGATTACTGGGCTAAATATTTCCCACGAAACAGTTTGGACTGTAAAAACGAAAGAGTCGTGATGGAACTCCGGCGTCCGTTAGACGCGCTTCAAATCTCGTGGACGGTCCGCCATCTTTGTATTTTTAGGCACGGGGGCGAGGAAACAGAAGAGGTCTGTGAGGCTCGAAACTACTCCTTAAAACCAGTGTTGCCAATGTAGCGTATTTTCCATTAGATCTGCGAGTCGATTCTGTAGCTGGAATTGAATGAAAATGCTGAAAGTGAGCGCCTCCTGATATTCTGTACCTTTCACTGTGATGAAAATGTGAGAAACTTCGTGGGAGACTAGTCGACGAGGAAGTCGATTCTATGACTCTGACGAGAGTGCGCACTTCTCGCACTTTCGTCTCACGTGAGTTTATTCGCCCGGTTCTCCAAGTGAAAATGTGAAATCTCTAGATTGAGGGAACCGTGATTCGAGATCTCGGAGTGTCTGATCGAGTTGTCACGCGAAGTATCTCACATTTTTACCATAGTGAATGTTACAGAATCGCGGGAGATGTTCATTTTTAGAATTTTCACTAGATTCAAGTTACAGAATCGAGCCGAGTACCTTCAGACTAGAGATCTCACATTTTCACTCGATAGATATAGAATCCGATAAGTAAATTCTCGTGATATGACAGTGCGAAAAATGAGCATTTACACCAAAAATACAGAATCGACTGCTTGGCTTGGTGGAAACAGTGTCAAATGCTTTAATCATGAATACCGACCTTTACAAAACTGTTCTCATATCTTGGAATAAGCGTGGTGGCGCCATCTAGCGGACTTATCGCGTACCCCGTACAGCGCCATATTTAATCCTGCTATGTTTGTTTCCGATCAACGTGAAATGTCAAACGTACGAAGCATTTAACCTGAAAAACCGGCAATTATGTTGCCCGGAATTGGATTATTTGGCACGGGGAGCATCGTGAAGGTAATCGTTCCCATTCTGAGAGCACAAGGCTTTAAAATCGAGGCGGTATGGGGCCGAACTTTGGCGGAGGCCGCAGAAATCGCCACCCAGCTCTCGATTCCTTTCCACACGAGTCATGTGGACGACGTCCTCCTTAGGAAAGACGTCGACCTGATATTTATCATGTGCTCGCCAAGTCTGCACGCTCAAATAGCCGTCAAAGCTTTGGGAATAGGTAAGCACGTCGTGTGCGACAAACCGATTGCTCTCAGCCAGAGCGAGGCCTTAAAAATGGTCAGAGCGGCTCAGTATTACCCATCCTTGATAAGCATCGTCAATCACAGTTTGAGGTTTCTCCCTGCGTTCACTCGTATGAAGAAGGCTCTCGAGGAAGGCTTCCTATATGGCCCCGTTACGGTCATCGATATTCGAGTGCAAATGGGAACGATGCTGCACGACGGTAAGCTCGATATCTCGTAGCGAGTTTCTCTAACTTAACGTTGATATAGATTCTCTAGCTTGACATTGATATAGATTCTCTAGCTTGACGTTAATATAGATTCTCTAGCTTGACGTTAATATAGATTCTCTAATTTGACGTTGATCTAAAGGAATTCTCTAACTTGAATATGCTGAAGTTTCACACGATTCAGTACACCCAGTTTGAAGAGTATTATAAATATTCCGACGTCTTTATATATACACTATGACCCTTTCGTAACACCTTAAGATATTTTAAAAAATCCTGATTTAAAAGAAACCAGCGATTTTGTACTGTTTTAAGGAAATGATTCTTATTAACTCCGCTCGATCCCATTTTCAGACTACGACTGGCTGTGTGACGAGACGATGGGAGGTGGCATCCTGGCTCTGGTCGGAACACATGTCATCGACCTAATCTTCCACCTAGTGAAACAACGCGTATCCAGGGTGCACGCAGTGGTACGCACCTTCACCCAGACAACGAGGAAGATAAATGGGATTCGCTATATTACCTCTCCGGACTTCTGCACCTTCCAGATGGAGCTGTCGGAGGGGACCCTGGTGACAGCGACCCTGAGCAACCACCTGCAGGGCCAGTTGACGCAGGAGGTACTAGTAGCGTTTCTCAAATATCGATAATTTAAGGTTAAATGATGACCACCCTAAAATCAGTCTACTCGAATAAGACACTCTTCTTTTAAGGGTATTCTTCTCACAACGTCGGTAACGTAGGTATTTAGAAAAATATCTTTTACCGACGTCGATAAGATTTTCTCGACGCGTTTCACTTCACCTTAATCATCGGTTAGATTCTCCTCGGGTACACCACCTGGGTAACATAACGCAGTAAATTAATTCCAGGTGCTGGTGTGTGGGGGTGGCGGTTACCTGATAGCCCGAGGAGGCGACCTATACGGCCGCCGAGGGGAGCGAGACGCCCTGGAGCCCGAGGAGGTCCTGTACCTCGACAAGGAGAGTCCGGAGGATCGCGACACCTCCGCCGGAGAGAACGTCCCCTGGCCGTACTCCAGGGGCCTCAGGAACATGATCGGCGCCCTCCGGGAGGCCTTCCAGCCCGTGGAGGACAAGAGCGGGTGGATCAAGAACCCCGTCTCCTCGGCGGCCAGCTTCGAGGACGGCCTCTACGTCCAGGCCGTCATCGACGCCCTGAGGCAGAGCAACAAGCACAGGGAGTGGACCAAGGTCAACGTCATGACGGAGGAGCCAGACCCGAACCCTCTGCTCAGCGCTGCCGTCAGGGCGACTGCCATTTCGCTTTGAAATTAGTCCTGGACTGGTTAGGCAATTCCTTTTCACGGATTTCTCGGGTTAAGGTGATATGAAAGTGTGATATGTACATAACAATACTTATCATCACCTTAAGATGATATGAAAGTGTGATATATACATAACAACACTTATCATCACCTTAAGGTGATATGAAAGTGTGATATGTACATAACAACTTATCATCACCTTAAGGTGATATGAAAGTGTGATATATACATAACAACACTTATCATAACCTTAAGGTGATATGAAAGTGTGATATATACATAACAACACTTATCATAACCTTAAGGTGATATGAAAGTGTGATATATACATAACAACACTTATCATCACCTTAAGGTGATATGAAAGTGTGATATATACATAACAACACTTATCATAACCTTAAGGTGATATGAAAGTCTTATATGTACATAACAACTTATCATCACCTTAAGGTGATATGAAAGTCTGATATATACATAATAAAACGTCAAAATGTTTATAAAACTTTTTTGGGTGTATCGAATCGTTTCAAACTTTAAAACGTGAATGTGGAGGCTACGAGGAAGGGCCTGGCACTCATGAAATTTCATTTTTTATAAATATTATGACTTTTTGTTATGTATGTGTCACATTTTCATATCACCTTAAGGGGATGTAAAAGTGGCGTCGAAGAGGTTTCATTTACAAAACTTTTCTCCCAATTCGATTTACGGAATAGATTGAAACTGCAACGTGAATAAGGAGACTATAAGGAAGGTCCTGAACCTCATGAAATTTCAATTCTTTTCAAATTTCTTTATAGGTATTTTAAAAATAGTTTATAAAAAATGAAATTTCTCGAGTTTCAGGACCTACCTTAGGGTCTCCATATTCACGTTTCAAAGTATGAAACGATTTGAGACACCCAGTTTGAAGATGAGTTTTATGAACAATTGAGCTTTCGGATGCCGCTTTCACATCCCCTTAAATCCTCGAGACTCGCGCAAGTCTCTCCCAAGGAGTTCCATTGTAAATATGTAAAGTAGGGCCTCCACCTCGCTGCTCTCGAAGCCGCGATTGACCGACTCCAGGGCGGTAGCAATATCGTTTATTACTGCGCCTCTAGCTATCATATAATATCCGTGTATCATTGGTTGAGATAGTACATTAATTATTAAAGTATTAATGAAATTAAAAAAAGGAGAACGCCGAGAGAGGTGGTTCCGCGGAAATAAGCCGGACCCTCGTCGAGCTGGCGAGTCGGCTATACGGAGAGCGAGACGAAGCTGTTGTACTGGGTGATGTTGCGCTTCAGGATGTCCGCACAGAGTCCGAGGACGCGCTCGAAGCGAGCTCTGTCCAGTTTGACGCACTTCAGGGGGCCCCGGGCCACCACGGTCGCCGCCCGAGGCCTGTCCAGCAGCAGGGCGATCTCACCTGGACAAGAACCAAGAGTTAGGTATATCGGCTAGTTGCAAAAGCCCACTGAACACCTAACCTAACAGTCACGTAACTTAAAACTAATAAATAACACAACGTTTGTTACAATGTAATAAGCTAACGGTTACGTAACACAGAGCTAACTAGTTACGTGACATTTGTTACAATGCAGTAACTTAACGGTTATGTAACATGGAGCTAACAGGTTACGTTACATTTGTTACTATCGTATCTATATAAATGTAGCATAATTTTGTTATTCTCATTTTACATTATGTTACCGTCCTGATATTACTGTGTATATGCAGCACATATTTTTAACAAAACGGAACTACATTGGTGCCGTCATTTATTTTATTACATCATCGTCCTCGTCATTGTCATAAGATTAATATATGTCATATTTTGTTTACTATTCGTATGAGAAAATGTGACTTTAATTCGTACGCGCATATACATTATCGGTCATTGTATGCTAGTCGAATGAAATCCTAATTGTCTTTAAATAAAATCAGATAGGTTATCGTTACATAATTTCTTTTTTATTATGGTAAATGTATGAAAAATTAGTATTATTTTAAGGTAACTGAAATTATAACATTAATGTAACATGTTACCTTACCGAGTGGGAAATAATACCTAACATCTAACTTCCATGTTACTTTTATGCTACGTAACATGTTACTTTTATGCTACGTAACATGTTAGTTTCGAAAACGTAACATTTACCCAACAGTTATATAACAGTGTTCACTGGGTACATATATGCATCCGGGGAATCCACTGCATTGGAAATGTAAAGTCCTCAAGAATTTTGAATACAAGCGCCACATTAATTAATTGTTCCTTAAAATATTTCCGTGTTTACATGTGTGATAAAAGACGTTTATAACCTAGCAGACGCCGTTGCTGATTTTCTACGATTTTCTTCGGTGAACTACTTTGTTACGTAATATACGTGAAAAAGCTCGAAAAATGGGGAATTACAAAACTCTGGTACCCCCTATTCCTATATCGTGGGTGAGAGTGCTCGCTTCTCGCACTTTCATCAAGGAAAAGAACTTACCGAAGTAGTCCGAGGGCCCGAGTCGGCCAACCTCGGCAGGCTCCTCGCCCTCGGTGCGCTGCTGCAGAACCACCGCCGTGCCCTCGACGATGATGTAGAAGTCCTCCCCAGGCTCGCCCTGGCGCACTATCGTCTCCCCGTCCTCGAAGGCCACGGGCTCCAGCGCGTCGGCCACCGTCAACCTCTCCCATTTGTCCAGGGACTCTGTCGAAGAAAAGCACCGGTTAAAACCAGGGGGTCTATTACGTAAAGCAACTTGTACGAAAATGTGAAAAGTGAGGAGCTCGCGGTATTACGGAACGTTTTTGGGGGTGAAAATGCGAGACTGTCGGGGAAAAGCACCGGTTAAAACCAGGGGGTCTATTACGTAAAGCAACTTGAACGAAAATGTGAAAAGTGAGGAGCTCGTGGTATTACGGAACGTTTTTGAGGGTGAAAATGCGAGACTCTGTCGGGGAAAAGCACCGGTTAAAACCAGGGGGTCTATTACGTAAAGCAACTTGAACGAAAATGTGAAAAGTGAGGAGCTCGCAGTATTACGGAACGTTTTGGTGGTGAAAATGCGAGACCATTCATATAGCGAATAAGTAATTCGGCGAATAAACCCACGTGAGATGAAAGTGCGAGAAGTGAGCGCTCTCGCAGTTTCATCGTGTGAGTTTATTCGGCCTGGTTTACGCTTTCGTCTTACCCATGGACATAGTAATAGAAGGAACTGGGAGACGATTCTGCACCTCGAATCTAGTGAAAATTCTGAAAGTGAACATCTGCGATTCCATAAATTTCACTATCGTCAAAATGTGAGATGCTTCACGTGACACTTCTCGACAAACTCCGAGATCTCGAACCAAGTTCCTTCAGTCAGATCTCACATTTTCACTCGAAAAAGGGGCGAATAAACTCACGTGAGGTGACAGTCCGAGAAGTGAGCACTCGCGCCAAAGTTACAGAATCGACTCCCAGGTCTGCTGACCCCTACTCACCCAGAATGGACACCCTGGAGAGGAACTCCTCGTACATCTTCCGCTTGCGGATGGTCGAGCCCATGAGTATCCTCCTGTAGGAGTCCCTGTCGATGCCCCAGAGCTTCACGTCCGTCTTCGCCCTGACCGTGGCCGCCCTCGGGGTGCCGTAGATGAGGGCGAGCTCCCCGAAGCTGCCGCCCTCGCCGATCGTCGTCACCAGCTCGCCGTTCACGAAGATCTCGACCTCGCCCTGGTCGATCACGTAGAAGTTGTCGCCTTCATCGCCTAAAACCCAAATAATGTTCATAAAGGTTATGTAAAAGGGTCGCTCTATAACATATATATAAAACGTTAAAATGTTTAAAAAACTTATCTTCAAACTGAATGCACCGACCGCTGTAAACGGAGCCTTATTGCACTCTCTTGGTACGTGCATTGAAGGCCTGGTTTTATGAAACCACCAGTGTAAACAATGCTGACCTACAACTATACGATACGCACTCTCCAAGCGTACCGTACAAATGCGACACACGACCGTTTACACCGACAGTTTAATAAATCCAGGCCTCTGGTACGCGTACCAATGGCCGCTGTAAACTGAGCCTTAATGCACTCTCTTGGTACGTGCATTGAAGACGTGGTTTTATCAAACCACCAGTGTAAACAATGCTGATCCAAGACTATACGATACGCACTCTTAAAGCGTACCGTACAAATGCGACACACGACCGTTTACATCGACAGTTTAATAAATCCAGGCCTGAGATTCGCGTACCAATGGCCGCTGTAAACTGAGCCTTAATGCACTCTCTTAGTACGTGTATTGAAGACGTGGTTTTATCAAACCACCAGCGTAAACAATGCTGACCCAAGACTATACGATACTCACTTTTCAAGCGTACCGTACAAATGCGACACACGACCGTTTACACCGACAGTTTAATAAATCCAGGACTTTGGTACGTGTACCAAGCGGGGTAAACTAATCCAATGATACAAGCACGAACCTTGCCGAATGATCGGCTCCCCCGGCAGGAAGGTGACCGGGAACATGGCATCGAAGATGTCGGACCGCTCGTTCTCGTCGAGGTGCGCGAAGAGGACGTTCTTGGCGATGGCTTTGCTCAGGGCGGCCATGGTCTTGTAGTCCTTGGGGACGACCTTCTTGACGTAGCTGGTGGCGTCCTCCTCGGTGACGGGCTCGGCCGAGATGCCGCCCCGACGCCGAGGGATCTGGGGACCCTGCTGGCCTGCCGGCATGTCCTCCGTGTCCTCAGGGCTGGTGGCGCTTTGCTGCTTCGCATCGAGGGCCTGCTCCTGGAGGACATGCGCGTGAAGGTTACACATGGAGATACCCCCAAGTGGTAATATGTCGTCAAGAAACTCCTAGGGTTTTTTTTTTATGTTTATTTGGATTTCGATCCTTTCAACTAAGGGCCAAGTACCATTGGCTTTTTTTTTCGTCAATGATACCCTTGACGGTCACCCATCCAAGGTGCAACCGCGCCCGACGTCGCTTAACTTCTGTGATCTTAAGGTGAAGTGAAACCCCCTTCAAATCAGTCGATTCGAATACAACACTTTTTTTTAAGGGTATTAGACCTAACTGTCCGAAACTTTGACACGTCACACCTGATCATCTAAGAATTGCCCTGACAAATTCAAAATTTGGATTTTTGGAAAAAATTGTTTAACTCAGCCCAGACCAGAACCAAAATGGCGTCGAGCTCTCATATTTCGATCGATATACAATTATCGAAGGCTCCGATATGAGAATCCAAAGGGTCAGGACAATTTGACGACAATTTAGAACACTCTGGTAATCGATAAACTCGCATTTGAACGGGATAAAGGCAAAAAAAGTGTTGTATGCGCTTCTATGCTAAAACGATGGGAATACGAGGTCTCGGAGGGAAAATTTAATTGACACGGAAATCACAGATGGCGCAGGGGGGTCACTCTGCAGTCAATTAGGGCCTCAAAAACCATGAATCCGGAGAATTTCTGGAGTTTTACTTGGATTTCTTTATAATTATTCCATGGAAACGATGTATGGGATATGCCATTTAGTACTCGTGGAAGGGTAATCCAGGAACAGTCCACTTCCGGCACCACGTTAATTCGGTGTCGCCTGGAGCCAGGAGTCGGCGGAGAGCGGAACCAGGCCGGCTCTAAACATAGAGTCTGCTCGGGTTCTAACTTTGGAGTGTCCGCTCTTCGGGGTCGCCCGAAATATGGAACTTCCCGGCCCTGTGACGACAGGCGATAATACGTAATCTTTATCGTCAACGCTCAACCCACATTTCTAAGCAATTCACCTCCGATGACAGAAGTTAAGGTGAAGTGAAGCACGTAGAGGAACTTGATCGACGTCGGTAAAGAAGATTTTTCTAAATGCCTACGTTGCCGACGTTCGTTTTTATATTGACAGCTGTGTCGAATTATATTGGGTATTGTACCAAATGGCATACTCCACCTGTCGTTTTCGTACAATAATTATAAAGAAATCGAAGTAAAACTCCAGAAATCCTCTGGATTCATGCTTTCTGGGGCCCTAATTGACTGCAGAGGGACCCCCTGCGCCATCTGTGATTTCCAGGTCAATTAAATTTTCACTCCGAGACCTCGTATTCCCATCGTTTTAGCATAGAAGCGCATACAACACTTTTTTTGCCTTTATCCCGTTCAAATGCGAGTTTCTCGATTACCAGAGTGTTCTAAATTGTCGTAAAATTGTCCTGACCCTTTCGTTTCTCATATCAGAGCCTTCGATAATTGTATATCGATCGAAATACGAGAGCTCGTCACCACTTTGGTTCTGGTCTGGGCTAAATAAAAAATTCCTTAGTCCTTAGGGCCTCCATAATGGCGAGCTAAAGTTTAAGATAAATCGGCTGCACCCAGTATGGAGAAAACTTTTACAAACGTTTTCACGTTTTCTTACGTATATGTCACACTTTCACATCCCTTTCGGATGATTTTAAACGCCTACGAGTGAAGAATTCCCGGGAAAGCGACTTTCCAGAGTCCAAAATTAGAGCTTCCATGCACGTCCTTTAAAAATATTTCCACCGGCCCGCAATCGACGTGTCCAGCATGTTATTTTATCGCAAGCGGGGAACACCAGCCCAGAAGTGAAGGCGAAAGTGGAATCGACCTAACTGAGTCCTCCTGTTCCAGGAATCATCCCTCGGGAACCGGCGCCCTCGTCCCGGCTCCATTTCCGTCGCACCCTCGAGCAAGAAACACCCGTTGTCGTGAAGATCCCCAAAAAGTAGAGAAAAGGGAGGGAATCTAATGAATTTTGTATTTGTCCTCCCGAAAGTATCCCTCGGGAGCCGCCCTCCCTTAAATCCCTCCTCTAACTCCAGGCGTGAAAGTGCCTTTCCATAAAAGAATAAATAGCCGAGGGGTTATTCGCCCAGGAAATCACGGATCTTAAGGAGAGATCAAACCACCGAGAAAATTCATCGACGTCGGTAAAAGAGATTCTTCTAAATACCTACGTTGCCGACGTCCGTATTTATATTCACTGCTGCGTCGAATTATATTGGATATTGTACCAAATGGCACACTCCATATGTCGTTTTCGTACAATAATTATAAAGAAACCCAAGTAAAACTCAAGAAATCCTCTGGATTCATGGTTTTTGAGGCCCTAATTGACTGCAGAGGGACCCTCTGCGCCATCTGTGATTTCCAGGTCAATTAAATTTTCGCTCCGAGACCTCGTAATCCCATCGTTTTGGCATAGAAGCGCACACAACACTTTTTTTGCCTTTATCCCGTTCAAATGCGAGTTTATCGATTACCAGAGTGTTCTAAATTGTCGTAAAATTGTCCTGGCCCTTTCTTTTCTCATATCGGAGCCTTCGATAATTGTATATCGATCGAAATATGAGAGCTCGACGCCATTTTGGTGTTGTACTAAATGGCACACTCCATATGTCGTTTCCGTACAATAATTATAAAGAAATCCAAGTAAAACTCAAGAAATCCTCTGGATTCATGGTTTTTGAGGCCCTAATTGACTGCAGAGGGACCCCCTGCGCCATCTGTGATTTCCAGGTCAATTAAATTTTGGATTGGAATAATTTAAATTTGGAATATTGGACAACCTCAGAGCACTGCAGCTCTTTCTGCGCATGTGCAAATGGTACTTTGTTTGGTATCGCCATATTTAGTGGCGATGGTGTGCCTTGAATGCGTCGCTAACCTCTTCGTATAGAGCAAATAGGTATCAGCTATCCAGTTAGTATATAGATCAGTGCGTCACAAGAATATCAAGGGTGTCATTGGGTGTGCATTCTTCGTCCGTGCATCCTTCTCTATGCACACTACGTTCATGCCCCATGCCACGTGGGACGACGCGCGCCCTTCTTCTGTCCACACAGCTTAAAATAATGTAAAAAGGGTATCTGAGGGATTATGTTTTTACCATGACACTTTTCTACTAACGGAATGCATCTAATTGTTTGAAATTACACGACGTGAATGTGAAGGCTACAAGGTCTATGGCCAAAAAACTAAACAACACAACAACATTAACGAGGGCCCTTATAATTAATTGTACTACCAATACTACAAGATAGGCGTTATTCTCCGCCCTGGGGCGTGATAACCCCCTGTTCAATTATATATCGCAGTATAAAAGTTACTCCTTCCCGGTCTAAGGTCAAAAAACTAAAGAACACAACAACATCAAGGAGTGCCTTTATAATTGACTGTACTAACAACACTGCACCATAGGTGTTATTCGCCGCTCTGGGGCGTGACAATCCCCTGTTCAATTACATATCGCAGTATAAAAGTTACTCCTTCTTGGTCTAAGGCCAAAAAACTAAATAACACAACAACATCAACGAGGGTCCTTATAATTGATTGTACGACCAATACTACAAGATAGGCGTTATTCTCCGCCCTGGGACGTGACAACTTCCTATTCAATTATATATCGCAGTATAAAAGTTACTCCTTCCCGGTCTAAGGTCAAAAAACTAAAGAACACAACAACATCAAGGAGTGCCTTTATAATTGACTGTACTAACAACACTGCACCATAGGTGTTATTCTCCGCCCTGGGGCGTGACAACTCCCTGTTCAATTACATATCGCAGTATAAAAGTTACTCCTTCCCGGTCTAAGATCAAAAAGCTAAAGAACACAACAACATCAAGGAGTGCCTTTATAATTGATTGTACTACCAACACTGCACCATAGGTGTTATTCTCCGCCCTGGGGCGTGACAATCCCCTGTTCAATTACATATCGCAGTATAAAAGTTACTCCTTCTTGGTCTAAGGCCAAAAAACTAAATAACACAACATCAACGAGGGCCCTTATAATTGATTGTACGACCAATACTACAAGATAGGCGTTATTCTCCGTCCTGGGGCGTGACAATCCCCTGTTCAATTATATATCGCAGTATAAAAGTTACCCCTTCCCCGTTCAAAGCCAAAAAACTAAATAACACAACAACATCAAGGAGTGCCCTTATAACTGATTGTACTACCAACACTGCACCATAGGTGTTATTCTTCGCCCTGGGGTGTGACAATCCCCTGTTCAATTACATATCGCAGATGAAAAGTAACCCCTTCTAGGTCCAAGACCGAAAAACTAAATACTACAACAACATCAAGGAGTGCCCTTATAATCGATTGTACAACCAATTCTACAAGATAGGCGTTATTTGCCGTCCTGGGGCGCGACAACTCCCTGTTCAATTACATATCGCAGATGAAAAGTAACCCCTTCCCCGTCCAAGGCCAAAAAACTAAAGAACACAACAACATCAAGGAGTGCCCTTATAACTGATTGTACAACCAATTCTACAAGATAGGCGTTATTCGCCACCCTGGGGCGAGACAATCCCCTGCTGGATTCGATATTGCAGATGAATCCCTACAAGATCCAGCCACCACAAGCGCGATAGATATATATGTGTGTGTACGAGTGTATATACACGCGTTGTACGTGGGTGTGCAAATGGATCGCGGGGATGTACTCGCCCTCGAAGGAGGTCGTTCCGTTTACTCCCAAACGCCGATTGGATGTAAACCCGGGCAAATATTCTCGGAGGAAATAACCTTCCGGATGTTCACAGGACGTGGAAACAATTTTCTGCCACCTCGTTCTGTAGTCTTGGATAAACCATCCTTATTGTCATTTTGGCCGTATAAACGACATTTGCATCCTCGATTCCACATTTTTTAATAGGTGATCACGTTTCCACCCCTTCGTTTTGTAGTTTTAAACAAGGGAATAAATTTGTACTCCTTTGTTGTGTAATTTTGGCCGTGTAAACACATTTGCGTTCCCTAATTCTATAATTTAAAACAGGTGAACACGTTTCTATCCCTTCGTTTTATAGTTTTAGGCGTGTAAACAAATGCCCACCCTTTTATTCTGCAACTGTTAACGAGTGAACAGTTCAATTCTCCCTTACTAAGTAATTTTGGTTGGATTAACAAATTTGCATATCATAGTTTCATAATTTAAAACAGATAAACACGTTTCCACCCCTTCGTTTTGTAGTTTTAGGCGTGTAAACTAATCTCCACCCCTTATTCTATAATTTTCGACGAGTGAACACTCTCGTGTCCCTTTATTCGGTAATTTCGAGCGATTGAACACTCCCGTTACCCCTCGTTCCATAATTTCAAGGCGTCTAGCGAGCCGAGACAAGCGCGTCGACCGAGGAGTATCGAAAAAGAAAAGAAAGTCCAAACACTGTGGTTTTTTGTCAACGCTGATAATAACGATTATCCTCTACAACGCGCATCAACCTCAAAGGAGACTGAACTTAAGGTGATATAAAAGAGTCATTCTATATACATAATCGTCAAAATATTAAAAAAAATTTGTTCAAAACTCAACACGTGATTATGAAGGCCTTAAAAAAGAATGCTCGTGGAATTTCTTTTCTCAAACAAAGAAAATATGCATTGGTTCTGGTCCGGGCTAAATAAAAATTTCTTTTATTAAAAATGATATTTCACTCGTACCATGTTATTCCTTAAAGCCTCCATAATCACATGCTAAAATTTTCAACGATTCGGGGCGTCCAATATTTAGAAAAGTTTTATAGACATTTTAAAGTTATAGATGTATAGAATGAACCTTTTATATCACCTTAAATATTTTACGTAAAAAAAGTCGAATGACGCGCCACTACACAACCCTGACCACAGCTGATGTGTCCATCAACCGTGTCCACCCGTCTATGGCGACCAGGGTCTATGGAAAAATGGGTCCTCGCGCCGACTAGATGACCAAGGGGGTCGATTCTGTAACTCCGGCGATAGCGCTCACCCCACGTGAGATTATTCGTCCGATCCTCCAAGTGAAAATGTGAAATCTCGAGATTGAAGGAACTCAGTGCGAGCAGTGTCACGCGAAGTATCTCACATTTTTACCATGGTGAAAGTTACGAAATCGGGGAAAGTGGTCACTTTTAGGATTTTCACGAGATTCGAGTTACAGAATCAACCCGACTAGATGACCAAGGGGGTCGATTCTGTAACTTCGGGGATAGTGCTCACCCCACGTGAGATTATTCGTCCGATTCTCCAAGTGAAAATGTGAAATCTCGAGATTGAAGGAACTCAGTGCGAGTAGCGTCACGCGAAGTATCTCACGTTTTTCCCATGGTGAATGTTACGAAATCGGGGAAGGTGGTCACTTTTAGGATTTTCACGAGATTCGAGTTACAAAATCGACCCGGCTAGACGACCAAGGGGGTCGATTCTGTAACTTCGGGGATAGTGCTCACCCCACGTGAGATTATTCGTCCGATTCTCCAAGTGAAAATGTGAAATCTCCAAACTGAAGGAACTCAGTGCGAGAAGTGTCACGTTTTTACCATAGAGAATGGTAACGAAATCGGGGAAAGTGGTCACTTTTAGGATTTTCACGAGATTCGAGTTACAGAATCGACCCGACTAGACGACCAAGAAGGTCAAGGAGCTCATCCCACACCCGGGTACCTCTCCACGTACCATGGCCAGGGCGTGGACGGAAGGAGAGAAGGTTCCCTCGGCGAGTCTACGCCGCGAGTGCACTCCGCGGGGCCGGCGCGATCAACTTCATAACGCGAGGCGACGCGAGACCATCGGAAGCGAGTCGGCCTCGCTAACCTTGTTAAATACCGGCCGCCATTGGTCCTCGGGGGCGCAGAGGAGGGGGGAGAAACTGGAGCACGCGTGGAGGGAGGAATGGCGGCAACTGGAGGAGGGGGAATAGAGGTTAAACCGCCGGCCCGGGAGGCGCCAAGTCGACCTCTTCCCGCGCACTAACCTCACCATCCTTACCTTCCGCGTCCTAGGCGAAATACCTCTATACAGTGTTGCCAGATCGGGATTACGAAAATCCAAACGAATGATTTCCTCGAATCTCCTCAAACTTTCTAAAATTTCCCAAAATTTCCTAAAATGTCTTAAAATTTCCACTAAAATTTCAAAGATTTCCTACAATTTTCTTCCGAACGACACGTCGCCACTGCGACGCCTCGCCGCTAGATGGTGCCACCGTCACCCTTCCAATTCCCCGCGATATTTGAAATGCTAAACTAACCTGATGCATTTTTTCTAATATGTTTCCACATCTACGTGAACGAAAATCGCGTAGAAAGCTAGTACATACAAGTGCATAGAAACGCATACTCATCTCGAACATCTTAACAAAAGAAATATTGACCGCATAAATAGCGTTACAATTTACCGCGTAAATCGAGGTAGTCGTGGACATTACATGACGTATTACCCCAACACGTACGCAAGTCTCCTGACTCTACCTATCCACCCGTGAGGGTTGATTTTGTACCTCACTTTTCGAACTTTCATCTCACCTAAGCTTATTCACCCGAGCGTGTAATATGCAGGAGGGTTGGAATTTGAATAGTCAAATCTCTAGTCTCGCCTCGACTGCGAGTCCCGGCTCCAGGAAGTGAAAAAACAACGCGGAGCTCGTGCCGTAGTTCGCGTCGGGATTGGCTGTTCCCCTCTCCTCCCCTCCCCTCCCATCCCAGGGGGCGGGGCGAGTGGGGAACGGCGAGCGGTGGTGGGGGGATGACGTCAGACCGCCTAGGCGTGGACGGGGAGGGGAGGGACAGAGATAGACAGGCCAGCTGACAGCCGATGCTTCCGAGCTGACGATGTCGAGTCACTTGGAGTCACTCACCCTCTCCAACTTTTGGAGGTATTCCCTCAAGAAGGAGACCGGGTTCTCCGGGCGACCCACGCACAGCTGCACGATGCAGTCCTTCAGGACTTGCTGGACGTTGTAGCGCTGCACGTACTCCTCGCACTCCCTCAGGCTCTGCTCCTCCTCGAGGTTGGCCGCCATCTTTGTTTGAGGCGCGACGAGACGACACACCGCGCGGTGCGGCGCGATTCAGCACCTCGCCGCCGCCGACCCCGAGCCCCGGTCGCACATTCGGCACATCCGGCCAAGGCCTGCTCAAGGAAGGGCCTCTTGGGCGGCCCGCGGCTCTCTAGCATCGGTCGGACCCCGCGCACGCTCCCGGCACGCTCCCGGAACCTCGGGACGCCTTCGGTTCCCTTCGGCACCCCTCGGCTCCTCTCGGCTCCCCTCGGCTCTCCTCGGCTCCCCTCGGCAATCCTTGACTCCCGTCGAGTCGCCGCGCACAACCTCGACTACCGAGGAGGCCAGCTCGCGCATGCGCAGGGCGCGAGATTCATCGATCAACCGACGCGCATCCAATTGCGCGGGCGGGGGGGCATTGCCGAATGGCATGACCAGGGTTGGTAATTTCAGGTTTTTCGAGGTCTTGACGGGGATTACGTAAACCTAGGAGGGTAAACCTAGTGGTGTAAACCTGGTAGTTTACCGTAGAAAATTGGGGAAAATCAGGCAATTACGTTTTTAATACAGAGGATGCCGCGGAGGGACGGTATACGATGTTAGGGAGGTTATAAACATCTTTTAGCCCATGTGTAAACATGTAATAATAGTGGAACCGGGCTTAAGAATATCAAAGTTGTTATACGTAAGTGGTTGAAATCACGGCTCGGCATACACGTTTTACTCTGTTTTACCGATCGGGAAGGTTTCTCCCCTTTGAATGTAGTTCCAATTTTTACTGGAGGTAAAGGGGGTAGAGGGCGCCAGTTTGTCGTGCCCACTTTCAAACAATGGCGTAAAACGTATCCCCGCGGATCTATGATAATGTGATCACTCTTGCGTTCTCCATGGCGTAGTTTGTGTTTTACGATAATACGTTGAGTTTTTCAAACTGTTTTGGTATCGCTAACAAATTTTAATCGTCGACATTTTGACGATAGCATATTGCCATGTATATAAAACAGGTATTCAAACGTTCCCTTAATAGGTTAGTTTGTAGGTGACACTGTTTACGTGTTCGTATTATTATGTTTAGGTTTATTTTCTAAGGGTATTTAGAAACAAACTATATGACAAATTTTCGAGTTTAATTAACGATACCAAGGTTCTTTAATTAAATGGTTTTTTATTAGGTGATTATTCAAGGATTCAAATCCTATCGAGAGCAGACCGTCGTCGAGCCTTTCGATCCGAAACACAACGTAGTTGGTACGTAACGAATGATTTATATTATGCCATCCATGCTCGAATAACTAATAATTTATTGCTTTTCTGTTTAAGTCGGACGAAATGGTTCCGGAAAGAGCAATTTTTTCTACGCTATACAGTTTGTTCTCAGCGATGAATTTTCCCACCTCAGACCGGAGCAACGCCAAGCGTTACTACACGAAGGAACGGGGCCTCGTGTCATATCTGCCCACGTAGAAATTATATTCGATAATGCAGATGGAAGGTTGCCGGTAATTGTCGTCAAGTTCTATTTTAATCTAATCTGAAACCGATACATTATTACGTCTTACTATAATTACCACAATAATGAATAATTGCTGCGATCCATATGTTTAAACTTTTTACGAAAAAAACTGAATCCTTGATATTTGTTACATAAAATACATGACATACATGAAATGGGTGATTGCAGATCGATAAGGAGGAAGTCTATTTGAGAAGAGTTATTGGCTCAAAGAAAGATCAATACTTTTTGAACAAAAAGATCGTTACAAGAAGCGACGTAATGAACCTGCTCGAGTCTGCGGGTTTTTCTAGGTCAAATCCATATTATATCGTTAAGCAAGGAAAGGTGCACTGACTTCTAACTTTCCTCTTTCGTTGGCTTTCAAACGTAGAACGCGATAAAGAACAAATATCTCTTATTCAACAGATAAACCAAATGGCGACGGCTCCAGACTCGCAGAGATTGAAACTGCTAAGAGAGGTTGCTGGGACAAGAGTTTACGACGATCGAAGAGAAGAATCGAAATCCATTTTAAAAGAGACGGAGGGCAAGCTTGAAAAGATTGAAGATTTTCTACGAACAATTGGTGAGATTTGTTTGTGATCGTAATTACAAATGTTGAAGAAGGAAAAGGCAAGTGAATAAATAAGATCTGTATCGCAGAGGAACGACTGAAAACTCTGGAAGAGGAGAAAGAGGAACTAAAAGAGTATCAGCGGTGGGACAAACAGCGTCGTTGTTTAGAATACACGATCCATGAACGCGAATTAAAAGAGAACAAGCGTAAGCTAGAGGAACTTGAAGCTTCTCGTGCCAACAGTGGTGCCGAACAAGCAAGGCTTTGCGCAGATGTCAAGGCTGCACAAGAAACAGTACGTGCTGCGACGAGACGTCTCAAAGAGGCGAAGAAGGATGTCAGCTCAGCCAAGGAAGAGCGAGACACGCTTAGGTATTTGCTCGATTCTTGCTCGAAACAAGGTTATGTAACGATCCATTCATAATTTTATACTTATGGAGATATTTGACATTTTTAGTGCCGAGCAGCAACAATTACTAAAAGAAAAGACAAAGTTAACCTTGACTATCAACGACTTGCTGGAAGAAGTGAAAGGTGATAACGATAGCAGGAAACGGGCCCAGCAAGAACTGGAAAAGTTGAAGTCAAACATTGCGGCTAGAGAGAAGGAATTAGAATCCATCAAACCTGAGGTAACGAAAATGTTTCTTTATATACATTTATCAAATATCCTGTCATTAGTCGATTCCTACAACTAGACGTAAAGAGGTTATGCCAGACGTTACAAGCCAGATAATTTATATAAACATCTCTTATTATAGTATGAAGAAATGAAACGAGTTGAGGAAGAGTGCACACGAGAATTGGCACTGAAGGAACAAAAGCGCAAAGAACTTTATGCGAAACAAGGCAGAGGCAGTCAGTTTACCAGCAGGGTATAATAACGTTCCCTTTAATTACTTTTCTATTAATATGTTCTTAGTATTTTCATGTTTAAGATACAGACACTATGACTTGTCGATCGATTTCAGGACGAAAGGGACAAGTGGATTCAAAATGAGCTGAAACAGTTGACGAAACAAATAAAAGACAAGGAGGAACATCAGAGAAAAATCAGCGAAGACCTGAAAAGGGATGCAGAGAAGCAGATAGCTCTGGAAAAGAAAATCGAGGAACACACGCGAGAAATGGAGCGACAAAGGGCATCCATCGATGACCACAATAAACAGTACTACGAACTGACCAAAGCGAAGGATCAGTGCCAAGCAACGAGAAAAGAACAGTACGTCCCATTACAGTAGTTCATTTCTATCAGCATTAACAATTAATGATCAGTTATCGAGAAGTAAAAGCTTCAAAGGAAATATTTGAGACCTTACGATTCCTCTGCAGGTATCGACAGGAAAGTGTACTTCAGTTAAACCTCTCCGGTTTGAAGGAAGATTTAGCGAAGGCAGACCAGAGCTTACGATCCATGGCTGGAAAGCCTATTTTGAATGGCAGAGACAGTGTTCGTAAAGTTTTGGATACCTTTCGGTGAGTATTTTAAAATCACAGGTTTTAGTTTCTGTTAGGACTAAAAGATTTCATTTTTTATTTATACATTGTCATGTAATATCTAATTATTGCATAATGTTAATGAAAAGGATTATTGTTTTTATAGAGAAAGACCAGATATGGCACACGAAGTAAGCAGTTACTACGGTCCAGTCATTGAGAATTTTGACTGCGACAAAAGTGTTTACATGGCTGTCGAAGTAACAGCTGGGAATCGACTTTTCCATCACATCGTGGAGACTGACAAGTTTGGAACGAAGATTCTCAAGGAAATGAACAACCAGAAATTGCCAGGGGAAGTGACGTTCATGCCTTTGAATCGTTTACACGTCAAAATAGTCGATTATCCAGTAACTATCGATGCTATTCCGATGATTTCGCGTTTAAATTACGATCAGAAGTATGATAAGGCTTTAAGGTAAGCTGGAATTAATTATCCTTGCAATTACTTACAATTTATATCGACAGCCGTGTCGAATTATATTGGATATTGTACTAAGTGGCGTACTCTATATGTATATATTAATGTATGTACTACTGTTATATAGATACATATTTGGAAAAACGTTAATATGTCGAAATCTGGAGGCTGCCACCAGCTTGGCACGTACTTCTGGACTAGACTGCGTCACTTTGGAGGGAGACCAGGTTTCCTCGAAGGGATCATTAACCGGAGGGTATTTCAATACTTTGAGATCACGTCTGGAAATTCAGAAAACGAGATCGGAATTAATGGCGCAGATTAATGCATTAGAGACTCAACTTTCCACCCTTAAAGAGGAAATTAGAACCGCTGATCAGAGCATCAGTTCATACGTCAGTGAGATGCAGCGAACCGAGACCAAGAACAGCAAAGCCAAGTAAGGGTTTCTTTTTATCGGTGCGAAGGAATATTATTCTTGATTTGTCTTATCGTAGACATTTAGAATACATTTAGGGTAACCTTTTGTAAACAACGTAAGATGGAAGCTTTGCTTGAAATGGTTCTTTTTTTTTTGAGTAGGAAACCTTGTTGCAAACATTTATATCAATGTTCTACTAACAATATGTAACTGAAGTCTTTCGTCAATGATTAATATAGTTTCATGTTAAATATATTGTTTTAAACTTGTTAATACATTGTTTTATATTTGTTTTCATTACACAGAGATATATACGACAAAATGAAGGCTGAAATACGACTGATGAAGGAGGAACTCAGTGCGATAGAAAGATATCGAACACCGAAGGAAAGAAGCCTCTCGCAATGCACATCGAGCTTGGAAGCACTACGAAACACAAAGGAAGGTTTAGAAAGTGAACTGCATCAAGAATTAATGACACAACTTTCTGTCGCCGATCAACATCAGGTAATTGTCATTTTTTTTACATAATAATTGAATTTTTTCTTATATAATAATTGAACATTTGCAATACCTGGCACGGTCTAACCTAGCTTTTCACTTTCATCATTCCTCGGTGAATATAATGTAATGTATTAAAGGTCGACACGTTAAACGATGATATCAGACGTCTGACGAAAGAAAATAAAGAAGCTTTCGCAAAGAGAATGCGTCTGGAAGCCGAGAAAAATAAACTGGAGAATCTGTTGACGAACAACTTGGTGCGAAGAAAGGACGAACTGGTACAGGCCTTGCAAGAGATATCTGTCGAAGACAGACAGCGTCAACTTGAGTCTTCGAAGGCTCAGCTGGCAGATATTGAGAGGCGACTTGTCAAAGTTAACGCTGATTTCAAGTCTCAGAACGAAAAAGTTAATAGTGCGATGAAGAGGGTGAGTCTACGATGCCTCTCGTAACTTGTGTCGATGGGTCGATGCTTCGATGGGTAAATCAAAAGTCTTTTGTTTGTTCGATTCGCAGCAAAAGGCAGAGGCTGCAGAGGTAGAGAAGTGGAAGGCGAAGGAGAAGGAAGCTCAGGATAAGATCGAAGCCGATGCCAAGGATCTGGAAAAACTGGCGAGTAAAGCGAATATCTTGGAACAGAAGATCGTCGAGTGTACGCAGAAGATCACCGATCTGGGGGCTTTGCCCAGCCACGATGCTTACTCCAAGTTCATCACGATGACGACGAAATCACTATTTAAGGAGATGGAGAAGGCGAACAATCATCTGAAGAAATACAGGTGTTTATGAACATCCATTCCTTAAATATTGGAGGTTATGACCTTTTCATAACCTCAATATCAAAACGTCAAAATATTTATAGAATTTTTCTATGCACTGGGTGCATCGAATCATTTAAAATTTCAGTATATAATTACGGAGGTCTTAAAAAACGTCTTATAATTAACGGAATTTTATTTTCCAAAGAAAAAAATGTGTTCATCCTAAACACTCTTTTATATATAAATATTAATGTTTGTAAAATCAATTTTCTAATAGTTCTGCATTTTTCACTACAGTCATGTAAACAAAAAGGCTTTGGATCAGTTCATGTCGTTCAGCGATCAAAAAGAGAAACTGGTTAAACGAAAAGAAGAATTGGACCGTGGCGATGAGAAAATCAAAGAATTAATGTCTGCGTTGGAGCAACGGAAGTGTGAAGCCATTCAGTTCACTTTTAAGCAGGTTAAAACGAATTATAATTATTATATCACACTAAAATCTGAAAATCGTAACCAGCATTGATATTTCCTTCTCATTTTACAGGTAAGCAAGTATTTTAGCGAAGTATTCAAAAAACTGGTCCCATCGGGCCATGCTCAGTTAGTCATGAAGACTGCCGATGGAGAAGAAGGAGACGATGCAGCATCGGAAGCAGCTGACTCGGATAGATTCATCGGAGTTGGTAAGTTCCACTTGTCGACTCATTTCTTCGATGAAATTAATACAGTGTGGAAAATGAAACGTCAAATATTTCGAACTGTTTCTATCTCTACTGATTTAATTTCTTTAATTTTATGTACTCATTGATTGTGAAATCTCACCTTTTCGCAGGCATCAGAGTTTCCTTCACCGGTCATAAAGCAGAAATGAGAGAAATGAACCAGTTATCGGGAGGCCAGAAATCTCTCGTAGCCCTTGCTTTGATCTTTGCGATTCAGAAATGTGATCCTGCTCCTTTCTACTTGTTCGATGAAATAGATCAGGCTCTCGATGCTCAACACAGGAAAGCAGTGGCGGACATGATCCACGAACTCAGTTCGGATGCACAGTTCATTACTACGACTTTCAGGTGAGCGAAACTCAGAAAAGCAGAGCTAGGTAATTATTTTAATCGATTTTCAATCTATTCCCATTTAAAGTGAAATATATCTTGGGAAAGTACATATGAGACTGAGTTATACATATATATTTATATTTTATTCACTTTTTTATGGCTTCACAATTGTCTGTGTCGTTAGAAAAGTTCCACGATGTGCATGAATGTCTCTCCGAAACCTTACAAAATATAAATCCTTGCAACGAAGCATTATCAGCATAGATTAAAATTAATTTCACTTGGTTACGATGTCTCTAAAATAAGTCCTTGGCTTCGAAAGCCGACTTTCCTAATTAAAAAATTGATTTTTATTTATCAAACTCGTTTATAATTTATTATTTTACTTGTCCCAAATTACGAAGTCATGAAATAGTAAGTAAATAAATCTGACACTGCTCCGGATATGATTCATAAATTTTAGTAATTATTTATAAGCTTTCAGAGGTACGCAGTGATTTTTACACTTTATTAAATTCATCGAACAATGTGTATTTCTTTCAGGCCGGAGTTGTTGCAACACGCAAACAAGTTTTATGGAGTAAAGTTCCGAAACAAAGTTTCACATGTGGTCTGCGTGTCAAGAGAGGAAGCTGCCGATTTTGTTGAGGATGACACAACTCATGGTTGAGAATTATCGATAGCCCAAAACTTGAACCTTCACCTGGATTATTTTTTCCACGCAAATCTACGTGACTTACGTTTTACATAAAATAATATGAACACATTTTCCTCTTAAATTGACGTCACCGGGAAAATTTCAACGAGAGAGTGTTCGATTTAAGCATTTTTCAACAAAAGTCACCCGATGCAAGTATTTCACATCGTACTGTACAATTGCCTGATACATTGGTATTAAAAGTAAGGTGAGAAGTTTTCTATAAGCGTCCTAAGAGTAAAATTTCAAGTCTACTTTTAAAGTAAAACCTACTTGAAACAATGGACAATTTTAAGGTATCGACAAATGCACTTCGTAATGTCTTCAATTTTTACTTTTCGAATTTTTATAACGCATACGTTCTTATTTACGTAACATTCACATGTGGCATTATTTTTATAGCAAGTAATCCCCGAGTTTATTAATTCTTTATTTACGAGCGTCCGGGAAAATAATTAATTCGAAAATTACCATTTTGAATACCTGCATTTCGTATTTTCCCGCACAAGCACACTCCGCTACACCGGAAAGCCCGGCCTCTCTATTGGCGGAGACTCCCATTCCGTTGGAGCCAACCCACCAATAGGAGGCCTCCAAGCATGGTCACGCAACAGACCATGATGAAGTGGTTGCTCTTTCTCGAAGTTCCGCCATACTTTGAGAGACCTTGTCGTCTCTCTCGCTCTCATTCCCTCCGTACTAGTGAGACAAGGGCAGCGAGTTCCAGGAGTAGGAGTAAAACCCTACGGTCTCTCGCTACCTCCGCGATGTGTACACCTCCCTCTCTCTATGAGGCGAACCGAGATAACCTAACCTCGTAAGACGATCTCGCGTTTCAAGGCCGCGAAATATTCTCCATCTCCGACAATTTACTCCGATTACGCGCTCGCGTGCTAATCACCCTACACAAGGCGAGATAAGGCGATATACGAGACAATACGAGATACGATAATCGCGCTGGTCGCGTCCCTCGAGTATTCCTTTGAGTTCTTCGAGGTCTTAACCTGCTCCACGAAGTCGAGGACTCCCTGAAAGGCGAGTCATGTTCAGTCGTGTTCCCGAAATTCGGAAAGTAGACCAGGTCGGATGAAAACTCTCGAATCGGTGTCACCAAAAAGAGAAGGTAAAGACGAGGTCCGAGTCTCGCTATGATAACACTCGACTCGGAGAGGAAGAAGAGGAGAAAATGGTCCATCAGAGGATTCCTCCGGAGCATTTCGACTGCTCATACTAGTGGAAGTTCATCGACAGAGGAAACTCCTCGGGTTAAAAAATCTATCTTACCCACTAAGAAGCACTCCGTCTATCCAGAACCTTTCCTTGGTGAGTTGCCCTTTCTCCGTCGCCTGCAATGCACAGCGTAATGTATTATCTCTTATCGTCGCACCAAACAGGAATGCAAGATAAGTTCTATAAATTGAGAAATAAATATTTATTGAATCGAGATACCGAACTTTGGCGTTAAGTGTTCGGTACCCCTCGCACATGCTTTTTAATGTATTCGGAGCGAAACTCTATCAAGTTTACTGATATTATCACAGTCAGTGCTGTTTATGAGTTGACACTTTATTTTCAGATAATGTCGGGTCTTCTTCGTGCCTTTGTTATACAAGGTGTAACAGAATTCGTAGTCACGGTTTATACGGCACTATCCTTGGAAAAGGAGACGACGAGTCCTGTATTATTTTTTTCTACAGTGCATAAATTTCCTGTAATAAATAAACGATGCATAGTCAATCACTCACGTTCCTGAACGGAAGGCATAGTGATGACGACGCCAGTGAGGCTGCTACGTCGCAGACAACCGAATGCAGCCCTACCGGCATCCTCTTCGCTATGCCTTCCGTTTGGGAACGCAATTGATTGGCTGCTTCGCTTAGTTATTACAGGAAATTTATACACTGTAAAAAAAGTGTTACAGGACCTTTCGATTCCTTTTTCAACAAAAATAGCGCCGTATAAACTGTGACTACGAGTTCTGTTACACTCTGTATACTATTTTACAATGCTTCGTTTACATTTTGATGATAGTAACTGTGTTTTAAGTATCAACTTTTGTTTTATTTAAAATGTACCGTTAAAGATAACAAAGAAACAAATACAAAGCTGTTGCAGTGGGTTGTATAAAAAAATTAAAAAATGTTTGAGTGAATTAATAATGGATTAAATAACTGCTAGGATCTTCACATCACCTTAAATTGGTATATGACGTCAACATAATGGAAGAACGATCTATTTGAAAGCGAAGCATTCCTTATGTCAGCTGCGTTCTTAACAGGGTAAAAGAGAACGTGCTAATTGTTGTTTTTCACTTTGCTAGATTCGCAAAGTACCGTGCTGTGCAATGGTTCGGAGGCTGATCAAGGCGATGCCTGTGTGGAAAGCCCTCAAAGGTCTACAACTCGGTGTCGAAGGCCGGGGTGGCCTCGGAACAGCGAAAGCTCACTAGATGGCCCCGTTAGGAGGATCCGCAAGGAAAAGATCAAAGCCAGGTCGGAGGCCAGGCGACATCGACTCTGCGTGGACAGCAGCTCCGAAGAGGAGTCTTGTAAATCAAACAATTCGTTGACTAAACTGGGAGTGGATAATGGTATGTAACACTCTACAAAAGCCCCCAGAATTCCAATTATTCGTTTGAAATTGTTACACCCAGTTTGGAGAAAAGTTTTATACATGCTTTGACGTTTTGATATATATATTTATCTTCAAAACACTTTAAGGCTTTCACATTCACGTGGTAAAATTTCGATTGATTGAGTACACTCAGTTTGGAGAAAAGTTTCGTAACTGATTTACCCCTGAGGTGCCGCTTTCACATAACCTCAATCAGACTTTCTCATTAAGGCGATGCGAAAGAGGCATCATAAAGGTCTCGTTTATGAAACTTTTCTCCTAATTAGGTGTACCGAATACTTTCAGACTTTACAAGGTAAATATGGAGGCTATAAAGAAGGACTTTACAGCCATGAAATTTCAGTTTTCTAAAAATTTATTCATAGTCATTTTTAAAATTTGTTATAAAAAATGAAGTTTTGTGAATGTCAAAAAGCTTCCTTAACGCTTCTATATTTAAGTTGTAAAGTTTTATAATTATTCGGTACACCCAGTTTGGAGAAAAGTTTCATAAATGATCGACCCCTCAGGTGCCGCTTTCACATAACCTCAATCAGACTTTCTCATTAATGATAACTGGAAATCTTTTAACTAGGCGCATGTAATAAAATTGAATGGAAATCTTTTTTCTTTTAAAGGCCTGCAGAGGAACGATTCCACTCACAGGAAGACGAGGTGTGCGCGAACAGAGAGATACGTAAAACGCCTCTCTAGAAGCGATTCCACTAGCGGAGAGACCTGTAACGAAACACCATTAACCTCTCGTGTGGGACTCGTCAGTGCAGTGTATTCATGTATTGATAAAAAATGTCAACCTCCTTTCGTCAAGACGCAAGAATGTGTATCGGCTTCACCGCTGCAGTTCACCGATGAAAGTGTCTCTACGTATTCATTTCCTCTGCGTCCAAGGTCTTTCCAGAGTGAAGAATGTGCTACGAGACAGTGTAGTGATGCTTTTAACAGATCGAAGCAATTGTTCACAGGCTCCGGAAGGTTTTATAAAAATAACAGTCCCAATGGAGAGGTTCCTCCTAGAAGCATGTTGAGTACTAATAGCAACGTTTATCGAAGCCCATCGGAAAGGAACCCTCCACCGAGAAGAGTGTCTCGAAGTGGTCAGTGTAAATTTCCTAAAGAGTATAGTTCCTTGGAGTTCGTTAACGGATGTGAAAACTCTTCGCAGCAGAGCAGGAGGGAAGCATACGACAGAACTTTTCATCCGTTTGTCCAGAAGAAGGCATTATTATCGGAGAATCGAGCCTTGGTAAACATACCCTCGGAGAAACATGACAGCAATGTAAACAGCAGAAGCAATAAAGTGAATTCGTGTTTGGAACTCTGGAACGCCTACGATACAGAGAAACAGAATACCAAAGATAAACTGACTAACCCTACGATCTACTCTAACTATGGTTCGCTGCAGAGAGACCGAAGCACCAGGATGGCTCCAAAGCTGAGTGACGTCAACTCTCCAGGGTGTCCACCAAGTCCTCCGAAGAGGCGTTACTCATATCCTTGTCTCTCTAGGGCGTTTAGTGACGTGAAAGTGGAAATGAGTCCGAAGAGGGACTCAAAGAACCTGGAGGAGGCTCTGTCGGAGCTCGAGTCGATATATAACAGTCTCTGCCTGGGGGACGACGAACTCCTGGACAGGGCTGAGCAGCGAAGCATGGAGGAGTTCAAGAGGAAAGAAGTAAACAGTACTGCGTCATACCCTAGGGGAAGCTCTTCGGAGAGCTCTTCGACAGGTTCTTCGAGGATTGATGAAGTGAATCGAGCCCAGGGATCCTGGCGTCCTGATGTTCCTGACACTGTGCGTGATGATATGGCGTATCGGAGGATGCATCCTAAGGAGGGGCGCTCGCCGGCCGACACCCGGGAATCCTTGTCCAGAATCAGTTATTTATTTGCCTCGCCGATGATGCTGCGCAGGGAGGAAGGACGAGCGGAACCGAGGCTAGGGCGCAGAATTGAGCCCGATGTCGTCGGAGATGATGTGGCTTTTCGAAGCATCCGACGTGCCAATGATATGCTCCGGGTTGTTGAACCCCAACCTCCGTTTGGCATCCCTTTAGGTCCTGTTACAGCTGCTCCGGAGAGCGATTATCTTCATGCAAGCCCTCCTGCTCGCACCTCCCCCAGGTAGGCATGAAAAGTTGATAATATGGTATCGATACTCTCACTTATTATTTATATCAATGGTTTTACTCATTTGCACCGATGAAGGGTATCGATACATACTTTGTGTGAAAAAGATGTATCGATACCTTTACTTATTATTTGCATTGATGAAGTGATCGATAAGGAGTATCGATGCATACTTGGCATCGAAAAGAAGCATCGATGCATACTTGGAATCGAAATGTGTATTTATTAATATTAATTTATCCATACCCAGGTCGCCGTACATCCCGCACTCCGCACCGGACGTCGTGGCCGACGACCTGGCCTTCCGGAGCCTCCGAAAGGATGCACGACCAACAACAATCGACAAACCTACAGATTCCACTTTTGGAGTTAGGAAAAAGCGCGCTGTCAGGTCACTCTCGGCTAACCTCTACGCCTCGATCAACAAGCTGCACCACCTGGATCGCCCTGGAAATCCGGAATTAAACAATTCCCCGCCCGAAGCGAACTTTCTCCCGGATTTGGAGGTTAGGTCCGACACCAAGCATTTCTCCAGTGATACCGAGTCTCGCGATGACCATGGGAAGAGATACAAGTGCCCTAACCTAGATATCAATGGCAACCGGGCGGATGAGTTTCTTCGTAAACGTGTCCAGGTTTATGTTCCTCAAAATTCCATCGAAGAAAGGAAATCAACAGTCCGAGACCCTTTCACAGAGGTTGAAGTGCTGAAATGTAGGCAGCTCTGCGAGGAACTGGAGAGCCTCATCGAACAGGCTAATAAAGAGGTGGAGAAAATGTCTCCTCCGGAAGCTAAATTACCCCAAGTGAGGGAAAGAGAGTCGAAGCTCACAGAAAAAAATAGTAGCGATGAGAAACTTCCATGTACCCAAACTGAAAAGAGCTCCGATACCCAGTCTGTTTCGAAGAAAGCTGCTGAAAAGTGCTCGGAGGATGTTACAGAGAAAAACTGCATCGAAAAGACTCCTGAATTTGGAGAGGATTTCGCCAAGGATGTGACAGAGGCCAGTCAGCTGGAGAAGAGCTTTGCAGATGTCATCGAGTCGATTACTATGTCACTTGCGGAGTATGAAACGATGAAGGGAAGTTCAAGTGTCGATGCTACAGAAAATCAGGAAGGGGGTTCTGCTGTCAGCCTGAAACAGCCTTCGGAGACTGTGTCTTCGCTTTCAGCTGATGGGACTGATATTTTATTGGTCTCTGATAAAGAGGAACCTTCAAAATGCTCTCGTCCTTACGATGAGAACATTCGACAGGTTATGGAGTCCCTTAGCAGCATGGTCGGCACGATTGATAATAGTTTAAATGAAGAACGTCGAACGAGCACCTGTACTTCTCTCGACAAAGAACATCTTACGGATAAACAAACTCTTACTACACTTAACCTAAGTAATTCGACCGAAGAGAGAGATAAACGTCAAGGATCTCCTGCTCGTAACATTGAAAGATCTCATGCCTCTTCAAGCAGTGAAGACGCAGCTAAACAAATTAAGGAAATGAATGGTTTGTGGGATACAACTTGTAATTTGAAGGTTTCAGACACGATTGATGATAGTTTAAACAAAGAACATCGAACGAGCACGTTTAGTTCCCTCGAAAAAGAATATCTGACGGATAAAAGTTATCCTACTGCACTTAACCTAACTAATTCGACCGAAGAGAGGAATAAATATGAAGGGTCTCCTGTTTGTAATATAGAAAGATCTCGTGCCACTTCGAGTAGTGAAGATGCAGCTAAACAAATTGAGGAAACAAATGATTTATGGGATACAACTTGTAAATTAAAGGTTTCAGACACGATTGACCCGAAATCCTGTGATGTGAGAAATATGGAAGAGACCGAAAGCAGTGACGATCCTATCGATGCTGCCGAAGGAAGCCAGAGCTTCTCTTGGAGCTTTTCTGAGAACTCTAGCTTAATGGAGGAGGAAAATGAAGAAGATGAAGCTCCTGTGTGTCCAGGTGAGGGGGCGGATTGTAAGCGTTGTCAAGATCCAGCCAGCCACGTTTGCTTCGCAACACGACACATCCGCTATGTCACTAACAACGCAACGGCTTATTCCGTTTTTTTGCTTGCTTTTTGCCTTTTAATGTTGCTAGCAGGTCTAGCTCTAACGTGACGAGATTGCATTGTGAGACGTGCACTTATTTTTGGAAACGTTTGTCATTCCTTACCTGTTTTCTGCGTAATGTTGCGATGAGAAGAAGTTTTAAATGATATTACTATTGTAGGTTGCAGCTCGGTACGTTCGTAGCGCGAATCGATTGTGTGGAAACTTCGTCGAAGGGCGTTGAAAGTCTTGTTTGTAGAATTGAAGACACTTAACGCTTGCGTGAGACTAACGGGCCATTCTGTAATCAATTGCAGTTATTCCTTCGAGAAGGAAAGATAACCGTACTGTATTTATCGGACATTTGTTAATTTATTGTTACTATGCGTGTAGGTTGTTATGGATAGTTTATCTAAGAGATATATATAAGTAAATGTGTTACCTGCTGAGAAAGCTGTTGTATGTTTGAACGAATAAAATATAGGACTGAAGATTATTCGCGACAGTTTGTACGGTCTTCAAAAATCTTCATAAAAATGCGCTTCGCGCAAATCTATTGGGTTACGTTTTCATCGCATTAATAAATCTCCGATTTGGAGTACCATGGAGACCGTCAAAAATTTGTGTCGAGCCAGTTCACATGAATGGTCTCGTATTTTCACCACCAAAAATGTTCCGTAATACCGTCAGCTACTCATCTTTCACATTTTCACTAAATTTGCTTTACGTAATAGACCCCCTGTTGAATTACCAATTAAAACACCGCATGTTGTTCCAGGGGAAAGTCCTGCCAATGGAAACAGCTACTGGTTTACACCACTTCATTAAATATAATCTTTGAAATATCTCAGATTGAGGTTAAGCTTCAATAATCTGTTGTTAGATGGCGACATTATATCTGCCATCCTAATCAAATATTAGTAGAACTTTCTTGTTCCAGGTTTTATAATCAATGCTTTTGTCACGAGAGTCTTGTGTCATATTTTGGCAATTTTCCTTGTCATTCCTCGTTTTCGCTACTTTTTTACCGACATTAAATATTTCTTAGAAATTCAACGAAATTCGTAAGTATAAAATATTTCTTTCGTTAGAAAATGGAAAAGGTTGATACTCGCTTTATCTTTACGTATCGAAGTGTATAATTAGTTATTTATCATTGAAGGTGGAGATACGTTTATTTCAGCCTTAATTTGGAAAACAGTGGAATAAAAATGAGGGAATTCCTCAGAAAAGGCCAACAAGTTCTGATCGTAGCAAATCCAGATGACAATGGAAATGATTTTGAAGAGTTCGTACGAGACGTCAGGGAAGAAGTTAAGGATACCGGTCAAGTCGTGCTCACAGATTTGGAGAAGTTTAAAGCTTGTATGTTATCGACTCTTGATTCAGGTTATATTCCTTCTAGAAATTGTTTCATCGTTTAATACTTTGAATGCCTATAATAACGTTGAGACAATTCCTATATAATAATTGATGGTAATCGTATCATTTAAAGCATTAAATATTAGGTTGAGGAATAACTTTTCGCCTTTTTTAACGTAATATAACACTTTTCTAACTTTTAATATAAGCTCAGACTCTATTTCTTGTTTGTACTTTGATACGGTCTAAAATATGTTTGATAAAAATATTGGATATACGATATGCAAGATTATTAATCGATTAACACGTTTCAGCTGATTACGAGTCGATCGATATAATTTTATCTGGGTGTTATCGTCCGTTTCATCACAACGATGCTTTGCTGGAAGGATATCTGAATGTTTTGAAACCTGGTGGCTCGATCGTAATTCAAGAACCGTGTACAACTACGGAAAGTCAATCGTGTCAAAAACTTATCAGTAAACTGAAGCTGGCCGGTTTCCTTCTCGATGTTACTAAATGCAAAATGTTTGCCGATCCGCAAACATGCTGTAATTCGATTTCTAGGGGGGAAAAATTGTTGGAATATTTGAATCATAAGTATGGCACGAAAGTTCTATGTCAACTGGAAGCGAAAAAGCCTGAATACGAGGTTAGGATTACTTTTTAATAAATTATTCCCCCCAGTCAGCAATGACAATGTAAATTTATAAACTATTTTTCAAGATCGGTTCATCGGTATCGCTTCCATCCGTTAAACCTAATCAGAATGTGTGGAAGCTGGAGGACACCGTCGACGACGATTTAATTAACGAAGACAGTCTACTAGATGAAGACGATACCAAGAAACCCGATGCTTCTACCTTAAGAGGTATCGTAACACCCTGAAATTTTAAGAGCATTACTTTCAATTATACACACATTATAGAAATTAGTTTATCTAAGCCTATTTTCTTAAATCTGACATTAATCGTTGCAGTCTGCGGTACCACCGGTAAAAGAAAAGCCTGCAAAGATTGTTCTTGTGGCCTGGCGGAAGAATTGAACCAAGAAAAGTCATCGCAGAAAATTGAGAAATCATCTTGTGGAAACGTAAGCATTAAAACATCGTTTTGTTTATAACATATCATAGTTTCTTAATCCGAAACTAAATTATCAAACTCAAGTTTTAAAAGGAAAAGAAATTGTGAATACGTTCATCGACAATTCCACTTACTTTGAATGGTGCATACGATTAGTTAATCACGCTCTAAGTAAATGTGGTGGAACATTTACGTTTTTAACCCCTGATTAACTTGGACATTAACTTTAACCTACGGTTAGGTAATCAATGATTTAATTGAGGTTTGTGGAACCGGGCTTATGATACTCTTCTTAAGGTTATTACACATTATTCATGAACTCTTAAGTTTGATAATCGAATCGTTGCAGTGTTATCTGGGAGATGCATTCCGCTGTGCCTCCTGTCCTTACCTTGGAATGCCAGCATTTAAACCAGGTGAAAAAGTTCTCCTTCCGGAAGGCCAACTCATGGTAGAATGAACGTGAAATGTATTTTAAGTATTAAGCGAACCGGTATTAAAAATTTACACCTTAGCGAAGTGGTCGAACATCTTTTACCATAACCTCCATGATACTGGAACTGATTTAGCATTCACTGTATGTTCCATTTTCTTGTGAAAACTTTGAGGAGTCCAGGAAAATGCAAAAAAAGGTATTTAGTTTCTTTTTTCTCTGGTCATCGTTGGAAAATGTGATCGATTTCTTAACCTGTGACGCCACAATTTAATATGGCTGATTTGTCATTGTTAACCTCTCACGTGTTAATATACGTTTTTGCTTCTAATTATTGGGATTAAAATGCAATGTACTTGTAATTAATAATAAATAAAAGTGGAAAAGAGCAACGCTGAATTATTACAAAGTAGAAAAATACATTTTTAATATCCATGTTCAGTGGAACGTCCCCGAAGGCCGCTAGTAAAGTTACATGTACAAATAGTATTATTAAAACTACCGATTGGTTTAACTAACTACACTACTCGCTACTAATGAGATGGTGAACTTGTACTAAGGAATGGTTAAAGCCTTCGCATATATCTTACGTAAGCCTAATGATAAGAACTGGTCGATGAAATTGCAGAACATTTAACTCATTGTCAATATTCTGCAACTCATCCATTCGGTATATTCTGGACAATTCTTACCATTATGCTTACGCACATTGTTACGCAAGGTATCTGTGGACATCTTTACAGCGTTCGGTAAATTCTCTCTATGTAATTATTATATTGTTTCCAACAAAATGCTCCTGTTGCTATCACACCAGTTGCCAGAGCGATACCACCTGGAAGATAGGACGACGTTACTTAAATATCTCATTTAAATTTCAACCTCTAAACATATTTGGAAAACAGCACTTACCGACAAAACTTAAAGCATCGAAACGCTGATCCTGCCAAGACCAGGGGGCTTCCATCGGAACGGCAGTTGTAGTTTCATGGGAAAGATATCCAGGTGATGTTTTAGATTCCGCAGTTGTCGCTTTATGAAGTTTATTCGGGATAACTTGTTTCGTTGTAACTGTAGTCGAAGACACTTGTGGAACTGCAGTAGTAGACTGGGAGGGAATAGTTTTCGCTCCACATGGGGCCGTTACAGGTTCAGGCGTAGAAGACCCACTCGGCGTTTTTGGTTCGGCAGTCGTCGTATCAAGGTTAAATCCTGTAATGCATTTTTTTATAATTTTTAAGTAGTATCTAAATATATCTGTATCTAAAAACCACAAGAAGTGAACTAAATACTTTCGCTTTAAAGTATTAAATTATCGTAATCGATCGCAGATGAATTTACAACCGATCTGGTGCATGTCACTAAATTTAATTAACGTTTAATCATTTTTGGTGGTACAGTGCACTCAATACGTTAACCGTTGACATTTGTAACGATATAAATGACATTCGCAAAACATAATTTTATTCTACCGTTCGGAAGTTGAATTTATCGCACATTGACAACACTTAGGCAATGTTTTAAATGACTTTAAAATTCATTATAAACTCAGTTGGATATAGTTTGCCATGTATCCTTGTTAATAAATGTTCCGCACAAGTGGTTACATTTTTCTCTGCTAGATTTTTTCAATATACATCACTGAAAACAAAGAAATAATAGAAACCGTAAAAAGTAAATTAAATGTACCATTAGTGCCCACAGTAGTAATACTTCCAATAGGACTTGCAGATCCTGTTAGAGGCGCAAATAACAGGAAAATTGAAACAAAGTGGAAAGTAGTCATATTTGTTACAAATTGAACGCTACAGTTGTTTACGACGCGGACATGAAGCTACGAATTATATAGAAGAGCATTCTATTATACTCTATCCATGGGTGTAGGCCAGTTTCACAACTCGAGTTAATCGAAGTTTAACTGGTTAATGGCCGTTTATAAACTGGGTTCCACAACGTGAGTTAATCGAAGTTTAACTAATTAACAGGGCGTTTATTACGTATTTGTGACGAGAGCGCTCACTTCTCGCACTTTTATCTCACGTGGGTTTATTCGCCGAATTACGTATTCGCTATATGAATGGTCTCGCATTTTCACTACCAAAAACGTTCCGTAATACCGTGAGCTACTCATTTTTCACATTTTCGCTCAATTTGCTTTGCATGATAGACCCCCTAATTCCCTGTATAAACGCGATTAAACTCACCGTGTAAACTCAATGCGGCCGCTCGTAGGTGGCGGCGAGCCCAGTCGTCGGCTTGTTGCATACGGCGACCTGCGTCGACCTGAGAAAATAAGGTGGTGGAGGTGGTGGATGTTTTGGCTGAAAACGTACTTAGGAAATGTCCAGTCACGGCCATGCTTCGTGCTTCTGCTCGAGCGAGTGACCTTTGCTCGATGAATTCGACGTTCTGCTGAATAGGAATGGTAGAAGCGAGACCGTTAGCGGTCACTGTTCTTTCTTGACACCGTTGAACCCCAGGTAACTATTTTTACACCGCGGCCGGCTCTTTAAAGGGACCGCAACGCGTGGGCGACCCGTGTACGAGTTTAAGCCTAAGTAAACTGATCCTTACACAAAGGAAAATTCGTAGCACTTCTGCACCACTCGAGTGGAACTTCTCTACGATAGAATATATAAAGAGTATTACTTCGATGTACAATTTGGTAAATAACTAAGCGTAAAAATTAAAAGAAGGGATCGTAGCACTTTTGCACCACTCGAGTGGAACTTTTCTGCGATAGAATATATAAAGAATATTACTTTGATGTTCAATTTGGTAAATAACAGCGTAAAAATGAAAAGAAGGGATCGTAGCACTTCTGCACCACTCGAGTGGAACTTCTCTGCGTTAGAATATATAAAGAATATTACTTCGATGTGCAATTTGGTAAATAACTGAGCGTAAAAATGAAAAGAAGGGATCGTAGCACTTTTGCACTACTAGAGTGAAACCTTTCAGCGATTGAATATAAAAAATGTATTACTTTGATGCACAATTTGGTACATAACTGAACATTCCTAAAAAGAAAAGAGTACAAGCACTTTTGCACCACTCGAGTGAAATTTCTCAGCGTCTTATTCGAATCAACTGATCTGAGAGGGATTTCACTTCACCTTAAATATTTTGCAGTCCTACGAGACAATTCCTGTCTCTCCCTTATCTAATAGAAACAATGTTCGACAGATTCCCAGCTGGAGCCGCTTGTCCGTCCGACCATGGCTATCGGGAAGAGGAGACCGCTGCATCCGACCACGGGCAGCATAGGAACCCCAGGAGGTAGCTTCCGATCCAGCCACATGAACTTCAGACCGAGCTCTACACAAGAAGACAAGGGTGGCACGAGGCCCACGGCGGCCCCCAGCTCCATCGGACTCATCCTCCTGACGATGGTGCTCCACGTGTGCAAGAAGTCGCTGCTCTTCGACACGAGGCTCAAGGTCAGAGTTTGAGTTGACTTAAATCATGATTTATAAACAATACTCTCTGACTTTTAATTTTTTAAATGAATTAAATTTTACCAACAAGGTGGCCATCTACTGCGGAGCCATATTCGTGGTGTCGCTGATAACAGACACGATCACGATGCCAAGGACATACTTCGCAAGATCAGACAACGCCCTGAACCAGTACTTCGTAAAGTGGGGTTGGGGATGGTTATTGATGGTGACGATACCCTGGATAGTCCTGACAGCCCACACGGTAGGATGTGGCCAGCGAAGGATCCTCTTCAAGCACCTGGGACGTCTCTTGCTGGCAACGGCAGCCTGGCTAATGTGGATTAAACTGTTCAACTACATAGAGACCAACTATGGCAAGTGTGTGAACACAAAGGACTCGCAGTTACAATCGAAGACCAAGTGCCTGCAAGCCGGGAAGTTCTGGAACGGTCTGGACATATCGGGCCACTCCTTCATCCTGATATACTCGAGCTTGATCCTGGCGGAGGAAGGCTCCACCCTAATCGGTTGGGAAGGAATAAGAGAGCTGGTGACGCAGGAGGAACACTCTAGAGTAACGTCTGGGAAAGGCAGCTCCGGTCCCCTGCGTAACCTCTCAAATACTGACCTGGACTTCGTTAAGAAGGCCCATGGTGCCCTCACTCCCTACCTCAGGGCTCTCTTCATCGTCATGACCTTGCAACAGCTCCTGTGGGACGTCATGTTAGTGACCACGCTGTTATATTACCATATTATGATCGAAAAGTTCATCGGTGGGATCACTGCGGTGCTTACGTGGTATGTTACGTATCGATGGTGGTTTAGGAATTCGAAACTGGGGTTGCTCGGTCCTGGGGAAGGCCTCTTCAAGTATAACGAAGTGAAGTGCAGTACCGATAATGGTACTGGCAGGGTTAGACGTAATACTATTAATGGGGTCGGTCCCAGGTTCATGGGCATGCCAATTAGAACAAACCTGGACGTTCCCGAAGTCTCTTCGACGAGTAGGCAGCAACCTGAACAGGAGATTTCGGCTTCCCGCATTTAAAGTAAGGTTATATGCAGGTGCCTTACTGGTGACGGTACTACAAGACATGTATGTAGATAGTTAGACGTCAAGTGGGCTCTCCTCGATGCGATTCGTGTGCAGTTCTTGTGTGGGACCTGTGGACTCTGTACATTCTGCCGACTGTTGTGTCCTTTAACTGTTAAGCTACATCGGAGTGATTAATATATAAAATACAAGGTGTTTGTTATATAGATATATAGATATATTTAGTAAGATAACCTCGTGGGTGAATGTAACCTATATTTATTGAAACATGACATAACCGCGAATTCGTTTCGCGGAATAGAAGGGAACGAAATGGAGACTTTGAATCTAGACCCCTTAACTACGTTATGTGGTATTGTTTGGTTTCAATGACACAAATGTACATAAACGTAGCATCCAATACCTGCACATCCCGTTACTCTAAATGTATTATACACACGGTACCTTTTATACAAATTAGTTTTCATAAGTTTGCCATGGGAAAATTAAATAGTTCAATTTATTAAATTAACCACATGGCCATTTAATGGTCAACGGGGAATATTAGGGCGTAAAGGTTATCTCTTTGATGACTGCTTCGCTCTCTCTCTCTTCTTTTTTATGTATTTCTTCACCTTGTGTTGTCTCTTTTCAGCTTGTTCGCTCTTCACAGCTTTCTTTCGGGCCTGCAGAAAGTGGAACAACAGTAATTAATAATCAAGAAGATACAATTCCTATGATACATTTTCCAGGTGAAACTTCTTTCGCCGAGAGAAGAAAAAGTTTTATGACAATCGATGCAATATTTACAAAATATTCGAATAGGTTATGATCGAAGATACTCATAACCTATTTTAGTTACCGCAAGGTTTTAATTTTAATGCTAAAATACGAAGAAGTGGACATTCTTAATAAAGCAATGTGTTTATCGATCTTCTGTTAACGCATTGCACTTCTTCGAAGCATTAATATAACCTCACATTCTGACGCAAAGAAACTCCACTTCAACGGTGTGTTAGAACTAAACACTTTTTGTTTTAGATGAATAATATATACTTTTTAAACGCACCTTTTTACTTTCGGTAGTCTCATCCTTAGGACGTGCCGAATTGACGAATTTCGATTTGTTAAGTCCTTCCCTAACCTCTTCCTCCTCATCGTCCTCACTGTCATCGGAGTCACTCACATCCGAAGAGTTCTCCTCTCCGGTTTCCTCTTCACTCTTGGCATCTTTATTGGCAAGGATCTCCGGGGACAAGTTTGGCGTCGACAAATCATTTTTCAAGCCAACTAACGTTTTATAGATCAACGATTCCTTCCCAGTCTTCGCAAGCCTAATGTCACGTTCGAAGTCTACTACCTGTCGATGAAAAAAATTAAATATTCTTCGCACGTCTTTCTTTAAGGTGTTATGAAACAGTCAGCCTATATATATCTTTATAATTATCCTACTAAAATGATACATTTCATATAATTCTCAACATAGAAATGTAACAAACGTCTACCTAAATATAAATGTTGATAACGTGACATGTCAGCTTACGTTACCATTTCAATATCCAAAATGGCGTTAACACCAAAAAGAGTGTAGATGAATTTTATTTTATCGACGTTGATTAAAATTCTCAACTCAAGGTTTAAGCACTCGTACGGATGTCAATGGTAAATATATATATATATAAATTACCTGAGTCAGCCTCTGAGGAATGTACGCATGCTTGAAAACCAGATCGTCAACTTCTTGGTTAGGGTTGACAGTCCCTTCCAAACTTTCGCTGACTCTTTCTGCTAAAGCGTTTAAATAGTCGTCTTTGTTGTCATCCGTAATGGTAGGATCGGTGATGAAATCGAATAATTCCTTGATGGACATTGTGGCCACTTGCCTTTTCCTGAAGAATTCTGAAAAGAATTGTACGCTAAGTTTCAATTGAACATCCTTTACGTTGGAATGATCGTTAAGTCTTAATTATCGAACATGTCCACTAATACATTTCCAATGCAGGGGGTTAATCGACAAAGTATTGCAAAAAAACACCACGTAAAGGTACTCACCGGTAATATTTGTGCAGTCTTTCCGAAGGAAATCCAGAGCATGAGGATGATCATGCTCTACCGATTGAGAAACGTCTATAATAACCACCGATTCCTTGTGATAAAGTAAATTGTACTCGCTGAGGTCAGCATGAACCAATTTGCATTTATTGTACAAAGTCCACATCATTTCTATGCACTCTCTATACAGTTTTCTCAGTTTCGATTCACCAAGAGTGGCATCTTTTAATTTTGGAGATGGCCAGCCATCGACGCCAATGAATTCCATCAACAATACATTTCCGCGGAGAAGAATTGGTTTCGGTGCATGCAGTCCGGCTTGAGTTAACCTAGCTAAATTCCTCATCTCCTTCTCTGCCCAAGTGCGAACCATTTTTCTCGGGTTATGTCTGCAGTATCCATGCCGGAAGCGAAACTCACCGTTGATGTACTTGTCTCGGTCTTTGAACAAGAGAATGGAGGTTTTGTAGATCTTAATCGCTATTTCTAGACCTGTCTTCGAAGTTGCATGGTACACGTTCGCTTCTTTCCCTGTCGATATGCAGCCGTTGATTTCTTCGATGATGCCTTTGTTCAGCAGTCGGAACAAGATCATACGAGTGCGTGGATCCATTACTTGCTCTACGGTCGCTCTGTCGTGCTTGTCTTTCGTTCTGTTGCGTTCCTTTTCACTTCTCTTCTCGCTTTCGACGAGAGTATTCGTCGCATGGCCAGGCAGAGTGTATCGGTCGACGTTTATCTTACTGGCGAATCTTCTCAGTAACTTATCCGAGGGTTGGTAGTCGGATACTTTGTTCGATAAAACCTCCGAGTCGTTGTAATCCTGGCCTTTCTTCGTGTTGTATGATATATTTGCATTTGCTTCGATAGGGTTCCACTCGCCTTCAAAGTCTTCGTCTTCTCCGTTAAAATCATCGGAGAGACTCTCACCCTCGACGTGTAAGTCGCCCAACTTCTCTGAGAGATATTTCGTCGACATTTCTTCCTGAAATTGAAACGATGGTAATTATGCAGTAAAATTCTGTGATAATTTCAAATATTACGAGCTTTGCTGTAATTCGTCTTCCACAGAAAGTGTAACAAGTAAAGAGGTTAGGTCTTGGCCTGTTCTTGGTCTCTAGCGCCTGTTTTGATATTCAAGATATTTAATACACAGAATCTTATTATACCTTTTTTTAACGAAGAGGTTAGATTGATAACGAGAAATAATCTACGATAACGGTAACGACGATGAGGATCACTGTCTGACTTGCTCTAACCTATAAACTCGACTTTGCTTAACTCAATTCGACTAGACGCAGTGACCACGTCTCCACCGTATTAATAAATCCAGGATTTATCCTGCCCGAATCCAGTAAATCACATTAATAAATCCCGGATTTCGAATATGATGTAAACGTAGTTCACGGCAGCGATGAACTTAAATTAATTAAACTTTGATCTATAATTAAAAAAAGTATAAATCACGCGCTTCTCATTTTCTAAATTATTTTTAAGAAATGTCATTCTCAAAACGCGCATAGCGTTTTAAAATTCGGAATATACCTACCTAAAAAAGAAAATGAAGTTCATAGAAAGGAAACTCATCGTATTTCCGGCGACCGACAATTATAGAAAGTTTGAATCTCGCGCCTTTAATGTCTCCCTTTATTTGAATCGCACATCTTAAAAGAAAAGTCAACTTTCACTCCTAAAATGCGTATAACATTTAAAAATCTGAATTTAAGATTCAACCATTCAAAAACAGTGAAATGAAGTCCATAGAAAGAAAACTCATCGTATTTCCGACGACCGACAATCAAAGAAAGTTTGAATCTCGCGCCTTTAATGTCTCCCTTTATTTGAATCGCACATCTTAAAAGAAAAGTCAATTTGCACTCCTAAAATGCGTATAGCATTTAAAAATCTGAATTTAAGATTCATCCATTCAAAAACAAGGAAATGAAGTATATATAATACGGTTTTTATTTTTCTCCTTGCTTTCAGAGGGATTAAAAAAAAAAAAAAGCGCGCCCCGTATCACAAAACCCGCACTGGGGATACGATCTAAGAAAGGAAACTCTCCTCTAGAAATGAAATTCCGTCTATTTCGCAGTCCTACAAATGTCGCGGAACACTTTTCGGTTGCTCGCATGTACGCCCTCCAATCACTTCCCTAATCATTTTTCTTTTTAAATCGCCGCTAACTTTTAGAACTCCGCGAGAAGAGTCGAGAAACCGTACGTCGTAAATCGTAAGTTGATAATCGAAAATCGCAAATCGTAAATTGGAAAAAGGGCCTTTCGCCTCCCCCCGGGAATAACAGAATCACGACGCATTTTCTAATAAAGAGAATTTATACAATCGAGTCACATTCGATGAAGGGCCTTTTTTTAAATAACGAATTTGCATACATACATACATATATTATGCATCCTCTGTTAAACGGCAATAAACTTATATACATAAAGTAGAAAGAGGGAGAGCCGACGCGCGACGGAAAGATAACCTAGAAACGAGAACGAGAGGGAAATGCAGAGCGCTCGCTTTATTCCGCGTCTAAGGACATAGACTTCGGATACATGGAACCCTTAACCTAACTTTCCCTTCGATGCTTACAAAGGCAGCGAAGAGAAAAATTAAAAAAAAAAAAAGAGAGTGAACAAAGGAGTCATCCATTCTCTTTCGATGTTCTTGAGAGGGTTGCGAAGAGAAAAGAGCAAACACAGTAGTGATCGTCTCTCTTTCGATATTCCTGCGAAGACTACGAAGAGGAGCGAACGAAAGGTTCTATCTCTTGATATTCTTGTAGATTGTGAAAAGGAAAAAAAAAGAGAGAGAGAGAGAACCTCCTGCCTTCGCAGTTAAATTGAGGACGTCGCAGTCAACTCCAGACACTCCAGTTACTGCGAAGAGACCAAATTAAAGCACCGCAGTTCCTGCGATGCCATTGAAACTAAAAACGAGAAAGAAGAATATATTCTTCCTTACTTTATCTGTCTACGCAGTTAAATTGAAGACATCGCAGTCCTGCGAAGACATTCGAACTAAGAGAAAGAAGGCATTCCTTAACTTCACCAGCCTTTGCAATGAAACCGAAGACATCGCAGTCAACTCGAGACCCTCAAATTAAGTCTCTGCAGTTCCTGCGATGACAATTAAACCAAGAGAAAGGTATTCGTTCCCTCACTATCTGTCTTCGCAGTTAAATCAAAGACATTGAAAACCCCCAATCCCTGCGGAGGGTCCCAACCAGATGCTTCGCAATGCCTCCGAAGCCCCCAACCAGGATCTCTCCGCAGTACTTCCAAACCATGCAATAATCTCTCCCTCCCAGACTCTCGGTCCACTCGTGCGAACGAAACGCCCGTCCACCAGGCTCCACGTATCCGAGTCCAGGTCCCGGAGAAGAGGTCGGCGTACGAAAACCGCGTCGGTCACCGGTGCGTGTCCGGAGATTTGATCCTCTCCTAGAGTCCCCTCTCGTGCGCCCGGGGGAAGGTCCTACTGTACAGGGCCCGCACCGGGTAAGGACTTGTCGGCGGGGATTCGGTCGCTCCAGGGGACGATCAGTTGGGCAGGGTGTCGTAGAGGATGTCCTTGACGCTCTGGGCGAGGCTCTCGGGGAACCTGATGTCGAAGGAGACGAGGAGTTCGCCCTTCCTAGAGGGTTCCTTGGGGAAGGGCAGTCCCCGTCCGGGGATGCGCTTCACCGTGCTCGGCTTGACGATCTCCCGGGTAAGGTCCAGGGTGACCTTCTCCCCGGAGAGGGTCGGCACCTCGACGATGGCGCCGCATAGCGCCTGCTTCAGGCTTAGCTTGTGCGTGTACCGGATGTCGCTTCCCTCGCGCCTGAACAGCGGATGCGGCTTGTCCCGGATTATGAAGACGATGTCGGCGGGCACCTTCCCGCGACCCTGGTCCCCCTCCTTCTGGAAGGTGATCTTCGTCCCCGCCTTCCAGCCCGGCTTCACGTTGATCGTCAACACCTTGTCCTCCTTCCTGGTGCTACCGTCCGGCTGGACCACGCGCCTCGAGATCTTCATCTTCTTCGTGCAACCGCGCACTATGTCCTCCAGGGAGACGTAGAGGTCGTGCTCGATGGCGGGATCCTGGGCCCTGTCCTTGACGCCACCCGCTCGCCCTCCCCCGTGGGCCCCGGCGAAGTTGAACGAGTGCGACCGGAACGCTCCACCAGGTCCCGCTTGCTGCCTCGTAGCCGGTCCTGCTGCTAATCCGAACGGGTCGTCCATGTCCATGTCCTCGTCGTAGAGACCAAACCCCCGGTTGCCGCCCGGGCCGCCCGAGCTGCCGCTGAAGTCGAAGAACGCCTGCAAGGATGGTTTACCTAGGTTAATACCTACGTTGCCGACGTTCGTTTTTATATCGACAACTATGTCGAATTATATTGGGTATTGTACCAAATGGCATACTCCACCTGTCGTTATCGTACAATAATTATAAAGAAATCGAAGTAAAACTCCAGAAATCCTCTGGATTCGTGCTTCCTGGGGCCCTAATTGACTGCGGAGGGACCCTCTGCGCCATCTGTGATTTCCAGGTCAATTAAATTATCACTCCGAGACCTCGTATTACAATCGTTTTAGCATAGAAGCGCATCCAACACTTTTCTTGCCTTTATCCCGTTCAAATGCGAATTTATCGACTACCAGAGTGTTCTAAATTGTCGTAAAATTGTCCTGACCCTTTCTTTTCTCATATCGGAGCCTTCAATAATTATATATCGATCGAGATATGAAAGCTCGATGCCATTTTTGTTCTAATCTGGGCCAAGTTAAGAAATTTGTTTAAAAAATCCAAATCTTGAAAGTGTCAGGATAATTCCTACGAGCTCATCGGTCACGTGTCAAAGTTTCAGACAGTTTGGTTCAATACCCTTAAAAAAAAGTGTCTTATTCGAGTCGACTGATTTGAGGGGGGTTTCACTTCGCCTTAACTATTGTTTATATACCTCAGTCGTTTTCTCGTCCCTGGTTATACCACCTGGGTGAGAAAGCGCCTTAAAAACTCTACCTGGAACGGCGTGGCCGAGCCAAAGAACTGGGCGAATGTGGCCCTGGGGTCCCCGTGGAAGGTGTAGCTGCTCCTCCCACTTCCACCCCCGCCTGATACGTTGCCCTTGAGGCCCTCCTCCCCGAACTTGTCGTACACCTCCCTCTTCTTCGAGTCGGAGAGTACCTCGTACGCCTCGGCGATCTCCTTGAACTTCTCCTCGGCGCCGGCGCTTCTGTTCTTGTCAGGATGGTAGCGAAGAGCCAACTTCCGATAAGCCTTCTTTATTTCGTCGTCAGTGGCGTTTCGCCCAATACCCAGGATCTTGTAATAGTCTGTCCCCATGTCTCTGCGCCTCCGACTCTCTGCAATGGAGATCATTTAGGTTAGGGTGGTCAAACACTCTTCGCAGATGCCTTACATAACCTTACATGCGATCGTAGAAGGGAGAACTGGCCAAATTAGAGGGAATTTCATCGAAAATTAGGGTTTGGCAAGTTTATTGGTTAGGTCTTACTGTTAAGGCCTTCGCAGACAACCTACATAACCTTACATGTGATCATAGCAGGGAAAACTGACCAGATTTTACTGTATAATAGTACAATCTGGCCAACAAACCTGTCAGTAAATATAATGACAAAATATAACCAATTCTCATTCCCATAAACCCTTTAAACTTTTCCTTCCTACATCATTAATGATATCAAAATAACCACTAAGTTTCCCTCCGCCTTTTGCCTTCTAACATCCACAAAAATATAATTAAACAAGATAATTATGTTCACATCCGCATCCATTTCCTTCCTACCTCATTAACGATATCAAAATAACTATTAAGTTCCCCGACGTCCTTTCCCTTCCTACAGCATCGATAATAATATAACATAATATAATCGAGATCTCACCCACGTCCTATTCCTTCCTACATAACGATATCAAAATAACTATTAAGTTTCCCAACGTCCTTTCCCTTCCTATAGCATCCATAATAATATAACATAATATAATCGAAACCTCACCCATATCCTATTCCTTTCTACACAACGATATCAAAATAACCATTAAGTTTCCCAACATCCTTTCCCTTCCTATAGCATCCACGATAATATAACATATAATCAAGATCTCACCCACGTCCTATTCCTTCCTGCATAACGATATCAATATAACCATTAAGCTTCCCGACGTCCATTCCCTTCCTATATCATCCATAATAATATAACATAATATAATCAAAACCTCACCCACGTCCTATTCCTTTCTACATAACGATATCAAAATAACCCTTAAGTTTCCTGACATCCTCTCCGTTCCTGCAGAATAGACAAAAAATCATTATTATACATGATAAAGCCAACGGTACGCATCCACTAGGTGAGCCCGGAGAGTCGCAGCAAGGACCAAGCCCAGCAGACTCTCCAGGGCGCGGGATGCACCCAGGGCGCTTATAGGGCGAGCTCCCCGACGCCGCCTGTCGCGTCTGCTAAGTCCGGTTATTTCTGGACGTGACTCGCGCCTTGGGCCCGAGCTTCGACCCCGAGCCGCGCCAAAAGGAGCCTCCTCGGGTGCGGGTCGGGACTCTTCTCGCGCGCGCGACGGTTCGAGTCAATTCGAGTCAATTTGAATCAACTCGAGTGAACTCGAGTCGTCCTCTGGGATACTCACAGGTCGAGCTGCGCCTCGGTGCGTCCACTGGCGGCAGGCGCGGCTTCTCCTCGAGCTCTCGGTACCGCTGTGACGATCACTACGAATACTCTCGTCGTTTCTCACCGAGTATACGTGTAAGTGTGCGCTACCGTCTCTCTTGCCCCTCGTGCGTGCGTCTGCCGTGCGCGCGTGTACGTGCGCGCCTGACGGCCCGAGATCGTCCTTCTACTACCTTCTTGAACTTTCCAGAAACGGAGCGATTCGCCCGCTGTCACACTTCCGTGGCGCTTCTATTCGACCTGTTTACACCGCGGCGAAGGTGGGTCGCCTCGTTCATCGACCCCGACCGGTCGGCCAATCAGGGGCCGCGAGGGACGACGCACGCACGCCATTGGTTGAGCTCTCGACCAATCACAGGGCAGTATCCAGGTGACGGACGCACGCCATTGGTCGAGCCCTCGACCAATCGCAGGGCAGTATCCAGGCGACGCTCGATACTCGCGAAACAGGCGGGATTTTGTAACTCGTTACGAGTACGTCTCCATCGTACTCGAAATCCGGGATTAATCGAGTCTAAGCCCGGTAAATCCAAACTCCCGCGGTTCCAACGGAATCAATCAAATTCAAACTCCCGCGGTTCCAACAGAATCAATTAAATTCAAACTCCCGCGGTCCCAACGGAATTAACCAATCACAGCGCTACAAAACGCTTCATTTTCACAAAACACACATACGGCTTAAACTTCTAACAAATTTCTTAGATTTAATTATTATACTTACGTCTTACCCGGTCCTAGTCCTATTATCACAATTTGCACGTGAAAATCACATACGCAAATAAATTTTCCATCTACGCCAAAAACCTTTATTTGAGTGTTTAGTGTTTTTTTGCTAGAAAGTCTGTGAAAGGTAATCATGGATCGGTTTAACTAGTGGAGCAAAAAACCATTGCTAATAAGTGAAAAACGAGAATATAAGGTTAACATTTATTGTTTAACAAAAAGGTAACCACTAACTGACCAGTAACTCCCTTGCGTCGCTTAACACGTGTTCTGCATAACAAACCACCGATATTATAATAAACTTTCTTGAAAGACGCAATGGCTGTGTATCAACGAATGGCATTGCTTCGATCGAAAGATTGTACGTCATTCGAATAAGTCCCCCGACAAACGTCCTTCGACAGACACGGTTTGCTCACCAAAATGCCGGCGTAGGCTTTAAAATGAGTGGAAGTAGTAATTACAGGTTATGGTACAGAATCGGCTAAAGATTAAGTGTTTAGCTTATCGTCTTAAATTAAATTACAGAGTAAAACATGGGAAGCTCCCTGCAGTGACGAGCATTAAGAACCGATCGCACAGAGAAAAGTCTCCGCCCTCAATCGTTCTCGCAACTAACCGTGTCACAGTTTGTGCTCCAGAAGAGGCAGTTTCCGACGCCACTGTAGCAGATCAAGAAGACCGCGGCCAGGAAGACTATGCTGCAGATGATGCACGGCTTCTTCTCCAGAAAGAAACCGACTAAGTAGAGCACCATAAACATGACATGGGTCTGCAATAGCGCTGGATTGACTGGTTTCGGCAAGAGCAGCACGGGGATGAGCCACTGCATGCAATACATTCTTCCAGATTACCGGCGGAACCCTGTGGGAGAGACTCGAGACATAAGCGATACACGTAAACATGACTCATAGATAAAACACATAAAGCTACCTTTTCACTTGCATAGCTATAAAAATGTATGCATTGAAACGTTTCGATTGGTTAAAAACAAGTAGATAGTTATCAAGGATGACACAAAGAATTATGAACCAATCGAGGCATTTCGCTGTACGTAATTTTGCAGTAATGGTATGAAAATATATCGTCAAACTGAAACGTTCCAATTGGTTAAAAACAGGCAAATAATTATCAAGGACGACACGGAAAGGATTACGAACCACTCGAGATATTTCATTGTCCGTAATTTTGCAACGATGCGATAAAACTATATGAATCGAAACGTTCCGATTGATTAAAAACAGACAAATAGTTACCATAAATGAAAGAAAGAATTACGAACCAATCGAGGCATTTCGACGCACAAAATCTTGCAGCAATGCGATAAAAATATATGAATCGAAACATTCCGCTTGGTTAAAAACAGGCAAATAATTATTATGAGCGACAGGGAAAGAATTACGAACCAATCGAAGCATTTTGCTGGTCAAAATTTAGCAGCGAAGGAAAAGGTACCTTTGAGGTGACTCGTAGAGACTGAGAGAGGGTATTTCGAGGTTAGGATGTGGACGTACCGAGCGTTACCACGTCGGGGCCGTTTTTGGAGCCGCCAGGCCTGGAAATGATTCGTCTCTGGGACAAGCGACACGTAAAGCCACTTTACAAAGCTCGGTTAACAATTAACGGAAGAAAAAGCGCGGAAATCATTGTCACCGCGCGCGCGTTACCTCAGGCGGCGAAGGCCGAGTCGCGGCCGATCGACTCGGCCATTCTCGATACTCAGGGATTCGACCGAGTCGAGAGTCCACTCGGGCCACCGCGGAGAACCTTATCACAAAGCGAGCACATGGATTTTTTTAGCTCCTCTTCGACCGAGATATTCACTCCCCGAGCCGTACATAACGTTCTTCGACGTGGAAGATGAACGACTTCGAGATGATCGACTGACGTGCTCGAGGATTGTATGGAAGGTGCACGTAATTCCCCACTTTGGCGCGACGTGGCGCTGCGCGCGGCTCTTGGAGCAAGCTCGATGGTTTTGTTCGCTTTGCCTACACTTTCTATACTTTTACTAAAAATATACACTTTGGCAGGGGTGGGTAATTCCCCATTTTTCGACGTTTTTGACGTACATTAGGTAACAAAGTAGTTTACCGGAGAAAATCGTGGAAAACCAGTAAATTACGTTTCCAATATGATGAATGCCGCAGATGGACGACATGTGGCTTGATTATAAACGTCTTTTAGCACATGTGTAAACACGGAAATATTGTTAAGAAATAATTTGGCGTTTGTGTTGAAATTCTCCAAATTCGAATTACATAGAAGGGCATTCTATTATACTCTATCCATGGGTGTAGGCCGGTTCCACAACTTGAGTTAATCGAAGTTTAACTGGTTAATGGCCGTTTATAAACTGGGTTCCACAACGTGAGTTAATCGAAGTTTAACTAATTTACAGGGCGTTTATTACGTATTTTTTACGAGAGCGCTCACTTCTCGCACTTTCATCTCACGTGGGTTTATTCGCCGAATTACTTATTCGCTATGTGAATGATCTCGCATTTTCACCACCGAAAACGTTCCGTAATACCGTGAGCTACTCATTTTTCACATTTTCGCTCAATTTGCTTTACGCAATAGACTCTCTGGTTTGCGCCTTATAAAACGTCGCCATATTGCAAGTACTTCAAGAAATTCTTTGATAGTGGATACTGGCTTTAATATGTACATAGTACCAAGGAACTCCACAGACGCAGCGCCACCATTTTCCGACGTGTCGTGTCTTCTCTAGATGCTTCACATTTTATGGCCGCGTCTGTCATTCGAGTTGTCGCGTAATTACCGATATTTGTGGCTGATAATCACTGATAATTATTAGGAAACGCGACGTTAACAAATGACAGCGTAAGAAACAAGAGTAAATTGCCATGTCTACTGAACATTCTAGTGGGAAAGGTTATACGCGGCTTCCCCAAAGCATCAGCAACACAGACAGCGAGAACGAGGACGAGCATCCCTACCGCCTAACCTCAAAACCTCTCGGAAATCAATCAGTATTGCAGGTCTAGTATATTTCTCATATATTTCTAACATCTTTCCACCTGAGTACAGATTTTTACTTGTAATACTTTGTAAACAATAAAACTATGATAAATAGTCGCAGTAAAGCATTGCGTCATTTACTAATAAACTTTTCAGGACAGTCCCTCGGCGCAGCAGAATGGCCAATTTTGTCCTATCGATAAGCAGACTAATTTGACAAACCGGTCGAGGAATGGCTGCGGCATTCTCGATCCATCCAAGGACAACGTTCCTATAATAACGATTGAGAAACATGGGTATTCCAGCTCGTGGAACCACCGAACCGTGTCTCCCTTCAGATTCTTTTGTTTAATCCTCTCGATCTTAGTCTGCGTGTGCACGATACTTGTATTTTTGTATTTCCTGCCCTGCGACAGTTCCCTGAACTGTCAGACGGATGAGGAGTCGTCGGCGTTCGTGCCATGGAATAAGAGTTTGCAAGGAATCGGTAAATATATACAATGAAGTGCAGGGTGATAACTCGAAGGTTTATGATAATGTCTATTCGACGCTTGCAGAAATTCACGGTAGGATTTCGATGGTGAAGGGACCTTCCGATAACTTGATATTCCTTCTGCATGGTCAGCGATATGGAGATAATTTAGACTCGGTCACGGGCCAGCAACAGATACCTCCACAAGGAGGTGGAGTGCTATCGATACGAGGCAGCAATGGTATTCCTCTATGGTGGGTCTCCCTGAAAAGATTACCAGTCGATATCAACTGTACCATTTTGGACGTGGATGGTTCTGGGAAGCCAGACTGCCTCGTCGCTGGAGAAAAGGGTCTTCTAATTGCTATCGAACCCACTGCTGGAACTGTACACTGGAGTTCGACGCTGAATACTTACTCCGAGTTACCTGTACTTCTATCGGATGCTAACTCCGATGGAATCGACGATCTCCTAAGCGTTGAGTCATCGGAGGAATTCAATTCTAACCTACTTCTTGTATCCGGGAAAAATGGTGAACTTTTAAGCAGATACAAGTTCTCCGAAGATTGCAAAGTTACAAGGATTTATGGACTCGAGGTCAGCTCCGATATATCTTATCTGTGTAGTGACCGTAATGGGAAACGTAAGTTTATTTTATTAATAGTATCACTTATGTGAATGTAGTGTCAAAGAGGTCTGGTTTATGAAACTTTTCTTCTACCTGAGTGTACCGGCTCATTTGAAATTTGACTCGTGAATATGGAGGCCTTAAAAAAAGGCCTTAAACTAAAAATTTCACTTTTTAAATCCTTTTCATAAACAAGTTTTTACTTTTATATAAAAAGTAGAATTTCATGGGTGCCAAAATGTTCCTTAGGGCCTCCATATTCACGCTGTAAAGTTTGAAACAATTTGGTACACCCAGTTTGTAGAAAAGTTTAGTAAACGATTCTTTTCAAATGCAGTTTTCATATCACCTTTAAAAATATCAATGGAATTTCTAACGTTCTTCGAACGTTTCAGTGATATCAGGAGTGAAGCGCCTGTCGGAAATACTTGGCAGTTCTAATATATTGAATGCGAAACAGAGACTTTTCTCACCACCGAAGACTGCACCAAAGGTTTTCCCTGTTTTGGAGCACGACTTCAAGAACTACACTCGAAACCTAACCCTATACACTACGTTACACATTCAAAATCAAGGAACGTGTCCAGGAAAGAGTTGTCTTACGACAGTCAACATCAAGCAGGGAAAACTGGGAAATGAAACTTCAATTTGGAGTTACGCATGTCAGAATACGTTCACGGTTGAACCTGCAATGTATAACCTTTTTCCGGCAGAGCCCAACGTCACTGGATTTGTTCTAAAATTCTGGCGATGGACTGGTGAAGAAAGAAGAATCAGAAATGTCGAAACAGACACCTTCGAGCAGAAAGTAACGGAGGTTATCGTAACAGTCCTCGTTAACCGTACTGTTGTTCGTGTTGTTAACATCGGTGAGAATGAAATCACTCAACTGTGCCGAAGAGACGATTGTCAGCCGTCTTTAAAACTACATACACATTCCATGGCTGTTATGGACATCGATAACAATGGACTGCAAGATCTGATTAGTTATCGCTCGAGTTACAAAGTGGAAAAACCTCAGGTGCTGGAATCTACCATCGAGATCGTTCGACTGGATGATGGGGTCTTCGACTCTTCGAAGCCCTTAAACTGTGCTGCTGTGTAAATTAGCTTTAAACTTTCGTAAACGCTTGGCACATTTTATAGGTTATATGTAGCGCTGTGCATTGTAACGGCATGGAGGCCCTTTAACCTATACAGGATTTTGTTTAAAATTACGATACCAAATTTTACAAGGATTAACACTGACGCGACTATAAATTGCGAATGTGATATTTTACTTAATTTAATATTGAAACTGTATTGACAAGTCAAATGCAATTTAAGGGTCTCTGTGGAACTAGTACGATTCTTACGATCTGAATTATTAGAAATTATAATAAGCTTGTCATTTCGTATTGGCTCGTTGTACAATCTTGGGTACAAAATGATTTTTATACAGGCACTGTCTTGCGTGAGATTGAGGCTTGGCATTAAATTAATTTCATATCGTTGGATTTGTATTGAAACGATCTAAATTCTTAAAAGCTGTATTAAGAATGTATCGTTTTTTATTATCCCACTTTTCATCAATAAGTACAACAGTTATTTTTGTACAGACAAAGTCTCACGTAAGGCAGAGGTTTGGCATTTAATTTCAATTTAGTTTGTAACGCCATTACGATGTGCAGTATGTTCTAGTCAAAACAAGCAATACCATCTGGTAAAGTCTGTCCGAAGCTGCGTTGAAAGTAGTGTATGTGTTAATTTAATACTCCCACTTATGAGTTCTTTACCAAAAGTTCTTTACAGTCTTTTAACGGGTCATAATTCATGAAAATCTGGGAAGTATCGTATTAAAATTAGGATTATCGCACGTATGCTTCGATTATAATTAAGACTGTATTATGTGTATACATGTACATACAGCAAATGTCATAATAAAATACTATAAATCATTCTTTTCACAAGTGTAAAACGATTACTTCATAATATGTTGCGTGCAAAAGTAATCGTAATGGAAAATACAGTGCATCCTTCCACTCGTAACAATATAATATTAATTTAACGTAACGATAGAAAAATGTTTTGAGTTTCTATAAATGTTAACTTTCATAATTGACATACAGTACAAACAACAAATGGGTTTTGACACATTTACTGTACTTCTGAATCTTACGAGAAGATATCTTCTTTCTAACCTCTTCGCAGTTATAAATAGAGTCTGATAAACTCTGCCGAATTATTTATTTTTATACCACTATTTTTTTTTTAACGTTGATATCACCCGGCGTGATACAGCATGGTTCTGTCAAATATAACCTTGAAAAGTTGTCTTTCGTATATAAACGCAAGAGAGACAAAATTGCATTTGTTATTACTACAAATCGATTATCTTGTCATATGTTGGAACTCATAATTTTCATATTTAACGCCAAACGGATCGGCTATGAACGTCGTGCAAAATTTATAAATTCATACGCGTCAAATAACGTGAGAAATTTCGTTCTACCATTTAAATGGAATATAGGGAAAGCTAGGGGTCGATTCTGTAACTCGAATCTAATGAAAATTCTAAAGGTGAACACCTCCCGCGATTTCGTAATGTTCACTATGGTAAAAATGTGAGATACTTCACATGACATTACTCGCCCAGAAACTCCGAGTTCCTTCAGTCTGGAGATTTCACATTTTCACTTAGAGAACCGGACGAGTAAATTCACGTGAGATGACAATGCGAGGAGTGAGCACTGTAGCCAAAGTTACAGAATTGATTCCCTGTTCAAATGCATTAAATTAAAGGATGCGATGCTATATCTGTTACATTCATCTTGAATAGGTTGTGGAGTCTCTAGGTACTTTATACTCAATGCCGAAGGGTCGACACAAACGTTGCCCAAAGTTTATGAAAGTTGCGCCGCATCAGGTGACATGAGACATGTCGTTTCACCATGGAATACGAGGAAAGAGGCTGCTCGAATGTATCAAATTAAAGGACGCGATACGATACGGGTAAGTACGTTTCCGAATTAATTGTTGTCAAGTCTTCAATCAAGGTTTCTGCGTCTTTGACAGATCATTTATTTCCTCGTATTAGAATGACTGAAGTTTTGCTAACTGTAGACATAGATAGTTAACTCAATGAGTATTCTGCATAGACGTAAGAATATATAGACGAGCCCGAAGTCCATCTTTGACAAGGAGGGAAGCATGGCGTAGGAAAGGGTGCAGTAGAACGGCCATATTGATTGCCAATTTTCTAGACCTCTGATTGGTCGATCATCTTGATGTTTCCGATTTACTCTCCGTACTCCTTAATCCAGGATTTACTGAGTCCGGATCCAATAAATTGCATCAATAATCGCTCAGATTCGATCCCAAGCGTCTCGATCGACAATTAAATTCGGATTTATTGGGTTTGAACCCGATAAATCCCGGATTTAGGAGTACGATGGAAACATCCTACTATATCGACCTTAACAAATTGCGTGAATCCCAGAATGTAGAATAGAACTAAGAAAACTTAAGAATCTTTTTCTATCGAATAATAAGTTAGTTTTTAACTAATCTTATAATAGCTAAAGTGTCCCTCTATCATATACGAGGAAAGAACTGATTAATAAACTAACTTGAGGAACGATATAAGTAATTACTAATGTTTATTAGCCAAGACTGATATAAATGAAACATAACGTAATGTGTTTTCTATTTCTGCAGTACTACGTCAAAATATGCAAATGAAAGTGCAGAGCGCAGAAGCACGGTAGACCCTGAGGATGTGTCGCATCACAGTAAACTACACGAGGCCTGGTGGAAAGTCACGGACGAGATGATAGGTCTTCATGCACTTAATCGTTTAAGAGTGCCGTTTGTGAGAGATGGCCTGACGAACTTAGGATCTGGCGATGCAAATAATGTTTTACCACTGAGAGGTGTAACAATCGCGGATATTGGCTGCGGAGGCGGAATATTCACCGAAGCTCTTGCGAGAATCGGAGCTACCGTTACAGGAGTCGATGCATCTCCACAACTCATAGAGACTGCAAGGAATCACGCCAAGTTGGACCGAGACATTGCAGATCGGATCTCCTATGAATGCACCACTGTCGAAGACTTCTCACTCACTCGTCCACAACAATTTGACGCTGTCGTTGCATCTGAGATTTTGGAGCACGTTAAGGATAAATCGTTATTTCTTCAGGTAACGTTCAATCACGTATCTGTTAAAAATATCGATCGCTCGTTCTTAGCTGACTTCATTTAACGTCGTTATTCATTCTGAATTATAAATGATGTTGTTTAGAGTTGTGTCGCAGCTATCAAACCAGGTGGCTCGTTGTTTATAACAACTCCAGGTCGAACGATTTTTTCATGGGTAGCACTAATTGTCGTTGGTGAGTATATCGCACATGCGTTACCAGTTGGTACCCATGAATGGGATAAATTCATTTCTCCAGATGAAACGAGACGCATATTGAAATCATGTACGTATACATTATTAAACCAAAAACGTATATCTTTTTATGGTGATTCCATTAACCTCAATACGATAATCAATCCTTCATAACCTATTTGTTTTAAGATGGATGCGATACGGTACTGGTTCACGGAACGTTATACAATCTATTAAAAAATGAGTGGTATTGGACAACTTCGACTGCAATTCATTATGTAATTCATGCAGTTAAGAAAAATCGGCATGAATAACTTATTTCATGTTCTCCAACTAATTGTGACGATCCAATCGATGAACTCGGTACGCCACCAACCTGGCGATTTTTATTAATTAAGTAAACTTTATAAGTGAAGAGTGAAATAAATAGTGCAGAAGTAACTAAGTATTGCATACAGTTAAATTACTGTTCACAGTAAGGGCATTTGTATGATTCTTAAGTATATTAGTATATTAGTTTGGAATAAAAATGGTAAAGTTTCATGCCGTGTCTTTACATGACATTTCGATCCAATACCCTTAAAAAATAGTCTTATTCGAGTCGACTGATTTGAGAGGGCTTTCACTTTACGTTAATCATGGACCACGAAGGCAGAAGAATTGAAAGAGAACAGGATATTTTTTCCAGTGTGACATAACGCATTAAATAAATGTTCTAGAGCGTAAATTTGAAGAACTATTTTGTAACGTGCCTTTTTAATTTGTATCATTATTTGTAACAAAATACGGTCATCTGTTCGCACTAGTGTATTGTATGTCGGAATCCATTCGATGGTACAACGTAATAAATAAATCCAGTTTATCTAAATATGTTTGTAAAAATAATATAAATGCAGTATCATGAGCCATTCTATCTTAATCACTAGATATAGGATAACTCGTAGGCTCCCTGAAAGACCTGTTTCATTTTGGCCTTTGCGTAATTAAACTTTAACCGATCCACAATGAATTAAAGACTAATTACTTTTAGTAATCACTAAATGTTAATAATCTAACGGTTGAACATTTTCATTTATGGATGCTTAAACTATTCCTAGGTTGCTACGAATAGTATGATCGAACTGAGTTTTAATATCTAGAATACTAGAATTACGCTTTTAAGCATCGCAGTTAAAGCTGTCGACTGTAAGAATGTATACGATACAATTTTGACACCGATTTGCAAACTTCTTGTACTCCGACTCCTAAATGCTAGTCACTGTGATCCCATAACTACAATTACTCGGACATTAATTAAACAAGGAGAAACTTGTACACGTTATATAAAAAATAAAAATGTACGAAGAGGAAAAGATATCTTCTACCAGTTTTCAATTGTTTCCACCGTATAACTACTACCAGCTTGATTGGAATACTTCCTACACAATCTTACCGTGACAATGATTCGCATAGTTTCCTTCCCTACGACATAACCGAACCCTAAACATTACAAACAATAGATAACGAACCATCGTCATATCACAATATAGTGAAACTATTGTTAAAGAAACACTTTCCGAAGACCCTGCAAGAACACAAATAATTAAAGAAACATCAATCGAGTGAATTACCTGTACAGAGACATGAAATGTCAGAACAAAATCATCTCCATTAATTTAGCATGAAGTGAAGTTACTTACTTTTCATTAGTTTTTAATCATTGGTAACAAGGATAAGGTATCGTACTGCATTACTCTTGAGACTTAAGGAGTTTTGCGAGGACAAACTCTCGTAATTTCTCATATGCTTCCTCCAGATTGTTATTTTCAACGATCAGGTGGAAGTTACCTGGCTCCTCGCCTATTAAACATAATAGTTATTGACTACATAAAAGAAAACTATGTAACATTACTGTAAAACAGTAAAAGACGTTCAGATGAATCTGAATAAGAAAAAGGAAATGTACCGTACTGTAACTCCGACAAGGCAGCGTTTAGTCTGCGTTGCAGAGACTCCTCGGATTCTGTATTTCTACTCCTTAACCTCTTCTCCAACTCGTTGAAGGACGGAGGCTTAATAAAAACAAAAACCGGTTCCAAAGAACTTTTCTTAATTTGCTTTACACCCTGAACGTCGATATCGAGTACGCAAACCTTTCCTGCATTCTGAACGGCCTCGATTGCTCTCTTACTAAAATAAGGTACGTTAATTCTGGACATTCCGCTATACATTCACAGAAAAGACGACGGTTTACCTCGTTCCATAAAGATTGCCACTGAAAGTGGCGCTCTCGATAAACTCCCCATTGTCAATTTGCTTCTGCATTTCCTCTTTGGAGGTGAAAAAATAATGCTTTCCATCTTCTTCACCAAGACGAGGCGCTCTTGTAGTATGAGAAACGGAGAATCCGAAGGAATCAGGGAATTCGTTGAACAAACGCTTCAATATCGTACTCTTGCCAGAGCCCGAGGGACCGGCGATTACCAAGAGACGCCTTGTGTTCTGTACTACATAAAACATAACCCTTAAATCGGAAACATTAGTCCATTTCGAAGCTCCATAAAATTACTCTAGGGATCCTGCGTGTCAAAAACGCCTCGAAAGAAGTAACGATACAAGACACGACACAAGGAACGTACTACGTGACCCCTACCGTAACTAACAGCCAAAATAAAGTCGATACAGCGTTCTCTCTTAAGAATTGCAGTTCTTTAGATCTCGCGAGTCTCCGACACATGTTAGGAATTTAGAAACAGCCTTCGATTACCTTAGGACATTATGCAGTGTCTCGGTTAACAAAATTATCATTAAGATCGGAAGACCAATTGTTAATTGTACGTACTTACGATGGACGTTACGACTAACGAGAATACGTTCGTAAGAGCGCAGGCCTACAGCATTTAACTGACGTATCGTGCAACGCAAGTGCTCGGCAAATTGTACAAGTACCATCTTTTAGGTTAGGAAAGTCTCGCCTTTAAAACTACCCACATTTGGTTGCCATTTGGTGACGCTATCGAGCGGGAAGTTGCGAATAAATAGCTTCCTTACGGAGACGTCAGCTGATGTCACGTTTCACTTAACTTTCTCATTAACGTTTAAATACGTAATTGACGGCAATTCATGCACACGAGTTCGTGCAAAAACGTCGTATGTATGTACAGTGACGGATATGAATGTCATAACTGCGAACAGGGTGCCGCCGGTGAACAAAAAGCGAGTATTAATGTTTGCCACTGTACGTCAGAGAGGTTATGTATAACACGTCATGTAATATTAATGGTTTTCCACGCGTATATTACCAGAGATGAGTTGGGAGATTGCTAACGAACTTCATCTCCATTTTATTCCGCATCGAAGCATTTACATCGCACAAAACTCGTTTCTACTCCACCCGAATACCTAAAGTGAAGTGATAGCGAGCCCCGATTCAATTTCACATCTGAACGAGCCAGGAACGAGAGGTGTAAACAAAGGCAGGTTGTCCAAACACAAACAATTCCATACATCCCAAACCACTCAGTCAATTCCTACAAAAAGGGAGGCTATGAAACCCTCCGATTTGCAATTACGGACTCCTTTATTTCAGCACATAGAACAATTGCATCGCCTCGTTGCAGCCAGCATCGAAGAAGCTGGGCCAATTTGCATGACACTCGACGACTTAGGGCAAACAGACTCTTATCACCCCAAGGATCATATACGCAGCCTGGAAAGTATCGAGTTAAAGGATAAATGGGAGATTCCAAGGATCTCATGGCACGGGAGCCAGGAATATCTAATCAAAGGAGATGAGCTCCGCAGTCTCTTCCTTGGGACGACCTTCTGGTCGAGAGTTTTCTGGAGGTGGGAACTGATTCGAGCTGACTCGTTCCCCTGGCTGAGCCATGGGAGGATTCATGGGTGGATTCATGGGTGGATTCATCGGAGGACTCATCGGTTGCTTCATGGGTTGCACCATGGGTTGGCTTATAGGTTGATTCATTGGTTGGGTCATCGACTGGGTCATGGGTTGTGCCATGGGCTGAGCCATAGGCTGCGGCATTGACTGCATGCTTGGCTCCGATGCACCCTGACCCGGACCCAGCTGCACAGGCTGTCCCTGTGGCATCTGGAGGTGCGAAGGACCTCCTGGCTGCTGCACCTGTTGCATTGGCTGTATCGACTGCATCGGCTGCATGGATTGCATTGGTGGAGCTGCCATCGGAGCCATCTGAGGAGCGAAGTGTTATTTATTGGCAGCGTTGAAAAGCAATAGGATAGGTAACTCTTAAGGTGATACGAAAGGGTCATTTCATATATATAAAACGTCAAAATTTCTCTCCAAATTGCATGCACCGAATCGATAGAAACTTCAGCACGTGATTATGGAGACCCTAAGGAAGAGCGAACAGTTGGGTCTAATACCCTTAAAAAAAAGTGTTGTATTCGAGTCGACTGATTTGAAGGGGGTTTCATTTCACCTTAAATTCCTGAGAATTTGAAGACAACCAGGACATCGGCTTACCATTCGGCCAGGAGCAGCAGGAAGCCGAGAAGAAGCAGGGTCCGCGGGCATGGGAGCCGCATGGGGTGGCGGGGGCACCCGATAGGTCTGCATGGGGGGCGGGTACTGAGCCATTGGAGGCTGCCCGTAGACGTAGATACCCTGGCCGGTGGGCGAAGCTGGGGCGTAACCTGGTCCAGGTCCGTACTGGACGCGGCGGACCGGTGAGCTCTGGCCCGATGGCCCCAGGTAACCCGGGACGGCCGGGGGATATCCAGCTCCGGCTGCGAAAAATACAGGATTAAATTCAGGGCGGTGGCTAATCGAATTATTGGATTTATTAATATGATAGGGTCATTCTATATATATATATGAAACGTCAAAATGTTTATAAAACTTTTCTTCAAACTGGGTGCACCGAATAGATAGATATGGAATTTATTAAGACGATGTGAAAGGGTTATTCTATATATATGAAACGTCAAAATGTTTAAAAAAAACTTTTCTCTAAACTGGGTGCATCGAATCGAATTATTGGATTTATTAAGACGATATGAAAGGGTTATTCTATATATATGAATCATCAAAATGTTTAAAAAAAACTTTTCTCCAAACTGGGTGCACCGAATCGAATTATTGGATTTATTAAGACGATATGAAAGGGTCATTCTATATATATGAAACGTCAAAATGTTTATAAAACTTTTCTCCAAGCTGGGTGCATCGAATCGAATTATTGGATTCATTAAGACGATATGAAAGGGTTATTCTATATATATATGAAACGTCAAAATGTTTATAAAACTTTTCTCCAAACTGGGTGCATCGAATCGAATTATTGGATTTATTAAGACGATATGAAAGGGTTATTTTATATATATATGTTTAAAAAACTTTTCTCCAAACTGGGTGCACTGAATCGATAGATATTGAATTTATTAAGACGATATGAAAGGGTTATTCTATATATATGAATCGTCAAAATGCTTAAAAAACTTTTCTCCAAACTGGGTGCACCGAATCATTTGAAACATTAACACGTGATTATGGATTCCCCAAGGATGAACGTAATGCTCGTGGAATTACATTTTTCATAAAAAAAAAAGTGTATTTATCTCGGACAAGAACCAAAAGAAAAGACTTATAAAAATATATATATAATTTCACGATTTTTGATGCTTTAACGGACCAACGGCGCCATCTGTGACGTTTAGCTGCAACTAAAAGTTTGCCCTGAAAACGTGTTACCCACGGGACAAGCCAGTATCTTTGATAATACAAAATATGATGATATTAATTACTAATTACACCCCGAGGACATCCTCTACCCACCCATCGCGTATTGTTGCTTCTGTTGCTCCTGCCGCATTTGCATTTCGCGCTCTTGCTCCTGAATCCGCTGCAGAGCGAGCTGTCGCTGATACTGGAGGTACTCCTGCTTCTTCTTGCGCATTATCTCGAGTTTCTGCGCCATTTGCAGCTGACGGAGCCGCTCGGCCTCCTCGGCCTGACGACGCAGCTTCTCACGATGCTCCTCTCGAAGCGCGTCCAGGGCGGCCCGGGCGTCCTTCATCTGGGCCAGCTTGTCCTGCAGACCCTCGTAGTAGACACGACTGTCGTCCTGCTCCTGGATGTAGTGCAGGAGCCTGAAAACGAGGACCAGAGATGAGCTAAGGAACCAGACTCCATCGAACTCCATCGGTAGACAGTTGGTTAAAATGGAAGCGAAGGATTTTCCTGCTCGGAGTAACATTTACTCCCATCGATGAGTTAGGGAATTGTTGGTGCAATTTTAAATCGAAGGGTTTCACTATAAAAACTAGCATACACCCCCATTAATAAACCACTGGGTATTTAATAAAATTTGAAAGCAAAGGATTTTACTGCTCGGAGTAACATTCACTCTCATCGGTGAGAGAATAATTGGTACGGTTTGAAAGAAAAGGCTTTTACTGCAGAAAGTAACGTATATTCCCAAAAATAAGTCAGTGGATGGTAAAATTTTATAGTGAAGAATTTTAGTTCCCTGAGTGGTATTTACCCTCATCGATAAGTCATCGAACAGTTTGTACAATTTTAAACGGAAGGGTTTTACAACACAAAGTAACGTCCTCTCCCATAAATAAACCTCTGGATAATCAGTTAAATTTTACAGCAAAGAGTTTTTCTGCATCGACCTGAACCTCTGACTTCCTAGTTCCTGGACATCGGTCCTCACCTGGAGTGCATAGCGGTGATGTTCATGAAGAGGGTCTGGACGGAGCTGTCGTTAGCGATGGACCGTCCGCGGGAGGAGTTGCTCTTCATGCGGTTGACGAAGATCTCGACCTGGGAGCGAAGGGCGGCGACGAACTCCTCCATCTGGCCGTCGACTTCCCCGTTGCGCTGTTTGGCGAGGACGACCTTGGCGGGCATGGGGCTGCCGATGTTGGGGGCAGAGGGGCTGGCCAGCTCCGTCCTGGAGTCGGGCTCCTCGGCGGCGGACTGCCGCTGCTCCCAGTATTCGCGGTTCAGGTAGCGGGCCAGCTCCGGGTCCACCTCCTCCTCGTCCTGGAGCCTGGTGGGGCTCGGCTCCTGCCGCCGCGAGACGCGCAGGTCAGAGGTCGGCCCCCCGAGACTCGAGACTCGACTTACCGGGGACGCGGCTGGCGAGTAGATGGTCGTCTTCGCCCTGGGCCCCGTCGTCGAGCGTCGCTTCTCCTTCTCCTTCTGCTCCGCCTCGCTCTGACTCAACGCCAGGGCCAGCTGCAGCTCCTCCTCTTCCTGGAGCTCCTCCGACGTCTTGCGAGCTGGCACCTGGGGGGTGGACAAGGCTCGTGGAGTTAGGGAAGTATCAACCAGGTCGACGATACAACTATTTTGATTGACTTCACTCGATATAGGTATCTAAAGTGTAAAATGCCACTTTCTATTTTCTGTTTTACATAAGAACGGATAGAGACCACTACTTGCATTTTATATTTTAATACATAATTTTTTAAATTCATGTAAACAAATTTCTAAACGATTCGAATGTCATGGGTGTCAGGACATTCCTTATAGCCTCCATATTCACGTTGTAAACGTTGAAACGATTCGATACACCCAGTTTAGAGAAAAGTTTCTTAAAGGAGACCTTTGTGTAGCCACTTTCACATCACCTTAACTCCTGGTACGAGCCCTTACCTGCTGCTGTTGAGCCAGCGAACTGCTCAAGTACTCGGCAGGAAGGTCCGTCTCCTTGGCTGGTGCAGCGTTGCTCCTGAATATCAAGCAAAAATTCTTTGGTAAATTATGAGGCAATGGATCGCAGGATGGAAATTATTCACTTGCCATTAGTACGCTACTTCCACTTTCCATTGAACTCTTATCTTAAAAATGTCGTCATAAATAGCATTTGTAAATTTGTAAATTTACCTAAATTAGGCACGACTACTTTTAACATAAAACCATGCCTAAACTATATTGCGGTCAAATTATTCAAAATGATAAGAATGTACATGAAGTACAACTAACCTCAAAATGGCGTTGTATCAAGTGATATAATGCTTCGCATTAGAATAAAAATACTCTACATCTCCCAATCCCTACATGCATTTCAAAATAGGGTGTACGATAAATATTGAGGTTTTGTCACTTGCACTATCACATTAATGGTGAATTTTCTTATTCCTCGCTAGGGGATCGTAGTTGAAACCTCCTTGTTTACGTCGAGTCCTTTAAAGGGTTTCAAAGTGCACTCACTTGTTCACTTGTTCGTAGCAGGCCTCGCAGACCCGCACTTCCTTCTCGATTCCAAACTTCGGAAGCGTCGACACTCTGCTGGAGCATTGACCGCAAAACACTTGTCCACAAGCTCGGCAATGATGTTTTCGCTGCACCATGCTGAAAGCCACGCGACATCTGTTGCACACATCCCCATCCGTCCACTCTGGCGCAGTGTCTGCACTGAACATTGCGTCGCTCTCCTTCAGAGCTGGAAACTTGTAGCCTTCGGCTTTCATGATGTTGACAGTGTCCTAAAAGAACGATTAAATAATAACGTCTTCATTTGCAATGTCTCGTGCCTGACGAAGTCAGTTGTAACATTTTTGGTTCTCGTTTCTATAATTCATTATAATAATTACTTATAATTAGAGTTTGGTAATTATATTAACCAAACAGTCCCCTTATAATTTACATTTTAAAGCAAATGTGCATGAAAAATCAGTAACTTCACTTTCCGTCTTAAATACCTTTGTTACGACTGCGACTTGGAGGTTACGAAAAATTAAATGAATACTAAAAAAAAGACAGACATACCTGAACCGCTCTATATTTTGCACTGTTCCGGAAAGCAAATGCCCAAGCTTGAATTAATTCCAAGGTTTTCAACTTGACGTTCTCGTGAGGCGACGTCTTTATGAGCTCCCTCAGTTGTTCCATGTACTGCTTTGTACCGATCTCATCATGAATTAAACTGCCACAATTTTTTACACACGACTCCAATACCTATTCGAAGTACTGAAATTATTATCATTCCTATTTTAAACTACTAGAAGGAATTGCCGCAAGAAAAGTCCATACCAAAAGTCCAAAATTTGCTATGTGAGGATTGGCATTCGTCAGTTTCCTTTTGATAGCAGCGAGCGCAGCTTTCGGTCTATATACATAAGCAACGATTTTCAATTTCAATAAGACACTTTTTTATCAATCTTAACGGTTTAAGTCCCAAGCAGTGGGATCACGCTGTTTAGATTTCATGTCAAAAAACCCAGTACATTTGAACAGTATGAACAACTGACGGTATACTTAGAGTTTATCGAAATAGCGAGCGCTATCGCACTGCTTGGTTATCTTCGCATTTAAGATAGCACTATTGCATTGTTTGGCATTTTCCGACACTGTTTTTTTCAATAACCCCTGGGACTCAAATGATTAATTTGCTATTATGAAATAACCCTTTGCGATCCTCCCAAAATATATACATGTCCAAATGCGCCACAATTGCAAAAGGTCAACCCGTTAATAGGTTAACCGAGCCGTTGTTTTATAAACGCATACTTTAATAACCAACGCACTTGTTATGTCAAATTAATAGGTTAGTATTTGCTCTTGCTTGGTTATCAACCAAGCCGTTGTTTTATAAGCGCACACATTAATAACTACTCATCATGTCCAATTAACGGGACAATATTCACTCCAGCTCGGTTATTAAAAATTCAGTCAGAAAAGAGTCAAAAAGTAAGATCGCTATACAATGAGTAATATCTTACTTAAAATGAAAAAAAGCAAGAGCATGACGTGTTCACTTACTGAACGTCACCCTGACGTATGAGGTCACAGATCTGGAGAATTGTAGGCCAGTCTGGTTCGAGTCGTAGGTTACTCGTAGCTTTATCTGCAAAAGCGACATCGTATCCAGTACAATGGGAAGTCCGAATTAACTAGAAGACTTACCGAGCAATTTCTCAAAATTCGGCGAGCTCCTGAACATCCTACTTTAAGGAAGGTTTCCGTTTGTCGGGTCCGTGGAAAGTTGGTTTGACAATCCGTAACTTTAAAGGAACTTTTTGATGGCCTCTCCGCGACCGACGATAGCCTTTGATTCCGGCGTTATCGATATGCGTGTTTACACCGGTTACACGGCAAGAATTGTTAAATCGATAGGTTAGAGATTAGCAAATTCCGAGGAACGTGATTAGCTGTTTACGACAGGGCTGCAGCCAATGACCACGTCTCCATCACGCTTCTAAATCCGGGATTTATTGTATCCGGATCCAATAAATCGCACGTCTCCATCGCATTAATAAATACGCAGGTTCGATCCTAGGCGTTGATTACGTATTTTTGACGAGAGCGCTCACTTCTCGCACTTTCATCTCACGTGGGTTTATTCGCCGAATTACTTATTCGCTATATGAATGGTCTCGCATTTTCACCGCCTAAAACGTTCCGTAATACCGTGAGCTCCTCATTTTTCACATTTTCGCTCCATTTTACGTAATAGACCCCTTGAGCGTCTCGATCGACACTTAAATTCGGATTTACTGCGTTTAGACTCGATAAATCCAGGATTTATCGGATTGAAACCCAGTAAATCCGAAATTAAGTGTCGATCAAGACGCTCAAAGTCAAATCTGCGTATTTATTAATCCGATATAGACGTTGGATTTACTAAATCCAGACTCGGTAAATCTCGGATTTAGGAGTGCGATGATGTGGCCATCAATTCGATACTTATTAATCCGGTATTTAAAGTGTATGTGGAAACAGTAACAATTTGCGCGCTGCCGTCGACATCTAGCGGTGCCAGGTCGAACTACGTACCCACAGCGCGTCCGCACATGTATCGACCATGAAGCTCGTTGTCTTTCGACGGTATTGTCGTTGGTCCAGATGGTCTGTTGTCCCGTCCAGCAGAATCGGGCCGAAAACCAGCTGCATAGAGCTGCACTCGGCGAAGCGACGGACCGGTTCTCAATGGAACGAAACGGACAAAAGCGGAGAGAAGCCTGAGGACCGTACGTGAGGAAGATGTTTCGCCGCAGTTGATAGTTATGTTGATGATAAACATGATGGATTACGAATTTAAAATGAAAACCCAGAAGGACCGGACGAAAGTCGAGGACCTGTTTGAATTTGAAGGGTGCAAGGTCGGAAGAGGTACTTACGGACACGTTTACAAAGCTCGCAGAAAAGAAGGGTTAGTTTCTCCGCCCAAAGCCAGACAATCGAAGGACGAATTCCTCTTTGGCCCTTCGTTCGTTCGGCTTTATCATTTCTAGTTGATTTGTCGACAATTATTTATCTTGAATGTCTTAATTTAGGGTTCCGGACAGCGAACTTAAATCCAGGCCCGACACGAAGGATTTCGGACTGAAACAAATAGAAGGCACAGGGCTGTCGATGTCTGCCTGCCGAGAGATCGCAGTAGGCTGTCCTTTCTCTAATACTATCGATTCGTTAAATGACAGTAGAATTGTAATCGTTAGACTTCTCGATGATTCGATTAGATGAGATGATTCATTTATCGACTTCTATTATCCATTCTGTATCGTAGATGTATTGTAAATGTATTTTCTTGACTAGCAAACCTTAACCTCTTAACCTTGTAAATTCTGCTGTATAACTTTTCCAAATTTGGAGTATTTATATTTTTTATTCGTTTTTCAGCTACTCAGGGAACTTAAGCACGTCAATGTCATTACTCTCATACGTGTTTTTCTCTCTCACAATGACCGCAAAGTGTGGCTGCTCTTCGACTTCGCCGAACATGACTTATGGGTATGATGGTACATTCACAGTCTCTTATCTTCTAATGCACTAAAGTGCACTAAATGTTATAATGATAATATTTGCATTGAGTTTGTGTTCATTGTCGAACGATCGCGTTGGGAATTTTACGTAATTTTCTCGCCTCTGACGTCAAAATTTAATATACTTGGCTTTATTGAATCCTTAACGAACTGAATTATATCCTGACATGAGAAGAACGATAGTAAATTGTCAAAATTCGGTTTACAGCATATCATAAAGTTTCACAGAGCAGCGAAAGCTAACAAAAAGCCCGTTATGGTGCCTAAAGGAATGGTGAAATCTCTCCTGTACCAAATTCTGGATGGGATCCATTATTTGCATTCCAATTGGGTTCTCCACAGAGACTTGGTAAGTCTTAACCTGTAAATCTACGCTTTACCATTAAAAGCTAACAAGGTACTTTTAGAATTTTACATCGAGTCGACTTTAGTTGAGTATAATTTACAGAAACCTGCGAATATATTAGTCATGGGTGAAGGAAACGAAAGGGGGCGAGTAAAAATAGCTGACATGGGGTTCGCCAGACTGTTCAACGCGCCTCTTAAACCTCTGGCGGATCTGGATCCAGTGGTGGTAACATTTTGGTACAGAGCACCCGAGTTGCTCCTTGGTGCGAGGCACTACACCAAAGCTATAGGTATGTTCCATCGCTTGAGAAAATCACATTAAGATGGTACGGAAGACGTCAAGAAATTTAATCGACATCGGTAAACAAAGATTCTTTTAATTTCTAACCTTCGTACCGATATTTGAATTTATATCGACAGCTGTCTCTTATATTGCATTCAGTATCATACTGAATAGCATATTTGATAAGTCGTTTCGGTGGAACAGTTATAAAGGAATGAAAGTAAAACTCAATGAAACGTTGGTCAAATTGATTTCTCTTTGTTTACAGGCTCCGATCTTGAGATCGATCGCATACATTATGTTTCTTTCAGACATATGGGCCATTGGGTGTATATTTGCCGAGCTTTTAACATCCGAGCCGATATTCCACTGCAGACAGGAAGACATTAAGACTAGCAATCCCTACCACCACGATCAACTTGACCGGTGAGTCCAGTAAAATAATATCACTCATCGTCGTTCTTGGAGGTTGCAATCGGAGCAGGCCATTTTGTCATCACCATTTCGATGTTGTCATTTTATTGAAGAACATAAACAAATGATTTACTAAATGCATTTTTAACCTACAATTTAACAAAAATTAAGCTAAAAACAACTGGAAGTGTGCCAGTGATAGTGCCAGCTAGATTAGGTTAGTTATTTGGGGACATAACCTCTCCAGTAACGCCATTTAGAGATGATTATTTATATATTTACTTCAATGAAATTTCCAGTAACTGGCATCAAGACATTCTGAAAACAAAATGTGTCGACGACGAAACGTTAAAATGAACTGACGTAACTGCGATCTGTGAGTGAGAAAAGATTATCACATCCTAACGTCAGAATTCATCTGCCCACAGGATATTCAACGTAATGGGATTTCCCCTGGAGAAGGACTGGGAGGATATAAAAAAGATGCCAGAACATCCCACCCTCCTGAAAGACTTTAAACGATCCAAGTGCGTTTTGCTGTGCTCTACGGAATGCAAACTTTTAGTTAGAAAATGTTGAGGTTATAAACACGACTCATCTTTTCAGCTACGCCAACTGTTCGCTCACCAAGTACATGGATCGACACAAGATCAAGCCTGATAGTAAAGCGTTCAATCTGGTAAGAGAAAGTCTTCGACTACTCGAATAGACTAGACAAGCATTCATTCGTCTCGTTCTGTTCGCTCCAGTTGCAGAAACTCCTCATGATGGACCCGAACAAGAGGATCACTTCGGAGCACTCGATGCAGGATGCATATTTCCAGGAGGAACCGTTACCGACGCAAGAGTAGGTATCATAATTAGTGTTTTTAAATTTTCGAGAATTTAAGTGATATAAAAGAACCAGTCTATATATATCCGAGATGTCAGATCGTTCCAGAAAGTATTCTTCGAATTGGATGTACCGATACGTTTCAAATTTTACCATGTAAATATGGAGACTATAAGGAAGGTCTCGACTTCCATAAAATTTCATTATTTATAAATAATTCATACGATATATTTTCTTTAATAAGTGCATGATTTTAGAAGTTTTTTTTTTGTAACACAGGTACGATTTGCAAAATGTGACTTGATGGAAGTATAATTTTTCTTATTTATTTACAATATTCCATGATTTGATTTTTCTCCTAATTTATGGGGGGTCACTTAGGATTGCATTTTCATAAAAGATTTTATTTGCGTATATATAGTCAATTATAAAATACATTTGTAGTGATCACTGGGTTAGATCTCTTTTACCTCGATTCAATTTTGTTATTAAAATTAAATTCGCCATTGGTCTTCGGCTGGTCATACACGAATGCATTTAACGAAGGGTGGACAATACGATCTATCATAAAATCCCTGATGACCAGATCAGATCTCTTCTATTTGTAGTTTCGCAGGTTTGATTCGTTCATTAGTCTTTTTATCCGTGCAAGAACGGATTTAATTAATAACTATCCACGAACAATATATTCTATCATTCGTTTGTTTAGTGATCGCTGGATCAGATCTCTCTCTTCCTATTTACAGTTTTGCTAATTTAATTCATACATAAGTCTTTAAGGTGTTATGAAAGGGTCATTCTACGTACATAAAAATATATTGAAATATTCATATAAAAACTTATTCCCTAATTAGGTGCACCAAATAATTTGAAAATTTAACAGGTTATTACGGAGGTCCTAACGAAGGTCTTGAAACTTGAAAAATTTCATTGGCGTTCATTAAATTCCTCAGCGCCTTTCATATCGCCTTAAGGTGACTATCAGGGCGTGGAGATATTTATAAAACTTTTCATAAAACTGGGTATATTAAATAATTTGAAAATTTAACACGTGATTGGGAAAATTCTAGACTTAGATTAAAATTCAAGACTTTCATTAGGATCTCCATAATCACGTGATAAAGTCTCAAATTATTCCATCTTGTTTGCAATAAAATTCCCTGGGTATCTTATTTAAATTAATGTTCGTTGCAGCATCTTCGCAGGATGTCCGATACCTTATCCGAAGAGGGAGTTTTTAACCGACGACGACACGGAGGAAAAGACTGAAAACAAAGCTAGGCAGAATCAACAGCAGACGGTAAATACGTAATTAATGAAAAGAGAGTAATGATCCTTAAGGGGATGTCAAAGTGGCATCTGAAGAATGAATTGTTCATGAAACTTTTCTACGAACTGGATGTATTGAATCATTTTAAACTTCATAACGTGAACGTGGAGGCTATAAGGAAGGTCCTGACCCTTGTGAAATTTCATTTATAATAATAAATTTTAAAAATATCTATGAACAAATTTAAAACNTATATAATAAATAAAATGATCCTTCCATATCATCTTAAGACATTAAAAATTAGAGTCCTCGTTGCGAGGTGCACTAACGGTTGCCAACTGTTCCCAGCAACAAAACCAGCAACAGCAGGGCAACAACGAGCACAACCACGGACAGAACCCGAAGAGGGTTCGGCTGAACGGACCACACGGGGCTCCGGAGTTCCACCAGCACCAGAACCACACCATGAGCCATCAGCAACCTCCGGGGATGGTCTTCTCCACGGGGCAGCCGACGCAGCCGTCCAACTTCCACCAGCGCTTCTAGGGGAGCCCTTAAGAATAAAATCCAGGTTGTGGAGAAACTCCGAGTATGCCTTCTTCTTCTTCTTGTTCATCTTCTTCAGGGTTGGGCGAGGTTGGAAGGTTGGCCGTGGCCTTAAGGAGATACGAAAATCTCATATATATATATATACTTGCTAAAAAGTGAAATTATTTATAAAACTTTCTTCCAAACTGGGTGCACCGAATTATCTAAAAGTTTAACACGTAATTATGGAGGCGACAAGGAAGAACGCGCTGCCTCGTGAAATTCGATTTTTCGAAGAATAATAAAAAAAAAAAAATGTACACTTATCTCGGACAAGAACCAAGGAGAGATATTTTCTTTTCGAATAATGAAATTTCACGGGGAGCGCGTTCTTCCTTGTCGCGTGTTAAAGTCTCGGATAATTCGGTGCACCCAGTTTGCAGAAGGGCTTTATAAATATTTGGACTCTTTGGTACGTATATATATATCACACTTTCATATCACCTTAAGGGTTAGGGTTTTATACGCTGCGTTTATGCGACGTAATTGAAGAATGCGTTATATGAGCGGCCCTGAACATCCCGCAGTGTAAAATATTCCCGTCATGGGGAATCATGGGCCGTATGGACAGTCTTCAGGGTCACCCGTAGCGTTAACGTACAATGGCGGATATGAATGCCTTCCCTGCAGATACGACATCGCCTGTGCAGGATGGGAGGGCATCGATGCCTCCCAGCGTACACTGTGGACATGAATGCCTCCCCTGCAGATACGACATCGCCTGTGCAGGATGGGAGGGCATCGATGTGTCCCAGTGTACACTGTGGACATGAATGCCTTCCCTGCAGATACGACATCGCCTGTGCAGGATGGGAGGGCATCGATGTCTCCCAG